ATTATGCCACTGAGCCCAGGTATCACCACCGATAAATTCACAATTCTTCATTTCGTGTCTGATCATGGCAGAAAAGCTTGATATCTCGATGTTGCTCGCTTTAAAACAATCCGTCCCTGCATTCCCATTAATATCTCTATTTATCCACCTCTTCTCATACTTAAATAAGAAATGGGAGTTGTAGCATAGGTGTAAGAAGTGTCTCGAAACGTCATTTTGACTGCTTTCTGCGGATTTTACACTACTAGGACGTCACAAGGTTATGACGTCACACTGGCTAGCCGGAATTTTTTGAGGCGCCCTGGCGCCGGATCCTGGCCAAAACGACGCTATTTTCTTTATATCTTTGTCCGATCATATGCCGAAGATAAATCGAGTATAATTGCTGAAATTTATACAAGATCATGCTTGATCATACATGATTCAAATGAAATTGTCAAAATTCTCGATTTTCTAAGATCTGACCCTTCGAATTCCTTCATATTCTCTAATTTTGGGGTTTCTGTAGTCCACAGTTCGAGTTTCTCCTCCGTTTATCGATCTTTGCGCCGCCTTTCCAGTGACGACACACATTTGACAAGCGGATGTTACATTTGCGGGATTCAAACTTTAATCACTGTGAACAAATTTATGGTCTAACCAGCGCCTTTACCAACTAGGTCAATTCAGAAATTAGAAACGAAGGTCTAAGGTCTAATTTATATCCATCTATCATCTCAAAGGACTTGTAAGAAAAAAATTATATAAAGTCATTTAAGATGAATGATGAATATTAAAACTTAGATCTTTGCTCCCACGCTCCTCCTTGGCCTAGTTGGTAAAAGCGGTTGAAGGGAGGCAAAATTGCAATTTTCGCGTTCAACATTTTATTTAAATATTTTGAACTAATTCATTATCTTTCTAGGAGTTACTACGTCCATTTCACTCACGTCCTAAAAAAGTGCCTACCGGTAACAATTTATTATTTCTAAATTCCAGTACTAGACTCAAGTGCATCTCTTAGATATTTACTCGGGCTAATCAGTGTGGGTAATATGTTTATTTCTCTGTCTTTTATTAGTGAATATACCATTTTATTTATTTTTAGAAGTGCCTAAATATGTGCCTAGCATATGTGGTGACCAAGCGCGTGCGACTGCCTTTAATACTGCGTTTTAAAAATTGCTATTGAGTTTGCCCGTTGCAATTTGCGTTTTCAACATTTAATTTGACCATTTTTAACTAATTAATTATGTTTTTAAAAGGTATTACGCCCTTTTTACTTTTTTTCCAAAGTGCCTAATTTGTAAGTGCCTACTTTTAGTCCGTCCCTCACAGACATGCGTTTCACCAAGTATCTCGGTGGTAAAATCAGTATGATATCTCACCCATACCGCGCAGTTCACTGTTTGGTAATTATCAAACCACGAATCAAGTCGAGATCATCTGAGCTTCGATGCGAGTCTGAGTCCGACATCAAGTTACCACGTAGTTAAGTTACACTGGCGGTTAGTTCGTGACAAAATCCCAGGCAGTAACTGATCGGATAGACTCTACTTGCTGATCTGTCAACAAAGATTTGGCTTTTTGGATATTTTTGCACACTAATATTTGTCCTGAGAAACACCTTGTAAGTACGATGGTTGCATTTATTTACAATCGCGAATAATTATTTTCTTAAAGTTTGCATTTGACTGGATGAATTGAGTATTTTGATGGTCTCGTGCATTTTTAAAAATGGCTGGATCTCGCTTACTATTGAATGGAAAAGGGTTAACTTAATTTCCTAAAGATTTATACGACCTAGTCTTTCAAGCCCAACGATGTTGATTCCCGTCGCTTCCTCGTTTTAAGGAGATATGTTGCTTAGACCGCAATATCTGATGATATCACTCGATTTGAGAAAGTACTATCAATTGAGTTTCGACTCTTCAAGAAAAACTCTCCAGCACAATTCCTGCTCAACAAGTATTCATTCAAGTTTTTATCAGAAAGGCACATATATCCTACCGTCCCGAATTCTAGCCGACCTAAGTTTGCATATTGAAGGTTTTGTAATTGCTCATCAAAAAGACAAATTTTGGAAGTTTTCGTTATAGAGGTTGGTGGAGGGCCAACCAGGATTGTGATGTATGTTGCTTAACGGTATCCTGGTCAGGTCGAATTTACGACTCTTTTAGAAAAAAGGGGTTATCTTGATTCGCGCGATATTGTAATTTCGCCTATGCAGATTACCACTTTTAATTTTTACTACTGGGTAACGTTTTTTCTATATTTATTAGCGAAAATCTAATGTTGGGTATTTTCTGCTCAAGTGACAAATTGATAGGCTTACCATACGTCCCGCTTTAGGCGGGACAGTCCCGCTTTTTAGCGCCTTGTTCCGCCGTCCCGACAAGTCAGCCAAAAGTTCCGCTTTGGCGTTCAACCCTCGAGCATAATACACGAACATGTTCTCGTTGCAATTGTTGCTGTGTAGCGCAGCGCTAGCCTACTTACTAAAGCGTAATTTTGTTTGTGTCGTTGTTTCCCGCTGACATTGTCAGCGAACGTATCACATCAATTAAATTTATAAAAAATCAATTCTAATTGGTTCTGTTCGGACGTTCACGTGAATATAACATTGAACAACGTCTTTTTGAAGGTGTTATCTACAGAAAAGCATGCTTGGGGGGGGAAAGGAAATCTCAATTCTTGAAAACGGCAGACTATTTCATTATTCTTTATTCCTATTGCTGTACATAGAAAAATCTTAATTTGGATCATTCGTATCGATAGCGTCTATTTCTTTCTATTTTTCGAACTGAACCCGAAATTTAGACATAGAATATGCATATGCGCACTTTCGATGACAATATGGTCAATGAAGACAGCCGGGATGGCTTTAAATGTAGGCCTATGTATTATAATCGGAAACTGTAAAGTTACATGATCACAGACAGCTAAGGGGTCGTACCTTTGGAGGCGTCCCGCTTTGAAGTCAAAAAATATGGTAACCCTACAAATTGAATAACTCTAAAAGACCGACAACCACAAACGGGAGACAACAGAACGAACAATGTAAATTTCCACAGTACTCAAATGCCATCTGCGATTAGAATCGATACAAAATATTTAAATTTAATAGAGCAATTAATGTTGCTAATTAAATTTTCTATAGTCACATGTTGTTGGAGGAAACCACATTAAAGTCTATAATGTTTTCTACCATATCTATTGCCTACTCCATGCTAAAATGCTAGCGTTAATATTAACTATAATCTGTAATACAGCTTGCAGAGTCAATGTGTCAGTGATATTTGCATTAAAATAAGCAAGCTTATTTGTCGGATGACCGAAATTCATTTTTGCTCATCATGTAGAAAAAAATGGCTAGAGTCTGTTTAGACTCGCACCGAACCATCATGTTGTCATTTTATCGCGTGCGTTTTCAATTTGTATACAAATATACATGTGTTATTGTTCCAAATATGTGATTTCTAGGCAGACGCGACAAAAAGCTGGCTCATCACCCAACTATACTATTACACAGCACCCAAATAGGAAACTATTACTTGAATTTTAATGTTAAACAAGTTGATTTTAATTGCCATTCAATGATAATTAACATGCGTCGTGATTAGTGGTGGGCAAATAGATTTTTTAGTCGAATTATTCGAATATTTTCAGCGAACACAACACCGAATAATGAGTATTGTCATTTCAAACAACCGTATTTGGGAATGCGGCCGCCGAAACGATCGCCGTGACAACTTTATTTTTCGGAATTTACTTGAAGACTGAAAACTTCGCAACAATTTTTGTTTCCTAATTTTGTCCTAATCCAAGGCCGCAGTAAATATTTTTGTCACCGCGATCCTTTCGCAGCTTGACATCCCAATTGATGATGATAAACTATATTAAAGCCCTTTTTATTCACTAGTAAATATTAATTCTCATGAAACGGCGGATATCGCAGTTTGGTTTTTATTTTTTGGACAGAAATTTGATTTCACATCGGTGACGATGTCAAAGACAACTATTTAAGGAGTGCGTTCACAACACAAATTAATTTTATGCTGCTTTTTATCTTTTTTGTAGGATTTGTATCACAGTTTGTAAATTAATTTCCCAATTTTAAGCGAACAGTATTACTGACCCCGGAATGCGATATTTGTGAAGCTGATAGTTGACTTTTTTATGCTTTTAATTTTATATCGTGTCCGTGTTACTTCCGTATTAAATAATAATAATTAAAAACTCCGCAAATTGGTAATCTCTCTAATACTCAGTGTTGAGAATTAACGTAACTCAGCTTTGGAATAAAACACTGATACTAAATACTTGCATAAATCGGCAATAATGGCATTTCTACGTGGTCAAAATACTATTTCTCCCCGTCCCCAATATCTCGGAAAATTTCCATAGAATACAAAATTTACCAGTCGTACTTATCTGGTTCGACAATTCTAAATTTACAAAAACGGTGTTGGCTCGCTTCATTCAAAATTAAAAAATATGATAATTCTTACCCGTAAGTGGGTACGTGGTACACGACATTTTGGAGACACCCGGACAAGTGGGGCACGAAATTTTTGAGACACCGCATAAGGGGGCACCAAAGTCTTTAGTGCTTAGGGTACCAAAGGGGCATAATCCGCCCCTGGTCGTACTGCTCATTTATTTTTTATATTAAATAAACCTGGTCCCGTCACGTGATCAGTGTGAGATATTGCACTAGAACACAGCGTAGGTATAATTTTACATACGCCCCCTAAACTCTATGTCATAATCCTGATGTTATGTGTCGTATCACGAAGCTAAATTATTTGAAGACATTGCTCCACGTTTTTTATATTGTACGAATTAATTCTATATAGTCTTTCATTGTATGTGTAAATATAATCTCGTGCAGCAAATTTTAACCTGCTACTGGCGTAGGGTTATCAGATGGCAAGCTCGTTCCCGGATGTGTCACGCAGCTGAAATCCTGCCGTGAAACTAGTGTCTGTCACAGGTCAATATCAAAATGTGACCAGTCATTTTTTATCTCTTAAATTTCTTTGCAAAATAATAATATACTTAACACTTGATATTTTATTCAAAAATCAAATTATACTTTTGAAACAAAAATTAAATAAGACATCAAGCACCAACATGGGAATAGGAGAATTCTAGGAATATGAGAAAAATATATTTTATCAAAACAAACGAATCCGACATTTCGAGCATTTTCTATCCAACAACACTCTATTCCTGTGTGAACACACATCCATTGACAGTGGAGACAACATGTCTTGGCAAGACATGCATCTTTACCAAGAAACCTCTTGCAGAATCACAGAATAGTCATTCAAAATTTATCAAAATCCAGGAGGCCGCCAGTTGATTTTAGTTTTCTTCATTTCACAAGAATAACTTTGAATTATGTCACCAACTTTAATTCCGACTGGACTAATTTCATTAAACATAAGACCATATTCCATATTATCTGAGGCCAGTGTTATCATAGAGTTATGATGCTGCATTGATTCGAGAACACCTGAAATAAGCAAAGTTACATAAAGAACCTGTTAAATATCTAATGCAATGAGAGCCAAGTCACTTTAGGGATAAACAATAGGCATGAGTTGATAGTCAGATAAGAGGATTGAGCACCATCACTCTGATTTTGAGCACTGTACAACGAACGACTGGTGTATCTCCGCCAGTGCTATGGAGTCTGGGGAAAATTTGCATTCAACTACAAAAACAGAGAACTTTTTGAAAATGACTGACTAGAAGGCAATTCCTGGCTGAGTGAAATTTTGACTCAAGACTCCAGCTACGAACTTGAAAACAGAATTTTTATACGAAAAACCGTTGCACATGCAAGCATTCCTTAATTGCCTCTTGATAATTCTTTGTCAGCTTAATGCTTTGTGATTCTGTACAAAATTATCATCCTTAAATGTCTGTGAATTCAAAATTTCAACTCTACCTCTTTGGAGTTTGAAAATACAAATTGAGCTCAGACCCAATATCATATAGAAACACGCAAAACAATGACTCCAAAACATGAGCTCATGTAAAATCAAAGTCCCTTTTCCTCAGTATTATATAGTGTATCCATAAATTAGAATTCAAGATTAAGAGTGTTTGTTTTTTTCATAAGTTTGTAAGGTCGACTATTATCAATGACTTATTCAGTTCTGTTATTTATATAACATCTCACCTGAATGTACAACAACATTGTCTCTGAGTATACGATGAAGTTGTTTGCTTTCCAATGTTCCCTGCCTCACAACACATCCTGCAATGAAGTTCTTTTTCACAGGGAACACTTTCAAAACTTCTGATTCACCTGAAAGGTATTCAACATGATACTTTATATACTGATAAATTATAAAAAAAAAATTCAATTAACTCTTATCAATAAGCTAAATAAAAAATTTGAAAGTATATATTGTGCATATATATACAGGGTGGGTTATTCGCTATTTGATTAAGCCATATCTTGTTTTATCTGAAGAAGTTAGACTATGATCTAATGAAAGCGCATAAATATACTTGATATTTCGTGGAAAGAGATTATGTTATTATTATACAGGGTGGTCACTAGAAAAACAGAAAATTTGAAGGTCAGATGAGAAGGTCGTGCTTACTCATTTCTTTTTCGATACGTCTTTATTTCTTTTAGGTTCTAGGTTGTTTTAGGCTGATACCTTTTAATCTTTATTTGATTTCCGTAATATTTTGTGTAATATAACATATGCCTTTGAAAAACTTTGTGAAAGTTATGCTTTGTAAAAATATATAGCTGTTTGACAAATTTTCTGTTTTTCTAGCGACCACTCTGTATAAATAGCCTACATAATTAATGGAAACATTCAATAACGCATTTCCATGGTGTATTTATTGATACATGATGTTTAAATCCATGGCGTTACCTCATTAAAAATTTGTACGAAAGCCTTCTCATACCCCAATAAAAAGTTTCCATACCCTGAGACCTAATACAAACACCTCGATTTACTTTTCTTATAAACGACAAATTCCAAAAGAGGCTGCGTACAGTTAGACAATAATACATACAAGACAATTTATAACCAAATTTGACATAAGTTCCAGACCATATCCTCTTATAATCCCCTTTGGTCTTACATATGATACAGATTTAATCTCTCACCTAATATATTGACGTCTTCAATGATAGGCAATATTTCATTTATTTTGTCGATTATGTCTTCAACAAGGTGATATATTACTTTATGATGGATGATTGAAACAGTATCATTCTCTTGTTTTTTAACTTCTTGAAGAACATCAGTATTGAACAAAAATATTGAGGCTGAAATATGGAAATGGAACCATAGACATTGAAATAAATGTAGGAAGACAGAAAAAAATGAATAAGCATTAAAGATTTTTTCAGCTCAATATTTAGGCCATCTTGGTGCAATTAATATGATTAGTTTGATTTTCAAAATAAAATTGATCTAACGTGAGATGAACATTTCATGTAACAGTGACAATACGGCTCATATTCATAGAAAAGTGGATAAAATGACTTGGTCATATGGCAAACCAGTCCATGTTGGATATGTTAATATTTATCCAAATATTTGTTTCAGATGCATGAACTTGATGGTGGAGGAAGCTGTTGCCAACCAACCAGCAATAGCAGTACGTAGAGGAAGATGTTGCCAAGACCAACCAGGAATTGCAGTACGTGCAATCCTTCTGCACATAATTATCTCCCAAGGGATTCGTTCTTATGAAGTAATCAGAGGCAAGCGTATTTCTAGTTTTGTTTTTAAAGGAATATGTTCAGACTGAGTCGACTTGTAACATGTTAACAAATCAATTTTCAGTCATGTCTAACCAAATTTACCCAATGCCTGCTCTATTCCGTTAACATATCGATGAATAAACTAGATCATATTGACATCTCTAAATGATAAATATTTATAGACAGCAAATACCTTCTGTATTTTTTGCTATTTCGAATTCTGACAATGTTAAATTTCCAATTCCATGTTGAACAAGGTTCAGATTACATTGTTCATCGCAATCATAAGATTCAAGAATTTTCATGATTGCTTCCATGGAACCATCAACATCAGCTAAAAAAATGAAAACCATTTACAGGACAAGCACACTTTTATAACATAAATATTATTTTTTTAAAGAGAATTTGCTTGGAGAAATCACGAAAGTAAAAGAAATGAGGTTGTATGCGATCCCTGAAGTGCAGCAACTGAAGCATTGCAAAGGTACTGATTGACAAGAGACTCAAAACAGTTCAAGTCTATATGACCAGGAAGACAGCTATGATGTGGTTAATTCCACATAACTGAAGTATTTGGTATAAAGTTTTTGGCAAGTATGAAGGCTGAAATGAAAGGTTAATTTTGTCAAAGTAAGGTGAGGCTTATGCAGGAGAGTAATTTTTTTGTTATTAAATTGGTTATATGGTGATATTTCTCTACCGACTTGCTTATATACAGTAAATATGAAACATGATTGTTTTGCTTCAGACCTTTGACTAATATATTAAATGAAGGAATTTCATTATCTTTTTTATTCTTGTCAAAAGCTGCTTTAAAACTTGCTGTTTTACGATGAATTTTGTGAGAATATTTCTTTTTCAGTTCTTCATATTCCCTGTAACAAAAAAGTTGATCACAGAATAAAATATATGTCATTCACACTTAGACATATTCACAATTTTTCAAGAATATACCTTTTGTCAGCTTGACGTTTATCTTTCACCTCTTCCCATACATGATCTGATTCTAAATATTTCATTTCAGTTTCCCTTTGTCTAAGAGCTGCCTTGGCCTTTTGCTGCGAAAAGGGTTATTGCCAGTTAAAACATTTTTTATAAGTTTATTCACGCATTTGCTCTAAACAAGGGCTGGACAAGCATCTCCTAATACAAACAATATGTAAGAAGCTTCCAATTTTTAATAGATCAAAATCTTTCCAGTTGGTCATTGCTTTTTTACACTCTTGGTGAGATGATAGCTGATAGGCATGCTATTCAAACAGGAAATGTGTTATTTGTAATTTTAACTCAGTCATATATTCTGAGTTTATAACTCAAATTGGTCGGCTTATACACGCATAACTCTGATCACAATAACAATTTGGCCTAAACGTGCATAAATCTGATCGATCGCACGAACAAAATGACATAATGCTAACCCAATTCCAACAGCTACAACTTGTACGTCGTGTTACGTTTTGTAGAATCAGCTAATTTGCGAATTTTTATAAATTCACTATTATAGGGCCTTTTCAGGGGGTCGGCTTATATGCGAGGATGTATGGTAAGTCTTGACGCTTGAACTGCTAGATCATCATGCCCATCCAAAAATTCAGCTTGGTGAAAGCGTAGAACTATAAAAAAGGTTGGAAATGGAAAGAAAGACCATAAAAATGGTAAGACAAATTATAAATTCCTTCTGCAAACCACAAACCTCATTTTCAACTCCCAAAACCAATTGCCCTGCAGTTGGTAATGATCGCCATCCCATAATATTAGCGGCTTGACCTGGTTCGATTTTATCAACTTTACTTCCATTGCTATCAAACATTTGCCGCACTTTTGCAATACTCGTACCAGCAATTAAAACCTGAAAATTGGGAGTTCAATTCTATTTACAGGCTGATGAATGAATGAAGCTGATGAATTTTTGGTTGGAATACGGTAACTGTGGTATTCCGTTATGCAAAAAAATCAGCGAAATCGAAAAATCATTCAGAATTTCAAATACGGTACATAGCATTTTTAAATACGGAATATAGAATATATTCTGATCTGGGTCATCTTTAACAAAAATTTGCATCAACCATCGTAAATTCTAAGAAATTGAATTTAGTGACATAGAATATGTAGTATAACCCAGCAGTTCCCAACCGGGGCCCGTGGCCCACCAAGGAGTCCACAGAGCAGTTGGAGGGGGCAATCATGCTAGCCGCTAAACTGATTTTATATTTCCCTTTACAAGAAAACTCTGTTCTTCCTATTCCAATTGCTTGATAAGGTTATTTCACACAGTGTTTTCACTTTGTTGAACATGAAACGTTTGAACAAAATGTAATTTGGAATCTACCAATCAAAATTACACAATTTAGATATTTGATTCGTTTTAGACATTCCTGGTCAATTCTAAGATTTGAACAGATATTACTTCATTAGTATATTTAGAGTATAAGAAAGTATAAGGAAATGTCAGTATTTTTGTATTTTATTTTATTCAAAACAATTCAATGAAAAACTTAACTTACTGCTCCATTTTTAATTGCGCCTTGTTTAAGAACGACGCTGGCCATGTTTCCGTGGTGCTGTTCTTTTTTAGATTCGATGATGACCCCCTGAGCTTGCATAGTGCGATCACATTTTAAATCCAACTGATCCGCTTGAGCAGAAATGCAATTTACGAGTTTATCTAAACCAATATTTTTTAAAGCTGAAATCCGAACTGCCTGAATATCTCCACCGTTTTCCTCACATTTTATTCCGTAAGCTTCTAATTCATCTATTACCATATCCTGAGAAACAGAAAATTTTTTCAATCTCATTTTACAATAATAATTCTAATTGTCAGCATCTTTAAAATTATAGTTATTGATACACTTAAGCATCATTAGTGAGATGCGAATTATTGACTCAACTAGAGTCTTATTTGAGTGCCTTTTTGAAGACTCAAAGTGATTGGAAACATTCCTATAAAAAGGGCCTTGACTCGAACTTAAGACTAACCAACCATCAGAGAAACTCCATTGATAGGCTCCATTGATGCCGAGAGACATGTTTTGATTACATTATTAATTTCAGTTTGATTTTATAATATTTTCAGTTTAACATTGCAAGGGGGAATTTACCGGTACTTTCGATGTTTCTTATATTTATGCAATTCACTCCTGGATATGAAATATATTATGACTTACAGAACAGCAACGACTCAACTTCATTCTCAAATTTATGGGAGACACAAGACTCTAACTTGGGATTTAGGGAAACACACAAATTCTCTTGCAGCATCAGATGCATATTTTACAAACCATTGCTCGACAGCAACTTAAATAGTTGGTAAATTTAAAAAAGACCTCTAAAGGCTTGAAATCGCTAATACTTATACATTAAAACACCTACTGGTCGTGCATCTTTTTTGTCACATTTGTTGATCGCAACAACAATGGAAGTTTGTGCCATTTTTGCCATATTAATTGATTCAATAGTTTGTTCCATCACTCCATCATCTGCTGCAACTACCAATACTACGATGTCAGTCACCTATAAAGAACAAAAATTTAGAACTGTGAAACATTCAGGTATTAATTCTTGCTTCAGTTTTTGCCTATGATTAGGACTGGGAATTTCAGTGAAAACATTCGAACCATTTAACAGACAAAATTACCAGTTTCTGTATAATAAACGTGATATAAGACAACATCGCTTCAAATCATGTATAAAACGGTCTTTTTGGCTTGCTATTCTTACAATTCTAGAGCATTTTTATACAAACATGTCCTAGTGTTGTTCCAAATTTTCAAAACCTACTTTCCGACATAACTAATGCTCTACTTGGTCACTCTTTCACATTGGTGATGCAAGTCAAGTAGTGATATTATGTTGGATTAAAGATCACAAAATAAAAATGTGTGTTAAATATTTTTCTATAACTGTTTCGGGTGAAAGTACAATGGAAATGCGTTTCAACCAAGAGTGACATTTATTAATGAATTAAGCATATAATAACAGGTAACCGATCTATGACATATTGTTTGATAGATATTATGATGAAAATTCTAACCTGTGCACCTCTTTCTCTCATTGAAGTAAACACAGAATGACCTGGTGTGTCCAGAAAAGTTACAGTATGTCCTGTGTCAAGTGGAACTGTAAAATGATGAGGTAAAGTCAGAAAATCCAAGAGACACTCCAATATTCAAATTTGATTAACAAATATAGTTTTCAATGTACAAGAAAAATTAAAAAAGAATGCTAACAACACTCAAAAAAAGCACGCTGTGTATTGAAGAATGATTCATTCGAAGCAAGATTAATAAAATATGGAACTAGGTATTGAATTCGACTGTTGAAATAATTGTCAGCCACTGCTAGATATAGAGCTACCGTAAACATTCAGATCCAATTTTTGACACAATTTTGACACAAATCATTGTGAATCATTCGTTCCAAATACTGTAAAGAATGGGCATGTTCTAAAGACTTTTTTCAACTAAATTATTTGATATCTGCGAAATATGCAGATGGCAGTGATGGCCACTAATTTTCTGTCTATCATAGATAAGAAATGCTTAAAAAGACATTTGAATATTCTAAATTATTCCGAAAAGCAAAAATTTTCTAAATCGAATATAACTACTAACTTAGATTAAAGTATTCGAATATCCGATTCGTTTTGAACATCCCTGACAGATGCATCACTCACATTGCATTGTATTTGAAACTACAAACTGATCAAAACACTCTACCTAACAAAACAATGCAATATTATTCTTGATAGATTTACACAAAATGATCTCGATAAAACATTTCTAAAAAGACTTTTTGTCGTATTCATACGAATAAAAAGTACATAATATCTAACTAAATCAAAAGGAACTGTAGCCATCAACATAATGCAATTGTTGCTTCATGGTAAAGTGAATATATCTCACCAGAAAATGCTCCAATACTTTGCGTAATACCACCGGCCTCTCCTGCAGCCACTGATGTTTTCCGTAAAGCATCTAGTATCGTTGTTTTTCCATGATCTACATGACCCATCACTGTAACAACAGGTGGCCGGGGTTTCAATAAAGATTCATCTGTAGTTACTGCTCTGTAAATTCAATTTTAAAACAAGTTAAAGAGTGACATCTCATCTTGAACTATTAGTACTATATGCAACACTAGCAAAAAGCAAATAATAAGTTTTGTTGAACGACAAAAATTGGAGGTGTCATGTTTTGACTTCATCAGAGAATAGATAGGGAGGGATGGTTTAAACAGAACTGTTGGTGGGCGCGTTTACTCAGGGGGTTAAAGTGGTAGACTTCACTATGATGACATCGCAGATTAAAAATCAATCCCATGCCCAACACCTTGTTCAATGTGCAATAAATTTGGTGGCCAATGCCGAACCTGAAAGAATCCTGTCCTATTGAACTCTATGAGCTCTGTACCTTGCAATGGCCACTTATGCAAAGCCTGGCTTAGAGCAATGAAGCTGGAGCGCAGCTTAAGATAAAAAAAAGTGAAGCTTTGGTACCAGAGCCACAGTTTGAATATACAGTGGCTCTGAAGCGATTGTGATTTCAAACAAGCCTCCTCTAGTGATGTGCAACCTTTTATACAGGAAGGTAAAAAAAATGATTATATGTGAAACCGCAGGCCGCATCGTCATTCAACATAGTCTTTCTAGTAGTTGCATGCATGAAGATTTTGGTTATTGATCTTATGACATGTGTTGTTCGTTTCGCACAAGCTAGCTGTTAGGCCATTGTAACGACATAAGCATAGATAATAAATTTGACTCACGTATAAGGCTTTGCAACGCAAAATGATTGAAATCACTAGTTTGTACCAGATTAAACTCAATTAAAAACTCGTTTCGCGAGTCACACATCATTCAAAATTGACCCTTTTCCACGGGCCCCACAAATTTTCCTTGTTGTGTGCCAAATTTGGGCCTAGAGACAATGATAAAAATGCCCTATCGGCAAAGAAACCTACAGACTATGCATGAATTATCACTTACTGTGCATGTATGTCTTTATCTTTTTTTGTAATAACAACATCTTTGACTTCAAATTTACATCTGTAACCTAATTGCTTTACAATATGAGCTAAATCTTGTCTGTAAAGTTTCTCTGTGGAATGAAATATAAAAAATTTTGTAGTAAGTAATTGTATAAGAAACGAGAAAGCGATACACAAATACATAGACAAGAAAGTCTTTTTCCCTACTGTCAAATTAGTTTATTGACGACAAAATGGACCTATGGAGTGTTATGTTAAATTGTTTTTGTTGATGAAAAAATCGCCTTTTTCTTTAACTAACTTTTGCATGATTTTATAATTGTTGTTGTGGCTAAAAGCTATTACTTTCATGAAGTTTGTTTTTCACTTTAAAGTTTTGTGTGATGGCATCATCAAAATTGAAAATAGCGCACAGTGTGGCGATGCTACTATCATGTTTATATCTATTCATCTATAACTTAGTTAGTAACATATCCATACCAATGTACAATTCAAATCACCTTTTAAATTAATCTTGTGATATCTTTCTCTTCTGCCATCATGCATTTTGGATTTGATGAAACAAACTTGCTCTGGAATATAAAAAGGCATTAATCTGATTGCAAAATTTATTTCAGTCGATTCGCTAAAATCATCAGTCTAAAAAATTTTCATTTTCGTCTATTCAAATCCATTGAGTCAACTATTAAAGCATGGGATGGCCATAATCGAATACCTGACTATTCCAAATACATTTTCGAATCCCACAAAAGATATATTTAATTGATTTCATTTAAATCCAAGAACTTCGGAATTTAACTTTCGTAATATTATCATAGTAAGGTAGATGTAATTTGGATATTCCTGACAAAACCTACTTTTGAAAATTCCTTATGGTTAACTGCATTCAGTAAGAAATAATGGATAATTTTTGAGATACTGGAATCACATTTTCATAAGGTAACCAAATAAGAAAAATACTATTCCACATATTTGTTCCCTTTTAACGCAAGATGAAAATTAGCACAAAGAGGCAACAAGAATATAATATGATAGGAAATAAAATTCACAATGTAGTAAAACAGAAGATATACAAGAGCCGGTTCCATTACATTTGAACCCACGTACATTTGAACCCATGACAATTGCACCTGTATGCTATTGCACCTATGGAATTTTTTTTGTTCCACGGATAGTTAAACCCATACTAACCCTAACCCATGGGTTTTAGCACCCGCATATAGATTGAACCCGTGGATATACGCATGGGTTCAAATGTACGGTCACCACAAGAGACTAATGATGACAGAGCTACTGAATATATTGATCTATCGGAGAAAGGGGGTAACTTAATCAGTGGTTCCCAACTTTTTTCATTAAATTTCTTCCTTCGCCTATTTGGAATTCTATGTTTCTCCCTCGCTATGCATAAAAACTACTTTATTTGTTCAATCTTTAATGGATCCAAAGCTAGTGCTATGGGCAAGTTGCACTCCCGCTTTTTTACAGTTTATTAGTTTACGGTATGTGTGCCAAAATAAGTACGGTATTATGATGATAATAAAGAATATTGGTATTACTACAACAAATGCAAAGCACAAATCCTCCCAAAGAACGACAAAATTCCTTCTTGAGGAGGTATTGCTCCCTGATTGAGAAACATGAATTTTCTTAAGATGACTCCAGTCGTTTAGATTTTACACAAGAGAAATTAAAAAAAGAAAGAATAAAATGTTACCCTCTGTTCTTTGTGCTAACTTCGCAAGATCAGCCACAGTTATACCATCGGGCACAGTCAACATTGGAATTTTTTTCTTATTCAATATTTTTTCTACTTCAAGATCTCTCATTCTTTTCATCTCAGCAAGCTGGAAAAAAGAAATAGGTCAAGTTTTTGCTTTACTAGTTGATCGACAAAGCAACAACGCTCATTGAAGTCTATGAAGGCAAATTCGGCTTTTTGATCAGAGCTGTCGAATCGGAAAATAATACAATCGATAAAAATAAAGAAAAAAGAATTTTGACTCCGGTTCCAGGCTGTAAAAAACTCGAACCCGATGTCTGGAAAAATCAAACTTGGCATATTATGCCTTTTTTGACAGACTATTAAGAACGGTCAGTAAATTTATTAATGCTTTTTGAGTTTCTGAATAGATTTTAGACTTCTTTTATCACCACTGAGAGACTGAAATTCAGACTTCGAGGAGTTTGTAAATACGAGTACACTCAAGTAAAAACATGTCCAACTCTACTCCACAGCCTTGGTTTCGATGTCAAACATTGAAACCAAACTATCTATGCATAAACCAATAGTCAATACACATCCAAATACAATACGGTAGTTTTTACCTTTTTGCTTCGGGCAGTTCCCCGACTTGATTGATATGACCAAGATGGATAACGTTCAACCCTGCATTTTGCAATGCAAGCTAAAGTTTTTATATTTGCTGTGTTCAACTTTTGAATGGCAACTTTATGAAGAAGATATGAGAACCGTATTGTGCCTCTCATTTTGCTTAATCACACACAGGTAGCCTACACTGTGAAATTAGTATCTTATTCTGTTATTTGAATTTTACATAAATCTGTATATAAACATGCATAGACTACTTTTAAAACTGTAAAAACGTGCCATAAATGCACTAAATGAGTTAGATAAATTTTGGTTCAGTCAATATTGTATTTCTAAAAACAGCGGGTCTCATACTTATAGTGGGCATAGCATGACAATTTTTTCATGTATCAATCCCAACCCCCATCTGACTACACCATCAAAAAAATGCGTCATCACGACGTCACAGTGACGTAATAGAGCCCTTCAAACTATACGAACTGCCATCCAAGACGCGCAAACGAGCACCCGAAATCAAAGAGTTATTTCTCTCATTTTCTCGTTGCAACGATTCCAATAGGAGAGATCGTCAGTCCGTTCTTTATCGTAGGCGCCAATGCCATTTCGAGCAATCGTACGTATATTTGGCAAGCTCTATGACGTAATTGTGATGTCGTAGTGACGTAATTTTTGGATGGCGTAGTCAGATGGGGGTTAGGATTGACATATCAAAAAATTGTTACCGGTATGCTACGCCCACTAGAAGTACGATAGGTACGAAACTACACGAGACCCAAAACAGCCAATATTACGGTACCTTGAAAGAATAGATTACAGGATACCGGTAGGTATGCTATGAAAAAAATGACGTTAAGCAATGGTCTCTAATAGATTTCAAATATCGTACATAAACCTCAGTAAACGGAATTTTGAAATCACATTGAAGCCTTGATTCGTTTAACTTTCCATTTAGTTTTTTTTTCTTTAATTTTGATGAAATGCAATTTCTCAACTTCAGCTTTTCAATCTGGAGCCTGTTAAATCATTTTAAATTTCATTTTTATTATTGCACCGACCATGATAGCCTACATCACAAAAATACACGTTGTACTTACGCATACCATCAACTCCAAGTTCCAACCAAAGTCCAGCAAGTGGCTCACTGCACGTTCGCATTTATCTATTCGTACTTTTGCACCATCGTCCTAAGTGCAGTTTCAAGTCTTTTGTGACGTCTAGAGCTGCCGCAAAACCATTTCCAAACCATGGCCGCTATGACCAAACCCACGGCGACTGACTTTTTAGCTGCCACAAAGCAAAAGCGAGCTGCCGTGGTTACGGCAGCAAATCATGCAGCAAATTCAAATCGAATACCACCAATTTTGCTGCCGTAACCACGGCATGTCGGCTGTAATAACGGGGCTGCCCCTGATGGTGATGAATATTCGCTTAGCACGCTTATTGGGTAAGTTGGAACGCTTTTCTTATGAATACAGTTTTGATGTATTTGGGGTTAGGTTTAAGTAGATATAATTCCGCAGGATAAACTAAAATATAAAACCAGGGCAAGAGACGCCGCGGTACGTTCGTGGCAGGGGCTACCATGAAGTGGTAAGAACTTAGCATTTCTCGTCCCGTGACTTAGTCTTAGACTCTTAGGACACTAGTATGAAAGTGCTATACCGGTATTTTGTAGTGGACATTAACAAGTTTTGCATGTGAAATAAGTATTGATTAAATATTATCTCTCTGCAGGTCGGTGCACAGTGCTAGGCGTTAAAACCCGTTTCCACCCATCGTTAGTCACCCTGCGTATTTCGCCAGCCCTAATTTGCCCCCCTGATGTTACCACCAAAATCTGACTAGTCCTTTTTGTTGTAGGCATGGTCTCGATGCCGTATTCTTTGCCCAATAATCTTCAAGATGATTGAAATAAACTGCCCATTTTTCCTTACCACCCACCACTCACACATCTATTAGGTAAATCTATTTACTAATCATGTGCACAACCCAGTACTGTACCCAAAAACGATTTGATTACATTTAACTTATGCACAATCATCAGGATACTATTTCTACCATTTTCTGATATAAACGATTGACTGAATACCAAGTTCCAGCATTAGGAGCTTAGAGATGCAACAGACAAATCAGTAGTGTTTCTACTTGAAGAAATTCAATGGACTACATCATTTCAAACATATATTATCAGTGAGCATGCAGTCAAATTTATCATCGTAAGATCCTAGAAAATCTTCTTAGCCAATGAAGCAGGTGCAATAATCATGTCCAATTGAACAAACTGAGAAGATAAGCTTGCACATCCTACAGATATACAAATACATGCATATTTCTGAGCAATTTTTGAAAAAAGCAAATGCAAAGCAAAAATTCTCAAAATGAAATTTGAAATATACTTCTATGTGATTGTGCTTGATTTCAATAGATGAAAATATTTTTAAACATATTTTATTAAAAGTTTATATACCATAAGTTTTCACAAGCCGCCAGAGCATTATTTGTATAATGAAGATGAAATGAAGTATAACACGACAGTACTCGAATACAAATGATGGAATCTATGTAAGATTTACACTCAATGTCCCAAAGCCAAGAGAATGAATCTATGTAAGATTTACACTCAATGTCCCAAAGCCAAGAGGATGAATCTATGTAAGATTTACACTCAATGTCCCAAACTCAATAGGATGTGAGAACAAAAATTTTTGTCTAATTAAACTGAAAAAATTAAAATAAACGAATAGTTTATTTGTCAATCGTTTGTTAATTGTACATACAATAATACACAGACTTATGTAATTAATTAATACACAGATGAACACTCCCCATGTGTGATACTGCCCCGTTGTAATTACAAAAGTTTTTGGATCATGCATTAGAAATGTTTAACTGTAACAGTTGACTGCCAGGAGTTGTGATTTCGAAAACATTTTTCCCAATCCCTCTGTTTCCATGAAATTCAAAACTTTATTACCCAATTAATATATCAATTATTCATTCAGTGAACATCACGACAAAAAATTACAATATATTGACATAATGTATCCAATATCCATATTGAATTAGAATATTCCACCTTTCTAAACAATGTCAAATTGAACAAAAGTACCAATCTTATGAGAGATAGTAAAGGGATAAGAAGATAAGAAAAGGAACTCGAGATAGTATTATAACATGACAGAAATTTTGAAGATTGATATATAGTGATGTTGATTCACTTAATTTAAAAATTGAACTTTGATTCTCAAAATTAACCCAAAAGTACAACATATATTATGTATATATAAAGAAACTTGGTATATGATTTTATAATATCATGCTGCTCTATGGAAATAATATTTTGCCATAGAATTGTACAAAATAGAACTTTCAAACATCTGGCAAAAATCCAAAGCAATATCTAGGCTGGGCAATACTAAAATTCAACTAATTTCTAATTTTTTTTGCTGTATTTATCTGATGACACAATTTGAAACTTCTGCTAAAAATAAACCAATCGTCCAAAATATAGCCAACATAAGCTCAATATTAAACCACAGACTTCTTGGCTTAAAACAACAATTCTACCGCTTTGAAAATGTCCTTTTTTTAAAACTGGAACAATTAGATGAATTTGAGTGGCAGTTACAGACAACGCAATTTATACTTTACAACAATGTCATTTTGGGGCTCAGAGAAAACATGGAAATGAGAGCATTATTTTGAATTACACCATATGTGATGAAATACACACGACTTTGTACTGGCTAACTAGCTCCATCTATGTATAGTTGATAAATAATAATATAGATACTAACATACTAAATTGTTATACTAACAACATAAGAACTAAATAATGAAAAAAAAATTAAGTACACAACTCAGTGTATAATCATAAGAAAAGAATATAGATGTAGTTACCAAAGAAATCACGATACCACAATAAAGTTTACAGCAGGTATATATAGTTTTGTCATGCATAACAATCATCAACACAATGGCTATGGACAAGAAAACATCATTTGTTTTTTATTCTTACTCACCGCTGATAGCATGATTTTAAATATAACTTGACTGAACCACATTTATATAAACAATGTAAATCACGATTATACAACTACAATGCACATTACCCTGCTCGGGCGGATACTACACAGCAGACTTATTGCTGTTTGTGTTGCCAACACCATTGACAGCATATTTAATATACTTTTTTGTCTATTGATAAATCAAAATTATTTATTTGTTGTTTATTGTGCTAGAGACTGCAGCGGTAGCTGCATCAGCTGCTGCTCTCTGAACACCAGGATTCTTCATAACTCCACTGGCAAACTCTTGTTGGGCCTTCTCGAAGCTTGCACCCGTAGTTCTGTAGATGGAATGTACCTGAACAATAAGAAAAGCATTGTAAAAATAGCCTTGCATCAAATATTACCTTTCAACACATCAGCACTAGTTAAAATAAAAACAAAATATCGGAAAGTCTTTAAATAAAACATTTGACTTTTAACGAAAAAGAAACGTCCAATTCACAAAAATACAACAAAATGATAATCGTATCCTTCCAAAGCTTATTCTATGAAGAACGAGCTTTTTTCTATGACCAACAAAATTTAAAAGTTATGCTATTTGCCCAAATAGATTTGATACATCAATGTTTATGGGCTATTGCTAATCAATAACAAATAGGGAAAGACTAAATCTAGACATATGGTGAATATTGAACTTAAAGATCACAAACCTTCTTAAGCAGAAGAACATCTGCTACAGCATTGACTGTGAATAGGACTGCTTGAGTGTAGCACATGATTGCTACCCCAATATGATTTGTGTAGGAAAAAGCAAGAATCCATCCAGCATATCCTGAGTTGGGAATTCCAACACACATCACCACACTTGTTACAAACTGTTGAAGAAGGATTAATCAATAGTAAAATGAAAGCTGTTAGAGGGGATCCACTGTAATTCGTTTACTACATATTATATATATAATATACATATAATGGTTTGCAATTGAAACATTATGGAAAATGGAGAGGAAAAATCCTAATGGTCCACCTTGTAGTATACAATGTAGCATATCGCCAGAGTAAAGTTAAGAGCTAGAGCTAAGTAAACAGTGCTAAACCTTGAAACTGAGAGTTCAGTAAAATTGGATGTAAGTACTTCTAAACCACTTTTTTGTTTTGCTTGGGAGTATGCTTCGAACTACCTTTCATATAAATTTGCTATCAACTAACAACAAAAATCAACTATTAATACAGTGATCAATAAGGCACTGGGGCATAAAAAATGCATTAGAGGATTACTGTTGGTAATTTACCAAGCATCGGTTTCCATATTTCTAGTTACGTTATATAACAGAAGCTGGTATAATAAACATCATTATTGTTCTAAGATAATAATAAAACTCCGCGATTTTTTCATACCTGACAGAACATGATGAAGAAAAAGAAGAAGAAGTAGAAGGAGCTGTCTGATTTGAAAGCACTGTAAGCAGGTCTGTACCAGCACATTGAACAAGGAGCATTGAGACAGAACCACAATATTGCCAAACCAAAGCCGACACCTTGACCAGAATCTTGTGTGAACACGGCCAAACATGAGAAGACATTGATAAATAGAATAACTACATAATACATCCACAAGTAATACAACATTTTAATTGTTCGTTGAAACTCCACAGGTATGTCAAGAGAGAAATCTTGAAAAAAGCAAGGCCCGATCGGACAAAACTTTGGAATAGGAGGCCAGTTATTGGCTCTAGGATTGAAATTCCCAGCATTCATCTGTTGCTCTCTTCTATTCAGTTCTTCAGCTTTCCGCTCTAACTCTTCTTGCCTTCTCAATAGTTCTTCATGTCCTGCTGATGCTTGTTGAGGAGGCTGTGGACTCGCTACTGCTGCAGGTTCAGGTGTATAAGGTGGTGGATTAGAGCTGGGTTCCATCACAGCTGGCTGCGACTTTGGCTGAGAAGCAAATGGGTTATAATCTTCCAAATTAGCTTCCTGAGAATTTGCAGTGGCATTTGTAACCGATTGGTCAGCAAATGGATCTGAAAACGGATTAGCATCGTATTCCGACATTTTGTTCGTTGTCCTAATCTAAACGCTTGTTCTAAAGAGTTGATGTCAGAATGAGACTATAATTTCATGATATATAATTGACAACTTATACTAAGTATCTGTAAAAATCAATATTCACAAATGTTAAGTTAATGCTTACAAATGTAAAAAGAGATAAAGATAATCGAGCGCCTCAATTTATTACACAAACCAACTTTCCCCTCTGAACACCAACACGATTTGTCCATTTTGAGCTGACTTAGACCTGTACCCCAAAATGGTCAGCAACCATCGGCTGCAGTCCAATGTCAAATGTAACATTTTTGTAATGTCAACTAATGTCTGTTGGATGCTATATGAAAACAGATTTTATTGTCCAATTTTTAATAAATGATGACGAAATAATGTTTGCACAGAATTATAGAGTTAACAGTGTTCCAGCCACAGTGAATATTTATTATTTTCCTTGCTGAAGATTTGTGTTGTTTTGAAAGCCACAGAATATTTTAATTTCAAATAGGTCCCATGTCGTAATTGCTATTATTGAATATGCTATATTGCAGAAAACTTCCTCACATGAGAAAACTTACTTTACTGAATTTTTTACTCTCTTCTTCTACAGTTATACGTGAAATAGGATCTTATTTTAAATTATCAATAATTTATGAGACCTGATTGGAATCAATAAAAAACATGGCAATTAGAAACTACAAACACGTTCAATAAAGTAAAATCAGTAACCAAAAGAAGTATTAAATAAAACAGAGCTCTTCGAACTGGGGGTCCCCGATGCCTTGATGGGCAACAAAAGGGGGTGTCGGTAATATATTTTCCTAACACTAACTCATGTTTGAACTAAATTTTTATCAAATTTGAAACCATTACCAAGTCCCACCATCACCGAAATCGAGCCTAGATTTCATCTTTTGTGCGAAAAAGAAATTGGAAATCAATCTAATAGATTGACAATTCTATACTACCTCTGTTGTTCTGCCAGTACTACTGAAAACACATTAAACGTTAAAGTGAAAAACCGGGTATACTATCGGACTATTGTACAATACCAATTGCAGAATTGTAAAGCTTACCACTGTACCAATCAATTTATGCAATGATAAATGTTCAAAAATTTATGGTATGCTAAAAAAAACCTCATGCTGTTATGGCTGTATGGCATGTTTGCATGTATTGTATATCAGTATATGTACAGATATTTTTACATAGACCATGCACACCTTGGTATTTGCCTCACACTTCAAATTACAGAATTAGATATCACACCGACAAATCTATATAAGTGCAAGTTGCAACAGTTATAATCTGGTTTGACCCTTGCCGAAAGCTGGAAAGCTACAACTTCAATTTAGCAATAAAGAGAGTGACAAATTAAACCTTGCTTACTGTTGTACTGTCTTATGCCTGTATGCTGTAACTGCTTTCAGGCTTTGGCTGTTTACTGTGACTACTGAACTAACTTACTCCTGTACCATACTCCAGAAAAAAATTTACTTGCAGTTCAGCAGGTTGACTAGTAAGACTACCATGCATACCGCATTTCTATTGTACAGTTGTATTTTATGCCATGGAACAATTAAATTAGAAGATAAGGTACCGGTAAGACGACCTTTTTATCATTTTTTTCACCAAATTGAATTCCAGCGTCAATTGAATATCAGAATACTGGAATATTGCATTTCAGCATTTGTTACACCTAACTTTTGTTCGAATAAAAACCAAATAAAGAAAACGAATAAACAGTTAAATTTTGATTTAGAGATTACATTTTGGAAAACTATCGCAATATTTGAACTTCAATTAAGTAAAGTAACAATAAATAAGTTATATATAAGTTACATGCGAAACGAACCTTTGACAGCGTCTCCATAAATCGAATACAGCAGACCGAATGATTATGACATCACAGCAACATCGTAGGCTGCAGTCTCGTGACAGCCGTGATTTTCATGATATTACTTTTAGCGATTGATGTGCACGTTTATTTCTTTCATCACGGGACAAAAAATGAAAATTCCGTTTTTGATTAAAAATAAATAATAATGTTTTTGTTTATTTATGAATAAAGCAATGTGAGCTACCTTCTAGTGGTTGGTATAACTATATTGTACCCGCACATTCGTGTGTATACATCGGTATGTTAGTCGTTGGTATACATGTATTTTTTGTCTCGCGATGTCTTGTGTTATTATTAGGGCTGGGAATGGTTAACCGATTTTAGATGGTTAACGGTTACGATTTATTTTAACCGTTAACTGACATCTCAGGTACAAATCACCTTTATAGTGTACAATTCTTCAAAAATGATTACGTCATCGCAAATTTATCACCTGTGGCGTTTAAATCAAAAGAATATCACTAACTGTATTGGTAAGGACCCAATAAATGTGAAAAATGATTGAAGTGCCAAGATTGCTGATTTTCGGTCGAAATATGTTGTTCACGATTTTATTGCAAAATCGTATATTCAATGTCATCCAACGAGTGCGCAGTTGATGATGTTTTTCTTTATGATGTCTCACAGTAGAACTTGCACGTCGAACACAGAATATTTGTCACATGAATGACATTAAAATTTAACTTAATTTTAAGTTATGCTCGCCTTCCAGGTATCTCTGCATTTTGTTTGTTTGTCCAGTTTTTATGTCAGAGTACCGAAATAAATGATCGATTGATTGATTTACTAACGGATTCGGGTTTTACCAAAATACTTCCATATGTCCGAAGCACGCTGCAAAAATTTTTTTTACGAGATTTACTCTCAATACAAATAATAACGTGAATGCAAAAGGTACAAGGAATAATGTCGAGAGCCAACCAGTGTATTTAAAAATCGTCTTTCCTACCTGTTAACGAAATCTACATCCTTATTCACATACCTGATAGAAGTCCTCGCAGCCAATCTGAACAGAGTTTCTAACCAAAATATTTGAATTGACGTTGCTATTGAATTAGATAGATTTCATTTAACATTGCCTTCTGAAAATTTGTCATTAAAGGGGCGTTTGGCATCCCTTTTGTCAGAACAAAAAATTTGAATTCATTAAGCACTTGAATAAATCAAAACAACTCTTATCTCAACTATTTCTCCATTTACCAAATTCATCTTTATAAATAAAAATAATTTGTTTAAACTCCCTTGTTAAATATGACCCAAATTCGAAAAGTCATACGAAAATTATTCATTTTAGGTTATGACTCGTAACTACGGGTTTGGGGACTTATACCCATCACTGGAAATGGATACTGCTGGATCAACGGAATCTAACCTCGCTCTTACATCTATTGAAATTCATGATATACATGATTGAAGTTTTCAAATGTGTAATATTTCATGTCAATTTTGGGAAAGAGGAACGATAATAGGTGTGGTCGGTTACCATTGAACTCCAGTCAACTTACAGACTAATTGGGAATAAAAGCTACTGGCAATTTGATTGCATTTCTCTAATATTAGATAACTTTTGAGTTTTGGGAAGTTTTTTTTTTAATTTTGCTTAACTATCAGTACACTTACCACAACAGTATACAAAATACAAATAATTACATAACAATAGTTTCCAATATATTTATTGAAGAAAGTTTAACACCATTCACACACCATTAACACAAACAGATATTGCACAATTAAGTTGTAAAGCTATAAAGTAGGTCGCAGACACATCTTTCCTATGGATTGAAGAATTTGTAAGAAAAGAAAACAGCATACAAACCAGTATATGAACTTTTCGCTCCATTCAATTTTCCAACAGCAAGATCGTTTGGGTTATGATTTTGGGTTTTTTCACAATATACAAATACTTGTAGATTTATATCTGGTGCAAAAGGTTAATTATTTGTCGCTACTGTGGTGAATACTGGTAAATAAATCCAAAAATCCACATATATTTATTATTATTTTTAAATAACTCCTGAAGCAATTGAAAATAATAACTCAATCCGGCTCTTATGCCACCTCATGGTCCGGAAATTCTGTAATCCCACAAAACCAATGGATTGATAGACAAAACAATACAGACTGAACATTCAACCTGTCACACAAATATTGCTTAAAAGTACTGAGCATAATATAAATTGGTTAGCAACAGTATTAGTGCACATAAGTGTAAGTAGACGATTTCATGGGAGAACTTATACAGTGAGTCCTTCATGCTAGAACATTAAATATCCAACTGCTATAATCAAGGCTACCATGAAATAATATTGAAGGCTACAGACAGTGTGCTATCACACTTTTGGAACACTTAAAATGAGACAAAAACTTCCGAGCTAGGATGGACAGAATGGAAAATTGGGCGAAAATCCTCTATCCTCTACTTACTTACAGAAACAAATGCTTAAAAAGATTTCAACTTCAGCAAAGCATCCAAAATTAAATTACATCAACCTAATGACCTTCAATATAATTTGAACTCTATAAAGGATGGCACAATACTGAATGTTGCTGAATGCTGAATTTTTATACATCATGATTTAGAAAATTTGTACGAATATCCACACAACAGCAAGGCAGCAATTACTGCTTACAGTACTATACACTAAAATTGTTCAATTTATATTTAAAGTAAATAAAATAGTCCAACAATTGACTGTTTAAGATATACAGATGGTTGAAATAATTCTTCAGTACTATATTTTGAAAAAACAAAAAAGTACATGGTAAAAATTGACACTTTCAATTATGTTGTGCAAAATATTTCCATAATATTATGGATTGAAAAAAACATTGAAAAACATTTAATGGTTTGTGCCACGATAAAATGCATATAAGTGCACAAGTCAGAAATATTAGCTATTAAAAATGAAGACATTTAGCTGGATGGTATTCGAACCTATATACTGTGTGTAAACGCTAACAGCATATTTATTTGAAAGATAACACATTTACTCAAAAGATTATTATTGCTTATATCAGTGAAGAATTCGAACGAAAAAAAAAAACATAGCTCAAGAGAATAATATAAAAAAAAATACATAATTTTTAGTTCATAAATAAAGGTGCAGTGTTACATGCTTCATCGTGTGTTTTGGCACTGAAGTGCTTGAAAATTCCAGATGTTACAAATGAAAAGAAATTGTTGACATTACAAACTTTTGAAGAATCATGGTGATGTTCTGTATAAGGCAATAAATATTGTAGCAACAAATTCTAAATAGTTGAATATTTCTATTCCAGGTTTTGAGTACTCTTCATGCATTTTCTTACAATAATATCACTTGAAATTGCATTCAAACAAAATGCAATATTGCATCTTCACTTTGTTTGCTATTTTATCTAACTTCCTCATGTGGTTCAAATCAATGAATTGAGAATTGCTTTTTTGTTTGAGAAAGTCATCAAAAGGATCATCAACCATTCCAGAACTTGGGCTTAAGCATGCGTCACAAGGATGTAGCCTATTACTTCTCACAAGAAAAAACAACATTTTGGGATAGATTTTACATATTTATCCCAGGGGGAATAAAAGCTAATAATATGGCTTAATCAGACATACTTATCCCGGGGAAGAGGATAATATGGCTTAATCATATGGTGAACCATGACCTCTCGTCCGGTCCATGTCGGAGATGGAATTAGTTAGCGAGATATTTGTTTTCAGATGCATGGACTTGATGGTGGAGGAAGCCGTAACCAACCAGCCAGCGGTTACATGAACCACCCTACGGCGGCGAGGAGTCCAGCATGGGATTCAAACCTGTGAACACTCGCAGGATAATCAGATGTACGGTGGCAAGTGGATTCCCAATGCTTAGCACGATGCGCTACACCGCCATGCCAATGGTGTTTTCAGAGTTGAGATAGACATGAATTCCAAGGGAAATAGAGTAAACCTATAAAGTATAGCTTATGGCAGAGTTGATGCGTCACTCAAAAACATTTTTCTGCAAATAACTCCATCCCACACCTTTACGCTCAGATAACAAGTCTTCTCTATTACACCATACCAGCTCGAAAGATTACTTAAACTGCTCTATCTCAAGTTTCAAGACAATAAAAATATCTCTTACCCTGAGTTTTACAACATGCTGTTTGCATTGTATAATCTTTTCCATTGAGTAAAATTCTGACAAAATGTTGATTTGTATCTGGATCGAACCAGAGTTCAAACACAAGCCTTGTTCCAAGACGAGGCCACCTTAAAAATAAAATTTTGTCACAAATAATACCATATTTGGGGTATATAGGAATACTCTTATACCACAACTTTCACTCTGAACAAACAAATATTTATTCAAGTATTCAATGATATTAAAATCTAGTATTTTAGAAGTACTAAAATCTTTATGGCATAGCATTGCTTACCAAATTCATTACATTTTGGGTCATTGGTTCTCAAACTGGGGTCTGCGAAGCGATTTTAGGGGGACCGCGAGACAATTTTAGCCTCGGAACGAAAGCAGTTTGATTTGAAGGAAAATTTAGATGTCATGCTTTTGACAGTGATTCTCCAAACCACGGCACGCTCTACCGAAGACATTATTACGTAACAAACGTTTGTTAACGTGGCAAGTATCGCAAATCAGAGCGTATTGTTTATGGAAGGCCGGGAATGCGAAAGAAACCAAGGCAGCAGCTGAGGCCAATAAAAAAACAGGAGCAAAGAAGTGACTGGAAGCATCTGGCGCCCATCGACAGCCTAAACCTTGTAAATTTTCTCTGGGTTATTTAAAAATGCCCCCGCCATAAGAAACAAATTTATTATTGACGATTCATGTGTCCGATTTGATTTTGCTGTGATAGTTCTGGAGGAAAAGAAAAACTACAGTGGCACCGTTCTACCCCGATGTCGCTAAGATGGCACTAAAAAAAATCCTCATTCCATTTGCAACAACTTACTAATGTGAGGCAGCCTTTTCTACGTTACTCGCTATTAAAACAAAATGCCGAAACAGAATGGACATAAGACACGATATGAGAGTTTCATTATCCATAACAGAACCCAAGGTAGAAGAACTAGTGGGAGCCAAGCAGGCGCACCTATCTCATTCAACTAACTGTTTTATTGTCATTCAATAGATGAATGCTTGAAATACCCTGTTGCTAATTCCTTTCATTTCTGTAGTTGACGGTGAGTCATTAGAAAAATTGTAAGGGGACCGCTATGCATAATTTTTCAAAAAGTTTGAGAACCACTGTTCTGGGTGGTAGTGGGCGTAGGATTGCAATCAGAAATCTGTAACCTGTGATGCCAATATAGTTAAGGAATAGCGTTCTAGTCTAGCAACAGGACTATCGTTCCTTGTATGATCAGATAGCACTTTCATATTATTCCAGGTAAAATGAAAGTGAATATGATGGCTTAATCATATGATGAACCATAGCCTTTCATCCAGTACATACATGTTGGGTATAGGAATAGGTAACAAGTTAATTGTTCAGATGCATGGATGATGAAATGATTAGCATACTGCTAGCATGGCATCTGCATCTAGGAGGTGTGCAAGCTGCGACCAACGAGCCAAATGCGGTCCACAGGAAAAACTGTGTGGCCCGTTGGGGATTGCCAATTTTGAATAGTGTATGGGCTGCGAAACGAGTTTTTAATTTAGTTTAATCTGGTATGTGCGAGTAATTCCAATCCCTTAGCGTCTCAAAGTCTATACCCGAGTCCGATTTATTATCTATGCCTATGACGTTACAATGCACTAACAGCTGGCTTCAGCACAGCAAACAACGCGTGTCATGAGATCCATGATCAAAAGTATTTTACTCGGCACTACTAGAAAGCCTACGTTAAATGAGGGTGCGGCACGCGGTTTCACCCAGTTATTTCTATCTGGCCCTCTTGTATTAAAGATTGCACACCCCTGATTCAGCTCACTACAATCTATATTATTTAACTAATCTGAATACAAGTTTTATTACAGGGACAAAATTATAAAAAAAAGAAATAAACACCTGTATTCTGGAATTCCGAGAGATCTTATGAGAGGTTTCAATGTGGTGTCATGTCCTGATATGAGAACTACATCAGGTTTGGTATCGTTTGATATTTTGTTCATAATCATTTTTGATATTCTATGTAACAAGGGACGAAGTCTCAAAATTGACTGGTTTACGTAATATGATTCTTTTGAAATTCGCCTTAAGAATAGGAAAAAAATATCAAATAAATCTCTCGTGACACTGTTAAAAAAACGTAAACAACAAATTCGAAATAAGTCATCAATGTGACATTTATATCAGAAATACTATTAGACATTCACAAATTTGAGTAGCGATCCTCTACATTAAAAATAAATACTGAATTGATTGCATAAACCACAAAGAAGACAATAAAAACAATAGCATTCCTACAATTTTGCCCATCTAAAATTCAGTCTTCATTAAGATTCCTCCCAATATGCTGTTGTTTAAAATTTATTTTCTACTTACTTCATCATATATTCTTCTTCTTCTAATAAGACGTCGAGATCTTTCACAGTGACACAAGATTGATTGCCAGCACAAGGTAGTTTATAGTTTTTGCAAAGAAATCCAGTCACAAAACTATCAATTAGAACTCCTGAAAAAAAAAGAAATATAGTGAAATACTCTACACAAAGTTGCAAATATTCATAAAACTGAAGTTACCTTTGGCAGGTTATGCAAAATCTCAATCAATATGAAACAGAATACGCATTTCTGCGAGGCACTCGAATTGATTCAAGTTACAGAATGAAATGCACAGTTTTTAGATGACCATTTTTAAGTTCAGTGACAATTTCAATAGTAATGTTTTATACAGCAGATCCTATACTCTTGTTGTCAAGTAATATTTAATTTATTTTATTTGTGTCTTTTGGCTATTTTTCATATTTCTATAGAAATAGATTTTTTTACTGCACAGCAAGTATATTACTCTTAAAAAAATAGCAATATCTATCACCTGAGTGATCATTGATACCAAAGCCATCTGCGAGTTTACGAAAAGTAGAATTCTTTTTTTGATGTTCAATATAGATCTTATACCTCATGTTTTTTATATTTTGCTCCAATAAAGAAACAGCAGGACATTTTTTCATTGAAAAAATATCACTGTTAGAATACTTGATATCAACCTGTGAAAATGAAATTGTGAAACAATGAAATCTGGAATGTGGAGGCAGAGTATGGCATGATGTAATTGGTGTCTGAGTTATATTTTCAAACTTCCCGGGGTCAAATGTTAACGTCGAAATTTTGGATTCCTCAGTGGTAGAAATTTCAGACTTTTAATGATGATAATCAAAGGCAAAATTTTTTTCAGAAACTCGAAAAAAAAAGGTTGTGATAAGCAATCTTGAAAGTATATTGAAGAAGGCTTGACTACACCAAAGCATTTGGTATCAAAATTTGATTTCTTTGAGAGCTTCAGGACAGAAATCGCAATTTCTATCAATATGGAGTTGAGGTAAAATACCTAGTAGAAGTCTTCGCGCTGAAACACGATCCAACAAAACTGAACAATACATGTCTGGGATAGAATAAGATTTAGATATTCTTCCAAGTGGGAAGGAGAGCCGATGAGACGACTCAAACATATGACGAACCACAGCCTTTCGTCTAGTTATCATTCCATGTCGGGTATGGGATTAGTTAATCGGTTATTTGTTTCAGATGCATGGACTTGATGGTGGAGGAAGCCGTAACCGACCAGCAGGTACGCAAATCACCCTACCGCGCCACACTGTCAAGCAGTTTAAGTTATTTTTATTTCAAATCATTCTCAACAATAATAATTGAAGCAAATACTTCGATCTAAGCCCCAACAGTGTCATGACTGGAGTTACTATGTCTTGCTACCATAGAAAAATTTTCCAGAAAGACAATTTTCAGTTCATGCTTCTAATTTTTTTTTACATATTTGAATTTGGTATATCATCAATGAAAATTTTAGTAACTACCGAATTAGATTAACTTTAAAATCCAGGAAAAACAACAAGAAGAAAAATTAATATCTAACCTGGTCTAGATGAAAATCAGGAATGAGTCCATATAAAAAAGCAATAGCACTCTGTACAGTTCTAGATCTGGTTGTGGAAACAACAAGAATTTTATTGGCTATTTCCGCTTTATTTTTAATTGCTTCTGCCAGAAGATTGTGATTTTGAATGTACATCTTCCGTAGTATTTCACCATTGTGTATGTGCTGAACCTGAATATAATAAATTATTGAAGAAGATTGAATAAGATTGGAAACAAAGTGTATACATGGATCATTCTGGTGAATTCTTGTTGTTGTTGGTAAAAGGACGCTTTTTTTATAACAAATACACCAATCATTTTCAAATTGTCCATACTCAAAGATTGTTGGAACAGCTAGAAGGCTCGAGAAGACTTTTTATGAAACATGGGAGCACTTTTTAAAAAATAGGGAATGCTTCATTTCATTATGCCAGTCCACCCACCAATCTTTCCAGAAAACTCACTCACTGTTCAGCTAGAGCTGAGGCTTTACCCTACAGTACTGTGACCTATGACAACATTCATGTCCATATATTGGGCTTTACTTCCCTGATTTCCTATTTTGAGATAAACATGGAATTCTGGAGATTTATTACTTACCACACCTAACTGACTCAAGGTTGCACTTCCACAAATTTCGCTTCTGGGAAAAGGCGAAGTAATAAGTTTGCGTCCTTGCATTATCAGTCTTGTATGATCCAGTGATATTGTCTTCCTAAATTGCTTCAAAGAAGGATGACTAGGCTGATGATCTGTAGTCCAATTAATAATTTTTTATGATATTTAGATGCACCAATTAAAAATAAGACAGATCATTACCCAAGGACCCAGATTTAGATTCTACTATTTGATTTTGTATATCAACTCCTTAGTCACTCATTTTGTAAAAATTACGCACCTTGTGGCAGTATTTGTATTAGTGGACAGGTGAAGTCGTAAAGACTGTGGTAGCGGTACGGTAGTCTACTGTGACAGATTGCATACACATTCCACTTCGTTTTGGCCTTGACTTTGAGCATTGCTCTCTTGTTTATTAATCAGCTGCTATTACATTTTGAGACACACACAGACACATATACTTTTGCACTCATACACCACTTGAGACCAATGAAGCATGACTGATCAGAATAATCTCATTCCTTTACGGTTTAACCAATGCTGTCGGTCACTGTGAGATTCCTAGTTCAAAATAAGGTACTATATTAAAATGTTATAATATGAACTTTACTTGGTCTCAGTTGACAATAGTCTGGTCTGACTTTTAGTTTTTTATACAATTCAAATCCTATTGGACTTCTATCACCATGTCGAATAACAACTTGAATCTGCTTCAACACCCAGCTTGATTTTGGAGGTTTACCTGCAGAAATGGATAAAATGTTACTCCATTGTTTTGCATCAGATTTGTCTCTGATTACTCTGTATGGGTTTGCAGGTTTGAATCTTATGTGGGGTTACTCATGTGCGAGAGGATTGCTGCACTCCCTGCCGCTGCAGGGTGTTCTACCTAACCGCGTTTCGCGGCTTCCTCTATCATCAAGTCTGTGCATCTGTAAATGAATAATTGGCTAACTACCGGTATTCCAATACACGAAATGGACTGGCTGTGATTTGCCATTAGCGGTCTTATCGGCTTCCCTCTCCTTCATGATAAATACCGGTATGTAAATCCTATGATTTAGGTTGACAATAGTTTAAAAAATCAGCAATTCTCGTAAAAATTTATACATAATCTATTCTCCTAGCATCATACGGTCATTACTCAAATTGTTTTCAATCAGTTTATTTTAAGGTCTTGGGACAAATAATACTTGTAAATAATGACCGTCTACTGATAATGCAGTTAACTATATAAATAGTCTGAATTCACATACCTTCTTCTGCAGTAAATTCGTCATTTGCAGAAGGGAAGTTGCAGTAATATAAGGATGGAGAGATGGGACCTAAAATAAGGTCGGATGAATATATTCTTCTATAGTAGCCTACTTAATTGCAGCTTTGCAATGAAAAGGCAATCATATTTTGCCAATGAGAAAAGTTATCTCAGATAATATTCCTCTGAGCCCATCATAAACATTGTTTTTACTTTCTTTTCAATAGGTCAAGAATATGGAACAGATCTACAGCAAAAGTAGAAGGTGTGATATCTATAGAGAGCCTGAGCTTGAATAAATGACATGCCCAACCTAATGAATTTGAATTAAAAAGTTTTGGCCGAATATGTGATTCAGATATGTTAGAGTTCCAGTACCCATATTACAAAGTAGCGCTTCTTATTATATATACAAAAATTCTGTATTCACAAAAGCACTGCCTTCGAAATGAGTGCATGGTTTATCGACACCTAAAATGTTTTATTCTACAGTTCACAACAATTCATACCTACCTTTATCTGATATATTCCATATATTATTTTGTCTTTGTTCTATTGATATCACGCTATCTAATTCAACCTTGATATGTTCCGCTGTCACTCGTAACTTTGTGTTAGCCAGTACTGAAATAAAAGATCATTGATTGCTATTACACTACAATTTCGCGTACCGGTAAGTTTTCCGCTTTTAAAGTTTCACTGAGATTTTAAATGATTAAGATGCAAGATATGAGATATATATTTTATTACAACAATGCCAATGGTTAGATAAGCAAGAGAAGAGAGTAATAATAATGGCTCAACAGTTGAGCATTAGAAAAGAGCTATTTTTCATTGTGGTTTCACAGGAATCCATGGGAAAAATTATGTGCAAGAGGATTGTTGGACTCCTTGCAATTACAGAGTCGTTTGCATAACCACTGGCTTCTTTACTCAAGTCAACGCATATAGAACAATTATTCTGTTAACTATTTCCATACCAGACCTGGACAGGTAACTGAACGAAACCAAGCCTCCTTTCCTTTTTCTTCACGGAATATGAAAATCCTAACCTATTACAATAAATTAATAAAAAGCAAAAAAGGTTTGACCACAATGCCAACAAATGACTCTTTCATCCTTGCCGGTAATTAAGAAAACTATCAATCAACAACAACAATTTGAACAAATTTACATAATAATAACTGCAATTGAAGTTACAAACTCTAATTTCAAAAACAATCAATATAAACTGTAACTATCACACTTAGTAATGCTTCATCAAAACAAACACAGAAAAATGTACTTACACACAAACAGTATTGTTGCCAGACATAGAAGAAAGCAACCAAACATGAGCAATGATTTCAATCTTGTCATCTTCTTGTTCTAAAGGCTTCTGCATAATCGGTGACTTCATATACATTTGTTTTTAAATGTGTTGCAGAACTTATCATAAATAATTAAATTACATCTGTATGCAAACAGGAAACAATCAAAGATTGAAAAACTAATTCCGTAAGATTAAGTATGGCAAAAATGAACAATATGATACAAAATGCTTCATAGATAGACAGATTTTTATATCTCATAATCGCAACAATGGAACTGTGTCAAATAGAGGTTTGGTAAACATATATTAGTTTTGTTCTATCATTTATTCAATATCATATATGACCTAATTCTGCTTTGCTCAATCTCAACATATATTATGGGCATTTAGATTGTGCAATATGTGAACATTAGGAAGTACAACACTTATATTATCGTTTAAAAGTAAAACAAAGTTCAAATAATATTCAGTTTGTGATATGTTGGGTTGATAGAATGTTAATGACTGGACATAGATTTCAGTGCCGGGGTTTCAAAAATCATCAGAAAAGTCATGCGAATCAATCATAAAAAAGCATAGACTAATGGAGAAAACAAAAGCTGTATATCAGGAAACGAAAAGAATTAGGATGAGTTGAATTAGATTCAATTCTTCGGCTCAAATGGCCTTTTTTGTATTCCAGTAACTGCAAAGGCCCATTGAAACATGTACATATGCATCCTTATATCACAAATAGTATATGTACAATTATGAAATATGAGTACTGATATGATATAAATTGATACAAACACATTCAACTGTGCATCCTGATATTTTCTGATTAAGCGAAATGCATTATTCAAAATAGTTACAAAAGAACAAGACAGGTAATATAGAAGTGACACAGCTACTAAAACCCTAAAATAACTAATAGCTTGCTACACTTCTTCTTATTTAGTACAAACTACATACAATTGAAATAGTTACATTTATACTCGAACCATCCCGGTAAATTAAAAAGCATCAACAAACTATTGAAAGAATAGAGGATGAACCGAAATAGAAGTTAGCAGTAATGCAGGAAACAATATTCATTTTCTCATTATTCATTTATAAGCTTATGATACACCAATCAATTATTAGATATATTTTCAGCATATTTTATAGTTATACATCCACATCGAGGTGGATAATCTGCATGATTAAATGGATAGATAGGACTATATTGATTAACTTGAATTTCAAGACTCGCATCCATAGTGTGAAAAACTGGACTTGGGACAGACAAATCTTTAATTCGAAACTTCCTGCAACGAGACAATCCTAAATCTTCAAAGTTTAAGCCGGAAGTTTTATATGTGATCCATATGGGTAGATATTTGTCAATATTTTCAAATACCAATGTACAATTTAGCAAGTAAACATCATCCTTTACTGTTGATTTTTTCCACTTTACATCTTCAATTGTTATGCCGATATGTATAGGTTGTTTCGCTTGATTTTTAAGCCAATCTTTTGGCAATTGCGTTTTTCCAATATCAATTAGTGCAACCTTTTCCAAGCTAACTTCTCTAGATGTTGTGCACCAAAGCTGACACGGTGCACTTAAATCCAATTTCAATGCCCAATATTTACCATTGCGGAGTTCCATAAACCGAGGCTCAAGTGTAACTCGTTCATCACCACTGATCACAATTTTGGGCGTGATTCCTTCTTCAGAGTGTTTTTCTTTTATATAAACTATCAACCAATGGTTTTTTTCCACATTAAACTGATCACGAAATAAAGTAACATACGAAGATCCATTTGTTTTGATAGAATGATTATGCGTTTTCACGAGTGGAATATGTTGAAATGATATTTCGCTAAGTGACGGCATTAAACTTTGTTCATTCAAACGAAGAAACCTTGCTTGCTTTAAAGTTATATTCATGCCAGGATTGAAAGTAGATGCCAGATATTTTATTTTGTTGTCACATATTAAACTATGTGAATTACAGTGAGAATGAAGACTGGTCCAAAACTTTCTCTGATTTTCTTCGAAGTTTTTACTTCCTAAAACTTCTTTTACCCAGCCAGGTGCAAATATAGCAGCAGATAAGTTGTATCTGAAAAGTTATCAAACATCAAACTGGAAATTAAAGCTAAAAGTTACAAAACTTAATGCAGACAATAACCAGAGTTAGGTAGAAAAAGTCTCTACATCCCAAGTTTTGAGTAAAGTCGGGTTAATTAACTTAGTTGGGTCTCACATTAGATGACTTGGGCCAAGTCATTGACTACCTGTAACAATAACATCAAAAATATAGGAGCGGAGGACCCAACCTTAGGAAGTGTGTTGAGAAATAGGTTCGGAATAACTAAGTTATGAGTTGAGTCACTCTTTTCAGCTTTGAGTCGAGTCAATGAGTTGAGAATCGCAAAGACCATCAAAAACCAACATGTAAAGAGCTACTCTGTTATTTTATCGATGATCAGTTATAGGGAGAGGGCATATATTTCAATGTCTTACTTCCTGATAACTTTCAAAGCAGCAGCAGAATTCATTCCTCCTCCACCATAACAACCTCGTCCGAACACATCAATCCCAACATAAACATCTTGTACTCGTTCAGATGAAAGTGCAAATTTCATAGAATTATCCAAAGTATCTTCATTCCAACCATAATTGAGGAAAATTCCATCACAAGCTTCGAAGAAAGGCCTAAAAAGTTGTGCAAAAATTAACCATTAATGACAATTGAAATGCACATTCAGTTCAATTTTCAGGTAAATGTAATACTTTTAAAGCCTAATAGAAAGTTGAGAAAAAATTTATTTGTGTAGATTGGCCCTTAAATAATTCCAAAATCAGAAATATATTACCCGTATATTCAAAAACAATCAGTAAAACGAATTCCAAATAGATATAATCAATTTTGGCCATTTTCAAACAATTTCTTCACAATTCCACTTTGTTAATCATTAAAAATGTAATACAAATGCTATTTTTCATGCATTCCAAGATAATAAATATTTATGATTTCATCGAATACCCATTTTTGGAGTTCAATTCGTTTTGCCATCTCAAGTCCCCATCGATAGTGACACTGTCATACCAGATAATCTGACTTACTTCTATTGCATCGTGCATTTTATCAGTCAAATAATTAACAAATTTCAACATGTTTTCTGTGTTGGGTTTCTGAAAAAGTGTGACAAAATTATGGTGAAATAAACCAATGATGGCAATGATACCACGAAAAAAAAATTCTACTTTAAACATATTTGATACAACAATGTATGATTTTTTGTTGTCTGAAAAAAGGTGAACTCACTCATTTTTTATTGTAATTAGTGATTGGTAATTAGCTAGCTATGTCAGTGTCCCATATTTCAAAGAACATAGGTTCCAATCTGATGCCCACCACCTAGGGTGTACTTAAACAGGGTTGGTAATACCAAAATTCCGAGAAAATTCCTGTCTTTCTATAAATAGTAGTATCAGAGGCTGCTTGTACTAAGCCTTGTTCAGAGTAAAATTGCCCCATAAAAAAATGAATGTAGGTTGTCTTTGCGTATGCAAACTTGGATTTAACTTATATAAATGTCGAGGTATAACAAGCAAATGATTAAAATAGGGATTCAAAGTCTGCATATGACAAGATGGATAGGATTGGATTTACTTATTTATCCCCAGGGAGAGAAAAGCCGCTTGGGCAGCTCAATGATATGTCGAACCACGGCCTCTTGTTCGGTTACCAGTCCATGTCGGGTATGGAATTAGTTAGCCAGTTATCTGTTTCAGATGCATGGACTTGACGGTGGACGAGGGCAAATCCAACAAGCGGTGAAGTGAACCACTCTAAGGCGCAAGCAGTCCAGAAATCCTCTAGGACATAATTTTCTACCATGGCATGGCAATGTGTTCTCCGCCCTAAATTGAAGAAGTTATTTCTAAATGCTATTACAATTTACACAATATAATAGCATACATATTTTGCACATTAAGATTGCATTATAATAGGCTACTGAAACAACAGTCAAATCCCACATAACAAAATATAAGAAATTGATATCAACACTCTAGCAAAACATTTCAATTTGTAAACTACACTCTTAAAATAAAATTCCCACGCACATTCATGTTGCTTTCAATATTGATGAGCCATCCTTCAAATTTGTAAAACTTTGCAATATCAACAAGCTTATCAGCAACTGTTTTCCAAATGCAGTCAAGAGAAAAGATTGCTTCACATCTATAAATTGAACAAAACATGCTGGTTGTATGCTAGTCGATGAGAAATAACCCCATCAACCCGTTAAAGTGTGATAATTGATAAAAAACTAATCTACATCAATCTTCACATTACCGTAATCTATAGTCCTATTGGAAACATCTTCAATTTCAATGCCTTCTATCAAGTTGGTGATAGTTGCCTAAAACTTAGCAGTTAAAGTTGTGTAATATTCCAGCAATCTTTCATCAAAAAGCGATTTACAAGATCTAAAACTTTTTTCATGACTTTTTTGAATTGAGTTTTATCGACTTAGTACCCTAAAAAACGTTATGTGAGAGCAGCCAATGTTAATTGAGAAAGCATTGCATTGTCTACCCAATTTATAACACCCTGGGTGGATGAGATGGTGGCCATGGGATTTCATCCCGAGCAACGCTGCAACCACTTGCGTCTTTAAAATATGTCCATTTAAATAAGGGTTCTATTTTGTTGAGGTCGACCGCTTTCATGAAGACCCTCGTTTCTGGACAGCGGCATCATTTTTTATATTCTGCATAGTCATATGAGTCAGCAAAACTTTGTTGTGATTGCACCCATCGAGGCATATCCTAATTACCAGATGTCACTAATGTGGCATCATCATAACGGTTCTTCTAATCTGTTGTTCTCTTCATGATTGTGTTTTTTGAAGTTAATTTTTTGAAAAATTGTTTCTTCGCTATATTTGCTGCTTGAATTCAGGTATCGCTGACTAAATGACGTTGCGACCCCTCCTCAATTGCTATGAATCAATGTTTTTCTGTTTTCGTTAGTTTTTTTTTTGTGCGTTTATTACTTTACTTTGATTCTTGCATGGTGAAAATAATTATCTATAGTTGAATCTGCCATACCTTTTACTAAATCCATTGAAACTCTCAGCAATAAAAGTACCCAGAACTGCAACACCATTAGTATGAGCACTGTTGATCCATCCCACAGGAGGAATAGTTACAAAATGGTGACTAAAATAAACGAACGTATCGACAATATCCCAGTATGCTAAGTAATACCATTTATCATCAGTACTGATTTTGCCTTGGACGAACCTAGAACAAAATTAAAAAGTATAAAAATGATGAATAGATAACATACATGGAAAGAATGCTTGTAAATTGACCTTGGACTGCCATTTTTCATCAATTTGACTTGTCTAAATTTAAGTCGATTGCAAAGCATTCTAAAGGGCTTTTATCAATGACCTCTGGAGTTATATTGTAAATGAGAAAAAAATTAATTAAACCTCATTGAGTAAAAATTCTTTAACTGTCCAATTTCAGTGCCGGAGGGCGGAGAATATATAGTTAATAATACCAGTGAAGAAAAATTTGACAGTAAGATAAATCGAGCCAATATTTTGTTGTCAAAGTAAATTGGTGTCAGTTACAGAATTCTGTTGGCAAATAAAATAAAAGACCCAGCAAAACGCTGTTATAAATGGTAACTAACAACTGACTATTCATATTTCTCAAAAGTTTAATTTTAAATTAGAACAAACCATATTGCATACATATGTGATAAAATATGCGTTTCATCAACTTAACGAAACTTAACTTAAAATAGCCATCAATCTTTTTTGTGTCCATATTTTAATTATTTTGTTTACTGGTAATAGTTATGGAAAACTGTAAGGTATGAGCGTCACATAATTATGTTAGAATATACTTTTTTAATACATAAAGTTGAATCGATGATATCTATAGGCCTACCTGTCATCCAAATATCCACCAGCCATGTCATGACATACAAGGGTTTTTGTTGATCCAGTTGGAATATTTTTCCCAAGATAAGGAACTGTAGCTACAGAGAATATCTGCCCACTATCTTCTGCATCGTCAGGTTTCCATGAAAGTAAATCTTCCAAATCATGCAAAGGAACTGAAACTGGTAAACCATCCTCCACACTTCTACCAGTAAATTGAGAAGGCTTTTCAAAATCAACATTCAATAACTTCACTTCTTTAGATTCACTCATAATTTTCAATTATTTTTCTAGGAAAAACAAAATGAAAAAATTGTTTTGCGTGACTGATATTATTTCTTTAACTAGCTGGTGACAGCTGAATACAGTAGAAGAAGAAACCTAGTAAATGCATGGATTTACTTTTGTTGACCAAGTGTACACAGCAATTCCAGAAGCTTGTAATAACATTATAAGAAGAAGTATTTGGCAAAAATCATAAAGTTTTTGCGGTGTATTCTTTAACAATAAAATACATATTTCTTCTGATCTGCCAGACAAGATCAGTGATGAAATTTGGAAATTGAACTACTTAGAACAACCCTTTTTAATGCATTCCATTTTTGCCTATTTCGACACACTGTATTCCTTTGATATGATGCAGCATTCAAGTACAGAAACCTTGTTTAAGAAGTATAAAATAAGACATGATTTCTAAACTAAAAATGCTGAGTAAAACAAAACAAAAAACAATCCCATCTTACTTTATCCTTGCCTAGATTTAAATGGCGACAAACAGTTGCCAGATCCAGTTCAACAATTGGTGGAACAGATCCTGAACTCAAGTCAAAGTTTTGTATTGTTGATTCTGGGATATTTGATTTAGAGTGTACTAGAATAAATAAAAATGAATATACATAAATATAAAAATATTACAATATATCAAACAATTTATTAAAATTGATGAAAAAATTAAAATGGATTACTAAAACAAGTTTCCTATATTCGAATACTTTCTAAACGTTAAACCAAATCATGATTTAAATCATGCTGTATTGCTTGTTGCACTAGGCAATCATGATATGACAAACTAATCAATATAAGATAGTGTTTATCGAATGAAACATTCAAGCTATGACTAATTTGAAAAAAAAAACAGGTCAATCAGTCTTCTAATTTTACCTATAAAATGATAACTAATAATAAATAAGAGTATTAAAATACAATCAAACATTAAAACAATATATATCGGAATAATGTTAAGCTTCAATTTCTATAAACCACTAAAACCAGATTATTTTTCTAAAGCTATTCTTGGAAATATAAGTCAGAAAACAGGTAAAATAATATTTACTTTCAATTTCTTCTTCCAATGCTTGAGTATGAAGTATGTTGATGATGAAATATACAACAGGAATAGACACTGCACCGATGCAACCAAGGATTGGTAATACTATTGCCCAAGCTCTGAAAAAATCGGGTTGTAATAAATCAATAAGAAGAATGAATAAATGCATTGGGCAATATTGCATATTATTATGTTCATCTATCTCAAAATGACTCTATGCATCATCCGAGTACCATATAGAGTACTTTTTTTATATTTTGATGGTCCTGATCAAAAATTCTTATACAAAAAGCATTTTTGTACTCGCATATATTTTTAAAATTTGTGTGTAACTATGAGAGAAAAATTACATAATACGAATTATACAGTTATCATATCTTCCCAGGCCAAAGAAATCCTAAAAACAGCAGTATAAACTTATACATCTATTTTCAGCGTCTGGCAATTAGATGAACCAGAGTCTAACTATACTTAGCTTATACTACATAATGACAACTCAAGAAGAAAGATGGATACATGTTCCCAATTAACATTTGAACATTTGATTTTAGGACATACACATTCAAACTTTCTCCTCAGCTACGACTACAAAAAAACAGGTTGATCACAACATGAAATATAGGAATGAGTCACAAGCGAAATGTTACTAGGTTCAAAGTATTTTCATAAAGACTTGTTTTGACTTCCTACATTTTAATGAGCAAATATGAGCAAATATATTTTAATTTTCATCCTTACTTGGTAGGAAGATAAGTTAGGCCAATACTGTGAAGGACTTCATCAGGAACATATGCCCATATCACAAACACTGCTGAAAAATATACATCATTGTCATTATTATTTCTTTGTGGTATATTCACTTGATAACATGGACAAAAAACAACAACCAAGTAAACGATGGTCATTTGCTTATTAGAGATTCAAAAGCTAGCAGTTCATATCTTTGAAAAACCACACAGATATATGAAATGTCAAAAGGCCTTTGCTAAATTATTTCTTTAAATTAGCATATATGAGACATTGTTAGAAAAAAGTCTTAAGCCAATTACTGTATTGGCGTAAGAAAGGAGAGCAAAAGGCAAATCCTATGGAAATGAAAGACATTTTCAAATTCATACTGAACGGACATCTGGAGAATCCCAAATACTTGTAAAGATGAGCCTTACACTTTAAGAAATGTGGAAAGCGTCCATTACATAAATCACATTAATAAAATCTCATACTAGAAACAATACTACATTAAAACCATACACATGTGAATATTGTGGGAAGTCAGATTATTACAGTCAGATTATTACATTTGCCCAACCAAGAAAACAAACTGTGGCTATTAAGAATACACTATAAAATCCTCACACATGAAAATTGTATTGTCATTTAGCAACCTTCAATATCGTAATACCGGTACATGATACAAAGAAGCACTAGGTTTTTTAAATTAGCAATGCTCATTCACTGATTCAAATATTTTTGTTTACATCTCTTTTGATCACCCTTTCCAGTTCAGCAGTTATGCAATCTCAGGACTGAAAAATAACTCTGACTCACTCACCGAATAAAATGTAGCTTGCTAGATAAAGGACAAATCCATACGCCGCTCTCTCCGGAGATGGACCTGGGCTTGGTTGAGGCATGAACTGATAAATAAAAGAAGCAAAAGCACCTAAAAATCGACGACAGCAGAGTAGCCTAGATGTGATTAATAATAAATAGTATAGAGGACTTGCACGGGTCACGTGACATTGTTACTGGACGGCAATAAAACAAAAACGTCCATTTGGCTCCTGTCAGTTGCAAGTCGGATTATACGTTTGCGTTTTGTTTGGCTGTTGAAAATGGTTATTTCGTTGTTTTGTTGGCTGTACGTATAGTATAGACAACGAAATGGATCTTCAGTAATATTCCACTGATTTCAAAAGATCCTGAACGTCGCGCAATGTGGATATCATCTATTGCCTATTGGCAGAACTGCTTGGTGTCAAGTCCAGAAGCCATCTTACTTGTGTTTCACTGTTTGCGGACAGCACTTCGTTGATGGTGAGTGATAATGTGGTGATAGTGCGCCGTTATCAATTTCTTTAAATATTCACAAGCTCCCTCATTTCAATGGAAAGCAGATGACAAACTACTGTTATCAGTAGGCCTAGGCGTAGGCCTACTTGCAGTTGCAGACTTGACTTGTGTAAGACGGTAAGGAATTAATAATCAACTACTGTTATTAGTAGGCCTAGGCCTAGTTGCAGACTTGACTTGTGTAAGACAGTAAGGAATTAATCTAATAATCAACTACTGTTATTAGTAGGCCTAGGCGTGGGCCTACTTCCAGTTGCAGACTTGACTTGTGTAAGACAGTAAGGAATTAATAATCAATTGCTGTAAGGTATTGTTTCCCTGATTAGCAGGTAATCTATTACTAAGTGTGAAAGGTTGAATAGATAACTAAAGTTTAACACCAGTGGTCATGCAAAAAATAACCAGAATTCAATTGAATTCGCCGTCTAGGAATACGCTCGCCACCGCATCTCTGATCACCCTGGTAGTTTCACAGGTTTCAATCCCATGCGGGGATAGTTATGTGCTAGAGGATTGCAGCTCTACTCCCACCGAGGGTGGTTCACATGACCGCTGATCGGTTACGACCATTCCCCACCATCCAAGTCCATGCTTCTGAAAACAAATAACTGGCTCCCCCCATATAAATCCTATCCTAATGGTGCTTGTACAACTGATTCAACTGATGTCTTTTTATTGTCATTGGTAAAAAAGATATGCTACCCGGAATCAAATTCATTTACGACTAGTGGCTGTGGTGGGATATGGACATAAATTTCACACTCCTTGACCGTTAGATTTCATGAAAACTCATATCTGTATCCATTATCTGACAGATATGGGTGCGACCATGGAATAGATGGATGGCAAAGTATAAGTTGCAACAATACCACAGTGGCACAAGACCTCAGCATGCGTGACTTGATAATACATCCTCAGTATCCATTTATTGATGCTTATCGTAATGACAAAGTAACTTGTCATTACTGTGAATTGGTGGAGATAAAGTGTCCATTGTGCTTTAACGAAATCAACTTCAAGACGACCCTATCAAGAAAAAAAAATTGTTTCGGTGGGTCTGGTCGTGAAAGTTTCAGTCTAACGTTGGACACCGATACTACAACCAGATACAGTTGCCAATGAAACTTAAGCGAGGCGTAATATTGCGACTTTGTGATCTGAAAGGAAATTCTGATGGGTAGCCGGCTAGCCGCAACCTTTTGTTTAAAGAATATTATGAGATACGACTTAAGAGTCTAAACTTTTATTTGAGAGGGGTATAACCCAAGCTAATTTGCAAATAGTATTCATGGTACCAAATGTATCACACACTTTACAGTAATTATAAATTATATTTGAAAAATAAAGCACATCAAAAATGTATTTTTAAAAAACAATTGGTTTTATCTGCAGATACTAGGTTGATATTGAGATTGACCATTTCAATGCTAAATTTTCTTTAGTCAAAAGGCACACTTGATTCGCAAAAATTTGTGAATGCGCACAGTACACCAATTTGTCTAATGTTTTGATTCCATAGGCAGGAGGTTGTGGATCGGTGCTGCTTAGGATGGGATATTTTTGCCTCTAAATGCCTATTACGTGTATTACATGTTTCACATGAATCCATCGTGCTCAGATTCGACTGTTTTCAAGGTCTGAAGGCTCCAACAGCCTTATTTTATGGGTACACAAGAGAATTCTCAGTGTGGCATGCATGGGTCAGTTGGAGTCACCAACCTCAAGATATCTATAAGCAAGGATAAGATAACCTGGAAGTAACATTCCATAATTTAGAGTAAAAAATGTATCTGCCTCCACAGTCCTTTCAAATGGAAGATATGATGCCTCGGGGGTAATTTCTATCAAATATTTTACAGTATTATGGTTCTAGTGAAAAGGGGTGTAGACGGCTTTTTTTTAAAGTGTGGTAGGTCTAGTCGAAAGACACATTAAATGTTTATGCTAACAACTGCGAATTAATATTGCAACGCATACAAGTTAACAGAATTTGTTGAAATGGTCCTGCCTTTTGCCTTTCTTCAAAATCCTCTTTTTTCTAACTATTCTCTTCTTTTCTGGGGATGGCGAAAATTCAAATATCAATGGGACATGTAAGCAGCTGATAATGGGTTATCTTCCCTTTTTCCTGAAAATAAATTAAACACTAATCATCATTTGACAGTGCCAAGTTTGTGTATCAGATCAGTAATAAATTACCTGCTAACTAACAAAACAATCAGACAACACCTTCTGACCATTAATGAAGATTTCTTTCAATTTAAAACGCAACTATGCCTACCAATGTGGGTAGTTTTTAGGATAGAATTTATCTGTGGTTGGGGACAGATTGCAAGGTGCAACATCGTACGATTACCATTCAATGTCGGGATTAGTTAGCCAGTTATTTGTTTTAGAAGCATGGACTTGATGGTGGGGGATGTCGTAATCGACCAGCGGTCATGTGAACCACCCTTAGTGGGAGGAGGGCTGCAATCCCCTCGTACATAACTATCCCCGCATGGGATTGGAACCTGTGAAACTCCCGGGGGGATCAGAGATGCGGTGGCGAGCGTATTCTCAGATAGAGAATTCAATTGAATTTCTTTGCATTAGCACTAGCGTTAAACTTTAGTTATCTATTCAAATTTTCACACTTACTAATAGATTACCTGCTAACTAGGGAAACAATACCTTATGGCAAATATTGATAAATACCTTACACGAGTCAAGTCTGCAAGTAGGCCTACGCCTAAGCCTACCAATAACAGTAGTTTGTCATCTGCTTTCCATTGAAATGAGGGAGCTTATGAATATTTAAAAAAATTGATAACGGCACATCATGACTCACCATCAACGAAGTGCTGTCCGCAAACAGTGAAACACGAGTAAGATGGCTTCTGGACTTGACACCAAGCAGTCCTGCCAATAGATGATATCCACATTGCGCGACGTTCCGGATCTTTTGAAAACAGTGGAATATAGCTGAAGATCCATTTCGTTGTCCATACTATACGTACAGCCAGCGGAACAATACAAAATAACCATTTACAACAGCCAAACAAAACGGAAACGTATAATCCGACTTGCAACTGACAGGAGCCAAATGGACGTTTTTGTTTTATTGCCGTCCAGTAACAAGGTCACGTGACCCGTGCAAGTCCTCTATACTACACAAAGTTTGATGTAAAATCCCACTCAGCAAAATATTAGTGTGCCTATCGTAAAAATTAATTAAATCAAATCCCATCAATATTTCCTTTGGGAACACTGCGGAAACGTACCATATTTTTGCTTACACGTAGTCGGTTGGTTAGTTGCTGTTCACATTGGCGATATGGGGGAGTACGACAGGGGGTCCACTTTCGAGCTTCGCTGTGAAGTCCAGCAGTACGCCTGGGGTAAAATTGGGTCAGCTAGTGAAGTTGCTAGGCTGTCAAGTTCAGCCCACGCCGACTTTGCAGTGGCAGAAGACGAGCCATATGCGGAATTATGGATGGGAGCACATCCTAAGGCGCCAAGTCAAATTTTAACACCTAAAACCAGTTTATCACTTCTGGAATATATTAAAAAGAATCCTGAAGTTTTGGGAAAGAAAGTGAATAATGTTTTCAAGGGAGAATTGCCCTTTCTTTTGAAGGTTCTCAGTGTAAACAAATCTCTCTCAATTCAAGCTCATCCAAACAAATCTCATGCTGAAAAACTCTTTGCTGAGAGGCCTGATATTTACAAAGACCCAAATCACAAGCCAGAGATGGCAATAGCTCTAACACCATTTGAAGGAATGTGTGGTTTTCGTCCACTGAAGGAGATCCAGATGTTTTTGAAAGAGGTTCCTGAGTTTCGAGCTGTTGTTGGAGAAAGTGAAGCAGAAAATATCATGAAATGCAAGCCTGGAGATGAATATGTAGCAAAAGCATTAAAATCTTGTTTTGAAAATGTTATGAAATGTAATGCTGAAGTCCGCAAAAAAAATCTTTCAAAGTTGATATCTCGTATTTCTGTTATGGATCAGGAATCAGATTCATTTTCAAAATATTCTGGGGAACTTTTGCTTCGCTTGAATAGTCAATTCCCAGGAGATGTCGGGTGTTTCGTTGTCTATTTTCTCAATCATATTATACTCAAACCAGGGGAAGCAATGTTTCTTGGTGCTAATGAACCACACGCCTATCTTGATGGGAATTGTATAGAGTGCATGGCTTGTTCAGATAATGTTGTAAGAGCTGGCCTAACACCAAAATTAATCGATGTTCCAACGCTTTGTGAAATGCTCAACTACCAACCAGCTACCCCTGAAAGCAAGATATTTCCTTCGATACAAAAAAAAGACGATCCTTATGTGAAGGAATACAATCCACCTGTGGATGACTTTGCTGTGCAATATATTTCTATACCTAAAGGCATTTCTGAGTACACAATAAAAGCGATTGATAGTGCCAGCATATTGTTGGTTTTTGAAGGCAAAGGGGCAGCAAATAAATCAAAACCTTCTGGACTTGACTTAAGACCTGGTGCGGTTTTCTTTATTAGTGCAGACACTGATGTAGCAATTTCATTAAGTAAAACACCTTTCATTGCTTTTCGTGCTCTATGCATTTTGTAATAATACATACAAATCTATATTACTGTACAGTTTAGAAATATTGTTACTGCTCTACCTTATGACTAGGGCTTCTTTTCATCAGCCTGGATCTTAAAATACTGCAATAGGTTATCAAACATTTACATGAAACTCTAGCCCAGATTCTCGTTTATGATGGTAATATATAACAAGACCCTTGAAATGAATATAGATAGCATTTTCTCCATTTGTAGAACGACCAGCACCTGTGCATTTGTTTTTTCATGAAAGCCCTGCCTATAACATAACTCTGTCAAGTTCTTTCTCAGCACCTTTTTGAGAATGATATCATTTTTTTTTCAATAATTCTTGCTTTTATTATTATAAATTAGATTCGTTAGGTGTATTTTGCGTACAGTTTACCTCTGATCAAGTTTAATCAAATTGGCAAGAAGCAATGACAGCTTTCAACCTTTTATTAATATAGAAGTGGTTTCATTAAGGTAATAATCTCCAAGCATCAGAGGCCAGTGATTACCGATAGTATCATTTGAATGAGGGTAGCAATTGTTTTATTGTACAGTACTAGTCATCATAATAAGTTGAAATATCGACAAATATAAGTTAAAAATTGCACTGGAATCAATTATGAAAAAGCAAAAAAATCATCAAATACAGGAATGACAAATTGCTTATATAATACTAATAATACTTTTCATTAGAATTGACTGCATGACACATGAGAATTATCCAAGTCCAGGAACCTTGAGCCTGCTCTTCTTGGACTGTAATTAAAAAGCCAAAATTAAAAAAAATTCGATCAGACGCGAGCAACTGGTTGCTAGAGATCATGTCTATTATAAAGTGGTATTTTATAATGATCCAGTTGGGATTAATTAAATGAAGGATGCAGTATCGGAAACAAGACACCCAAATTGGAAATTTTGGACGAGATACTATATGCATTACACCTAAAATATTAAGTAAATGAGCCATATAATTTCAATTAAAAAAACGGCAGTAAGTTTATTTATGTTTGATTGTATATAATAATCATGTCGCTTGATTGAAAGGTTCCATTAATTATACATGTAGTTTCATTTTACATTATTATGTATGTAATCTAGCTTATATATCACCTTAATAGCTTATATAATATTATTACCTTGTATATTGCTTTGTTATTCAAACTTGGCAAAAAGCCATTATTAGATTCATTTACTGTTAAATTCAAAACCTTTTTTGTAATACCTTGGGATTGAGCTTCAAATTTTCGATCTCATCTTTCTGTGAACTTAATTTATCATTCATTGCTGCAAGATGATCACTCATTAAACTCAATTGATCTTCGTAATTTTTCCTTGTCACTGCTAATTCATCCTGTGGTTGTTGAATAAATTTTACATGGCACGAATTCATTAAATTTTCGGAATTGCTTTCTTAACAATAACGAATGTATGAGTGTAGCTGTGTCTAACATAATGGCAAATACTATATCGGAGGCCTGCTGGGTTCATTACATATTTTGTAGCAAATGGGCATGGATTGATGGCTGAAGCTCCACCCTTTAAGCCAAATTTAAATTGCCTGGATTCAGTTAGATAATTCAGTTAGAGTCAATGACTAGACTAAATACCAAATGGGGTGCTCTTAAATCAATCTGCAGCAGTAATAAGAATTTAGTACAACGATATACGGATAGATTCTCATTTTAATCTGTTCTTCACGAAATCATACTCTTATCATTCGACTGATAGCGTACATACCTGAAGTTGTGAGATTTTCTGATTTCCTTTATTATATTCTTCTTGGATTTTCTCTCTTTTTTGCTCTGCAAGATCTAATCGTTTATGGAGTGACTGACACTGTAAAAACAACAAGATTAAAGATTTATTTTGAAGTCTAAACATGGTTCGGTACACTGCTAGAATCTGTGTTTCAGTTAAAAATTAATACCAATATTTTAAACATAACCAAAAATGGATTCCATGTGTCTTTGTTTCCTAAGAGTCAGCTAAAACTTTTCTTTGATTCCATACCTTTGGTTATTTGTGCAAAGTATTCAACTGACCATGAGCTTAATGAATATTGAACCACAAATTGACATGAGGGCGATGCTCAAATATATGGATACGAAGGCCAAAACCAAAACAAATTAGAATGGAATTGCAATCTGTCAGACAGTACTGCAGTCTTCGCCTGACCACTAGATCGCTGAACCGCCACAAGGTGCGCAATTTTTAAACCTGATGATGTCATTGCACACAAATAACGAATCCCTTAGATGCTGAAGAAATGTTTGAAATAAATAAACGTAATAGCCTTCTAACGAAAAATACAATATTCAACCACTAAAAATTTCAAGGCCATTGGTCCATTAATTAATGAGGAAAGAGATTTTTTCTCAACAACAAGAATAGGAATACAAAACGATCCATAGGTTTACTTCGAATCCAAAAAATCACCACAGTGTGACGATTAGCAATATTTTAAAGTTGGTATAAGAAAATAACATTCAAACCTCCGCATGAAAACTGAGTGTTTTAGATTCAGATTGCTGCAACTTTGTACTCATTTCTGTGAGTCGAGACGTCAAATGCTGTTTAATAATTTCTTCACGACTGTCCGTGACATCCTGTTACACAAAGTATTAGAGGAAAATAAACATTTCAAATAACTCCAACAGCACTAACAACAAAACAAAGCAAAAATTTATCCATTATATTACCTCATCTGTGATAGGTTCAGTAATTGAGCTCACTTCACCAAGCTGAAACACAACAATAGAATTAGTTGTAAATTTCAATGGGGCCGAAATACACAATTTTTTAGGAAACTTGCAACCCATAGCTTTTACATGAGGCTAATTGTTTTCCACTTTTGCTTTTGTAACATTGTAAATATTGGGTGCTCATGTAGTATGTGTACCAGGTTAGGAGGATTAGGCCTTAATTTTATTCTAGTTTTCTCTATTTTAGTTCTATTACGAGTTCGGGGACTGTCTGTGTTAGCCAAGTGAATACACCCCCTGTCCATAGTAATCAGTCCCTGTACACAACTTGATGTAGTGCCAACAAAATTAGTTACCTCCATATTGAAACACATACTTCTGCCAAATATTGTTCATAAAATATAACTTTTTACGTCACTCTCACCTGGCCCGTCAGTGTAGGTGGGAACATTTTTAGGCCCCTGGTTCGAAAACCTTGCCTACCCCTGGTCTAGTGTGTTACATACCATAGATGTATCGAGAGGTTTCAATGATTCCGATATATTTCTCACTCTTGGTTCAGAATCATTTGATGGTGGTGCAACTGCATTGGCAAGATTGTCACTGATTGAGTCGGATGGCAGTTTAGTTTGTAATGATGCAGATTTCTGTAACAAAACCAACAGAGAATGCAATAATGTCATACAGTTGCATTTTTTCAAAAGGTAGTTAAACACATTTTAGCCACTTATTTTTTAATGACTAGTTCCCAAGGATGTGCAAAACGAATCGAATCAGACAATTAGATGAAAACGTATATATGGCATATTGGCATCTCAACTGGTGATAAACAACACAGACAAAACAATGGCTCTTTATATTATTGTCGCTTTAGATGTGACCAGCATGAAGATATAGTGATTTATGTAATTTTTCACATGAACATGCCCCCAATTTAGTATGTATTCGATTTTTCATATTCGAAAATATTTTCTCGGAATATATTCGAAATAGTAAAATATTCGGTTTTGGCACTTCAAATAGGCAATTTTTTTCAAGACCAAGAGTATTTTCAAATACAGTAAAAAATGTGGATTACCCAACCTATTGTACCCCAAAAATACTTCCTCATTTTTCATGTGAATCAAGGCACCTCTTTTTTACTATCCAAAATATAATTTTCCAATCACTTACCTACTCTACCTGCAACTAATTTTATATTGCTGGAAATTTATCTATAAACACAAGACGACAGATGACATGATATACTTCAATTCGAATTGAGAGGATTGCCTTACATTGGAGTAATGGTTAGATCATGTACATGATGTACTAGTAATCATTGAGCATCAACCGCGATTTTGAACATTTTTGATCCACAAATTTTTCGATTTAAGTAGTGTTAGATTCTGGTAGTGAATTCTTCTTTACACTCACCTGCTTTTCTTTATCCAATTTCATTTGGAGAAGTTGAGCTTCTAACAACCAATGTTCTTTTTCTTGTTCCAACTTATTGATACGATCTGAACTTTCTTGTAGCTAAATATATAGAGAAAAAATCATACATTAAAAGAACTTCTTTCGCTCCAAACAAGGCAGTGTAAATACAAGCAGATATCGATATTTAGATACAAATTTGCACGATGCATATAAATGATGCAATAATCAAGTCCAGCGTTTCTCAGACTTATTTTGTGCCGGAACACCAAGAAATTAGAAGGTAAAACTGGTGAGTGGTTTCAAAAAAATTTAGGCTGACGGTTATCGATATTAAACGGTTAACAAAAACGCTTGCCACGCTTTCCAGACTGGCACGAGACCTGTCCGCCTGTTTGTTGCTAATTGGGCAACAAATTTACGACCCAGAGTCACCGAAGTACCGCCAAGATCGCCATGGCGACTAATTCAGCCACAATTTTGATCTCTGTATCTCTTGATTCCCAGGAGCCAGAGCTCCGAGAACTAAGAGCCGCATACGCCCAATAATTTAGAGCTGTAGAAAAGGAACATACCCTGCTAACAAGATTATCCTTGCTTTCTGCAGATGATAAGGCAGTTGCATGATCTTGAATAGCAGTTTTATATGGCACTGATGGTGGAGGAGCTGCAGGGTTAACTTTAGAAAGATATCCGACAGATCTCTGGCTCAATCCAATGACTACAGGTGATGCAGCGGGAGGTGTTGAATCCGCTGCTGGAGTTTCTGAACTTATCAAGCTGATGCCTCTCGTCCTGTATGGACTCTTTCTAGTGAAAAATTCTGTAAAGAATAGTTATCATTACACTTCTAGTACATGAGTTAACAGAGTTTTTACTTTATGGTAGTCAAAATAGGGGCAAATAATTTGGTTGAAAGCATAGAAAATAGGTACACTTAGAAAAGTGCTATTTTAAGAACTTGAAAAATGACAATTAGAATTTTCTGAAAAAATTTGACACATATCGTACCTTACAATAATAGAAATATTACAGTATAGAATGAGCACATTACAACCTATTATGTCGTTATTTCATTACTATTCGTTTATTCGTATTTGGAAATATTGTTTCAGAATACATTTGGAAAATAGATCATTCAGTGGCCATCCCTGATGCCTACAAATATCAACTCCAGTCTATAACAGATTCGGTGCCACAGGCGTATTATTGTATATATACATCATTTGGCACATACCAATGAGTGAGTGCTATGACCGTATCTATAAGTCTTACAAAAAGTACAATCGATAGATCATGTTAAGGAATTGGCAGCCCTTTTTCTCTCTTGTTGCAAAGATGGGAAGGCATGGCATAGTCAATGAATCGCCTCATTCGACTTATAGTGTGATGGAAGTAGCGTTATATTTAACTGATGAGTTGATTTGTGTTAGTTAATCCACCTACGCTTGATGTATCTTAGTGACTCAAACGCGACGACATCACTAGGTTCGCCCCTCTCTCTGATCGAATGAAATAACAAATATGAGAGAGAATATATAGGAGAAAAGCTATCTCGTTTTCACCATGACAATAAAAATGTTGACGTGTTCCTTGTTTGAAATACCTGAAAATTTTTTGCCTAGTTCTTGCTAATATTATTCATCATAGAATAATATCTTCAATTTAGAAAAAAAAGTAAAATTCACATTCCAAATTACCTGTATTTTCTGAAATGAAAGCTGCCAATTTCGCCATTACTGTAGAAAGTGAAAGAAATGCTGACAATAAAAATTCATCAGTGGATTTCAATGATGCTGAAGCAGTAGGTAGCTGATGCTCAGATGCTACTTTACCATTGAATGCCTTAGACATATCTGTAACGGAAAATACATACAAGAATAATGTTAAGAATAGTATTAAGTATAAAGCTACAACATGAGAACAGATATACTCAAAACTAGGCGATTCAATTATTTTGTCTAAACTCCAATTTTTTTGAATAAGCATTTAATCTGGGTTGGATGTGGCCCTATAAAAAAAAATTTAATATTATATCAAGAATTATCTTCATCAGAGTGCATATCTTCATCAGAGTGCATTATTTTAGCCAGAATTTATCTTGCTCTGGATAGGATTCAGAATTTTAAAACTCAATGTTTACTTGAAATTTGAACAAAAGACATTATTGTGCAGTGGACAGGGATGTCCAAAACAAATTGACTATTGGAATACATTTGAAATTGGTTCTATCCAATTCAGTAAATTCTTGATTTTATGACAAATATTTTCATTTGAAAATGTCTTCTTAACAAGCATTTATTATTTCATGACAGAAAAAAAATTACTACACAAGCAAATGTAAATATGTTCAATAATATTATAAATGACATTCCAATATTGGATTTTCGAAATTACCATACCTTTAAATAACAAATGCATTTCATTCAATGTCAGTAGTAACTTCTGAAATACTGCTCTTTCATTATATGGAGGCAACAAATGACTTCCACCACCTGAGTAAAACAAAGTACGTTTGATACTTATAAATTTTATTGGTGAAAATCACTATTGAAAAGCTAGCAAAGACTAAAAATGTATACAAGATAGTAATAAATACAACCAGGAATAAATAAAATACATACTTGAGGAAGCTATCAACGTTAGGTAAGTCTGAAGTTTGGTAAATGAAGGAGCCAATCTTTGATACAAATGCCGGAATTCTGCATTTTTATTTTGCAACGTTTGAGCAGATACTGCCGCATTGCACTCTTCCTCAATGCTATAAGTATAATCATATTGCTGTGGGAGTCGTTCAATAGTAAATAATATGGTTTACTTAGAACACAATATTAAAGTTGACCTTAGGAATAATAACACTATAAGGTAAATTGTAATTTAAACCTTGAATTTTAACACAATATCCCCTAGACATAAAAAACAATAAATCTTCTCTGAAATATTTGTAATCAGACTACCTTTGCACTTGATAAGGCATAATCTTTCCGAGGTAAGATACATAGTTTCTGAATGCTTCTGCAAAAGGTTCCAAACCAAGTGCTGTATGAAGTGTGATGGGGCATGAACCAGAAACAGTAGATGTATCACAAAATTTATTAAAAGAATCACCGATTGGACGAACCATGGATGCATTGTCACGAAGAAAATGGCAAAGCTGAAAGGAGAAAATAAACTCAATGTTAGAAATAGGGATGAGAGGGATACCTCCCCAACATAAGCCCTAGTGTTATTTTTCGAAAGAAAACTGAAATAAGAGTGAAGAGACACTGTCTTATTTTTGGGGAAACACTGTATATTAGCAGCAAATTCAACTTGTTTCATCATAATTTGCAAATAATTCTGAAGAATGGGATAATAGTTGTGGTAAGCATGGCATAAGTTTACCTGCGAATTGAGAATGGGTAGATATAAAGTACAGATTTATGAACAAATGAGTTATGAATAAGAATAAATAACTAATTAGAACAATAAGTGGCAAATTTTGACAAGGATTTGAATATCCAAATATTGATGCACACGCTTGATTGAATGATAAATAATTTTGTCGAGGTGAAAATTTTCAAAATATTTTGAGTGTAAATACTGAGAATGAAACATATCAGAACGTTGGAGCATGTTCAAAAAGGAAACGAGTATAATTAAAACACTGAAATTGAGTTTAAAATATACCAACAGCAACAGGTTATATATGCTAACATAAACAATTTAAAAAAGAAATAACAATTTAAAGGTACTTGAATACCCATATTGAATTATAAATAAATTCCATAATATGACTACTATTTACGTAACTAAATATTTTATATACCAAATTAAAAATTTCAAGAATTGGGTTATTCCATTCGAATATCACAAATATCGAAGTCATCATCACAAAGTACATACATTCTGGAACATATGTGGAATGTATACTCTATAATACCCCCTTACCACTAGCTCTTTATTGATTACTGTTAACAAGTAAAATCATCAGCAGAGTGATAAGACGTGGACTCACCCGTTGATTGACAATTGATAGTGGATTGAATGAACTATCAACAGGATAAATTTTTGATCTCTGTTCTGTGTATGTATGCAAATTCATGAGCGCAGTACATAATTCAGAAATCAATGTTTGTGCATCTTTCAACAGTTCTGATGCCTTTGCCTGAAAAAAATGGATGAATATAAAATAGAAAATTATCACAGATGCAATTTATAGGTACAAGGGAAAATTGTAAGAAATTCATTTACATATTATTATATACATCCATATACAACCTTTGAAACAAAAATTACTTAAAATGCAGTGTTCTAAAATATTGTAATATACCTATCCCTAGAAGTAAGACAAAGTGCAATATATTTTTGCAGATTGCAGCGACTCCTCGCCACCGCTGGTCGGTTTTGGCTTCCTCCACCATCAAGTCCATGCTTCCAAAAAACAAATACCTAATCCCATACCCAACATGGACTGGTAACCATATGATTATGGTAAGCCATCTTATAGTCTTACCTCTCCACCGGGATGATTATGTAAATTCTATCCTATCCTCACAGTCACAGTTATTTCAGTAAAATTTAAACAGGAAAAACAGAAATAAAGAGCTTTGAATATAAGCTCTTCAGCTCACCTGACTTCTTCTATCGTGAGGAGGAACATTTAACACACTAAGACTTGGTGACATGCAATCATTAAAAACGATCGTATCTTGAACAACTTGAGATAAATATTTCACTTCCTTGCCGAGTTCAGATTCAATCTTTGCAAGTTTTTCTGAACTGAAAAAAGGATAACAAGCATTAGGGTAGGCATTTTATTAGTGATACTGGTGATACTTTATATTTTAAGGAGTAGGCTACATACTAAATACATAGTGTCTCAGATATTGATATGATAGGCAGAGATGTCGAAAATGAAAGGAATAGTCCAATGATTTTTGAATTATATTATATTCAATATTCCAAGTCTTGAATCAATTGAAAACTTGTATGACAGAACAAGACAGTATGACAATAAGTATAATTATTATTCCATATTTCAATAATTATATATTAAATGGTAGATTATTAGGTTTCGGCCATCCCTGTTTTTCAGATTTTCTAATCAAACATGCAAATAAAAAATAACAATGAATGCTAGACGAGAAACAACATACTATGCCCAAAAAAGGTACATGTTGTATATAGCATTCAGCTAAAATTTAACATCCAAATTTTCTCTACCTATGAAACCCAAAACAGAGCAGATGAGTATATCAAAAGCTCATCTCAAAAGATAAGCATCAACTTCAAAAAAATTCATAAAGATAATTATATAATACCTCTGGTCTGCAAGAATTTGGGCTTGCTGTTCATTCTCTTGAGTTGTCCTGAGCTGTAATTCCAATAAAGCTCTTTCTTCTTGTAATTTATCAACAACCTGTCAACATGAACAAAATCAATACTAAATCCCAACAGCAATGAAACGTTGTTTATAACAGACCTTATCAATAGAACAATCCTATTCAGCAAAACAGCAAGTGATTGTTTAGTATGTTCCGCATAAGCGGGTAGGTCATGTCAAAAATGAACGAAAATTTGGATACAAATGTAGTGGATTAGTTTTGAGTGAATGCAACCAAAATAGGATGCAAGACATTTGACTCGGAACGTCATCATAGCACGGGCCAATTCTCACCAATTTATATTTTGTTTCTCCAGTTGCTAGTGCTTCCTTAGATTGTTTTGCCTCTTGTTTTGCAAGAGTTAATTCATCAGTTAACTGTCGCTCCAATTGTCTAGTTTTACTGTCAGCTTCATATACCTGAAAACATCATATTTTTAGTAAAATACAAACAGAACTTTTATATATATAGAGCACTTTTTGATGACCTCTGTTCAGTAAATTTGCTGAGGATAGTATATGAATGGAAACAAAAAAATGAGGATGATTTTCGAAATTGAGCTCATTTACTGTAAATTCAAATAAATATTGACCCCTAAACAAGCAGACACATTTTTCTTGAGACCGGCTTATGAAGTGAAGGGGCGAACATTTATCCAATTCCAATTTTTAATACGCTCAATAAGCTATATAATTGCACATGTATTCAGAGGTGAATAAAATGTTGAAGTGAACAAATAAAAGCTACTGAGAATACATTAGACAATATGGCAGTACTTCTGCAGTAACGCAACCACTTGTAGAATAAATTTCAACAAAAACTCAGAATTATGTCATTTATTTGATTGAATTTTGATAATTGTAGATCAAATAGCTAGCAAAGACATTCAATGGTAATAACTTCAACACAACTCTGAATCCCAAGATACAATTGGAACAACTGAAATAAACATTTACAAATTTTGCTTCCTATTTACTTGCTTATGTAGAATCTCATTCTCACGGATCTTGTTTCTCAAATCCTCATTTAATGCATTTGAATGAGATGGATGATTAGTAGTATCAGCTTTGGTCTGAAATGATATTATATGACATGATTTAAGTTCAACATTTGAAGCAATATAAACTACCGTAATTTGTAGCTAACTAAAATGTGTATATAATTTACATATAGGCATCAATCAATTTAATATTAAAACTAAATTTGACTTGAAGGTCATGTATTGGGATATATATGTACTATAAGTATAATAATAAGTATAAGTTTATTTAGACTCCATAATCAGCATAACTGGCAATAAAATGATTGATAGAAAGAAATGAATAAAAACTGATTATGAAATCAGAGAAGCAAACAAAACCTTAGATAAGGTTTAAAACAAACAGAATATAAAATGAAAGGTATTGCCAAGAAGAAGTGGTACGTGTTCACTCACCTAACATTATTAAATAATTTCACACACGCTCACACAGAGAAATTATAAATTATTATCTTTCATTGTTAGATTAAATTTAAAATAAATAAAAGCCCCAAAAAAGAATTAGTACCTTTTTTTTCTGTTTAGAGTTTGCCATTTTTTCTAGTTCTTCCTGTAAAAGCTCGACCCTTCTTTCCATTTGTTGATTTCTGAAGACAAGACTGTCCATCTCCTGTTCTGAGCGACGAAGTAGTTGCTCTTTTCCTCTTAGTAATTCCTAAGCAAAAGATTATCAGGATACTTATTCGAAAAAGATTTTATACTCCTGAAACTTAGTTTTCAATAACAACAACAAAATGATTGAAGCATGATCTAGCAGCAAAAGCGTTGTCCTGTAAAGTTGGAATTGTTTCAAATAGTCAATATTTATGAAGAACATGGATAACCAAAGTGATTCAAACATTTGAATAAATTTGGTGTTTGTTGCATTGGATTCAGTTAATTATTAATTTTAGAAAAATGTAAAATATTTTTATTCATCGATGGAAGGATGCAAGGTTGATAATCAACATGATTGAAGCAAAGTGGGTTCTCGCCCTATTGAGGATAGTCTGAAAAATGATGTATGATTAGAAAAATTAACTGTTATTCATACATATTACAGTATTAGAAATTTCAAAATATATTATTATTATTATTTGTTTCTGGGCATCCCTGATTAAAACCAGTGTTGACCAAGTTGATTGAGAGATAGCAGAAAAGATCAGAACTACAGAACTAAGTTATTTCTTTATTATTCCCTTCTACAATTCTATACGGTTATAAGAAGCACAAGAAAATATCGAAATTTGTTTCAAAATAATACCTTCATTGAAGCTTGATTGTCCTTTTCTTCAACCACTGCTCTTTTGAGCACTTGGTTCTGAGCTTTGAGCTGGAAAATATTTAACAATTTAGTGAATAACAAAGTGATGGAATAAAATAAACATAACTAGACCTTAATTGCAGAAACACTCTACTGCTCTATCAGCGTTGCAGTTAACAGTTTAATATGTGTGAGCCTCTATAGTGTTGAATAATGAAAAACACTGAATATAGGCTAACTTTTAAACTTACCTTTGCATACTCCTGTGCAAGCTTCTGATACTTTAAATGAAGTTCATCCATTTCCAGATTTCAGTATTTGAAGACTGCCTAATTTCACTTCAAAATCATTTAAAATACTTGGTAACCTGCAGTGTCCGAGCCGCAAGCTTTTAACGTGAAACTGAAGAAGTTAACCCCGCTACGTGACTCTATGTTCCACAGAACTACCGGCATAGAATGATGCGGCGGCTCTATAAGTGTAAAGAGGGAGAAATATTGAGAGAAACGTCGCTGTTCACGGAGTCAAGAATCCTGGGAACAGAATATTTAATATTAAATTATTCCAGACTAAAAAGTAATTTTAACTTTAACTATAATCTTATCTTGCTAAATTTGATATGAGGTTAAATTCAAACCTTGAACTAAGTAATCACAAGAGTTGTAATAAGGAACTCTACCAATCATTCATCTAATTCTAACCGAATAATTGCATTGCACCTCCGGTTAAACTCGACTTCAGTAATGCAGCACCGGTAGGTACAGCGGGACTAGCTACCATAAGGCGTAAGTACTGTAATTGGAGATGAACAATACGGAACGTTTTACGCTGGGTCGCATTACTTGCGTGTCAGCCGGGCAGTCAAGAAAAATTTCTAAACTGTAGTTTACGAGTTTAACTGGGCTGCATAGGTATCGTTTGTCTTTATCGCGGTCTCTTTCTTCAGTTTAAGAAATTTGAGAATAGTCAGCAATTGATTAAAATAATGTTGCTTTGTCGGTTCAACTTCTTCACCATCTTTCTATTCTTAGGAAATGATAAAATGATGAGCATAATACAGAATTAGGTGTAGCTTCGATTATTGGACGCAAAGTGGACCTATGGATTGTTTTGTTATTATGTTCTTCTTATCATTATGAAAAAATTCGCCTTTCTCTTCAACTACTAGACCAATTGCTTTAAATCCGATGGTTAAAGATTGAAGAGAGATATTTATTATTCTTCACTAGATTGCTAGAAGGCTATTATTTTTTTGGGTCCATATATTTGAGCATATCCTGATATCTCACTTGTCTTAATTCTGATAGCATTCAATTTCACCTTTTTAAAATCAGTTCACCATGTACTGATGTAAATCATTCAGTAATAGCAAGGATTACATTTGATCAGTGCATGCACGTCATGACACTGCTGCTCATGCCTTTCGGTCAACCTTTGTTAATGACTTCCCTCTCCCCTGGATAAATATAAAAACCATATCATATGGGTTTAAAGCCTAATATGGCAATCAGTGGTGTTATGGCTTGCGTGCTCCATCAACAGCTAGGCAATCTAATATAACAACTCAACAAAAACTATTGTCAGTTCGGGTTGCATTGGCATGGTGCAGTTCCACTGAAGATGTAGTAGTGCAAAACAAATATTACTATTTTTAATGCAATTTGAAACATTTTCTATGTTGTATTACAGTAAATTAATATTAGATCGAAATATACCGTCAAATTTACATGATAGTCTTTTGAACGACGATGGGAGTGTTTGATCATTTGTATGAATCTATTAAAAATTCAGCACAATTACAAATGTCGTTCAAGATAGGTATTGGATCAGCAGCTGCAGCTTCATTACTTCACTTTTTAATAAAAGGTAGATAAATACTTTTACATCTGATATTAGTACAACACAAAAGTATTCATTTAAATACTGTTGCATTGAAATGTTGCAAAATGATCAGATATAACACTAGGCATAAAACAAATTATATGGTGTACAGTGAAATCTTTGCCGGTTATCGTAACATTCATAAGCTATGAAATAAATACCCAAATACACTTTTTATTCTTTGATACTAAAGTTTGGATGATATAAAGAATAGATTCATTTAAATCAGATATTTCACTTCAAGAGTGCATTGGAGATGCAATTTTTTCATGCACAAACCGGCATGGTCTACACTACAGTGTGCAATTTTTTTATTCAATCAGATAGAGAAATTCATCACATGCAAAGACTCTGTGTGCACATTAAAACACCAAGTACGATATACATAATGAAGAATCATATAATCTTATTCTCATTTCAGGAATACCGCACAGATCCATATTTATAGGCATATACACGCTGGTACCAATGACAATAGGGACATCGTAAGTTTGTATTTATTTATACTTAATTTTGTGAATCTCAGTTTGTGTGTGCACATTCATATATGTATGTATTGTATAATTTAGTTAACTGCATCTAAAATCAATCTTCCTATAACAGAAACTGAACTAATTGTTGCTACTTTAAATTTTTGATATAACCTAGCACAGACTCGCATACATTAATTAAATTAGCATTGTATTACAGTACCATTAACTGATGATAATGTCAATATTTTCATTCATTCACATATCTTTCTTTTTTCTTCTACTTGCAACCTCATTTGGCAACTTTTCATGTGATTTCCATGTGTATTCTGTTGCAGATTCTTCTATGATTACCAGAGGGTCAAGCAAAAGCTGAGAACTCAGCAATATGAGGCAACGATCAAGCACAGACTCTTAACTGAGGGCACAGAGGATGACCCTGCATCGAACACTCCATAGAAGGATTTCATCATCTGTGATATGACACAGTGAAGCCGGCCATTCATCCTGTTTTACACTTGCAAACTGTGGTAATATTAGTCATCATGGTCTTTGGCTGTCTCCCCTGGGCAATTGTTGCTCAAGTCTTTGTCATCTTAAATGCAAAGGTTTTTTGATAAAATTTCATGCATATTGAGCATCGAATTTCATATGCAAAATGCTCACCATCATATCTTACTGAACACCATAAACAGTAGAAGAAATTTTCTCTCAAATGCCTAGTCAAGATGAAAAGCTTCTCTTCAACCTGAAAGATGACAAAGCTTTTTTAATAATTTTTTTTTGGAATACCTGTGGAAAAGTGAGTTGATATTTTCAATTGATTCCAGCCTCTGGGTTAGGAAAAGTTTTGACTCCCTATCGACTCTTTAAGACAGCAATTCCCAAACTTTTTGTTCGCGCTGTGCCAAATTATCAGGGACAAAAACTAAAGAGTACTTACAATTAAAAAAAATCGCTACCTTTTATTTGAATGTTCAATCATATATTAGTTATTAAACACAATTCTGGTAATTTTGGGGTGCACTTAGAGCAGTTATCTCCCACTTTGGGAACTGCTGTCTTAAGAGAAAATTAAATGCTACTCAAGCTCCAGTAAAAACAGTAAAACTCCGACTTCACAGTCCCAATTTTGTGGGGTGTGTACGGCTCCATACAACGGTTCTCCCAGGGGTTGCCATAAATTAAAGACTGAAATGACTCGTAATCAATATCACTTACAGTATATTCTTCTCCCTCCTCTGTTTCTTCACACTCTTCTTCTTCCTCCTCCTGTGACAAAGCTTGCACTGGCCAGAAAAAGTCAAAATCAGGACTGTCGATTCCTTGCTCACTATCGAGCTGATGACAAACCTTTTGGCCTTTTCTCAAATCTTTTTCAAATTGCTGCTCAGCAAATTTTCCACTCATTCTTGCTCTGAAATCAACCTGAAATAAATTACAGTGTAATTTTGTGCAACTTCATGAAAATAGAGTTGAAAGTATGTGAGAATTAAGTTAGCGTATATACGTCACCGACTGTGGGGTCAGAGAATCTTTTTATGGCAAAGCCTGAAATCTAAATAGACAAGTTTAGTTTAAACAATTTTCGGACGATTGGTAAATTATACTTGTAAAGAGTAGCTTTAGTCTAAGATATATAATGAGATACTTCTGACCTGCAAACTTTCATTATATTTTCTTCTTTTATGCATAAGGATAGTTCTAAACTTTTCTTGGGCTTCGCGTTTTCGCTTTTCGTGGGAATCTTTGCCCAATCCAGTTTTATTCACTTTGACTGCTATTGGAACTGGCTCCACTCTACCAGTTTCATTTTTTCCAAGACCTTCACCGGGTTTGTATCCCATCTTCTGTAACATAGCGAAACCCTTGTTTTCATTCCCTAGTTTTGTATCTAAGCCTTTGTCTCGTGTCTCTGCTTCGACCATTTTTAATGGTTTTCTTTTATTCTTTATGTCCCTATCTTTCTTTTTTTTCTCTTGTTCATGTTTTCGTGCATGGTTCCCCCAAAGAAGGCTAGATCGAGAATCTGAACTGAAAAGTATTCATATATTAAGTGTTATGGTATCAAAAATTTCAAGCTGGGTTCAAATTTGAGAAAGAACCTTAAAAATACTCTGAATAATATTTGCCTGATTATATAAAACGCTTCGATTCATTCTCAAATGACTGAGATATTTGGTAAAATATTAAAAGATATTGGATTTTCTAAACAGTTTGAAATATTCCATATAAGTTCTATTATGGTACAGTACTAACATGGTGTGCTAAAGTGTGGTGTCATTGCTCAAGTCACTCAAGTAGAACACCTCAATAGTTGCCATTTTACCTCCTGTTTCGCTCATTGGAATATGAAGTTAAAATACAGAAAAATTCTGGTCCCATGCAGTTTCGTACCTAACAACGTTCTAATTGGCTTAGCATAACATTTTTTCACGCGTCAATTCTAACCCCCACCTGACTACGCCATCCAAAAATTACGTCACAATGATGTAATAGAGCTCTTTAAACTATACGAACTGTCATCCAAGACGCGCAGACGAGAAATCGAACAGCTATTTTTCTCGTCGCAACGATCCCGACAGGAGAAAGATCGCTGACGTTAGTCAGTTCTTTATCGTTGCCGCTGATGACATTTTTCGCGATCGTAGGTGTATTTGGCAGGCACTATGACGTGATCGTGACGTAATTTTGGATGGCCTAGTCAGGGGAGGATTAGGATTGACATGTCAAGAGATTGTTATGCTACACCTAACAGAAGTACGTTAGTTACGAAACTAGACCCAAATATTCTACTTATTGGCCCACCTTTCCAGAAACAAAAACATCAGACATGTAGTCGCATTCTTCATCGCCTCGGCATGTTCCGACGTGCGTCGTCGAATTATGAATCTTCACTTTTCACACTGTAACAAGACGAATAGCGCCGCATCGGTATATCATTTGCATAACTTTGCGGCATCCATATCTAACAAAATAGAACTTCAAGCAAGCCCGCTTTGTGCAAGGCGACTACCGTACGTATAAATTTATAGTCACTTTGGCTGTGTGTAGGGTGTAAAGCGCTGATGTGACGAGAGTCACTTATCCAAATTCGTTGGAGTCGATATTGATGGATTCGGGACCCGACACCGGAGTCGGTTTCTCCAATGGCTAGGAAGAGAATTTTGCGTATTGACTCCATTTCCCTGAATGTCACTATATTTGGTATCATCGAATGCTCAATTGAATTTACTTGATACCCTAGCAGAGTATAAGCTTTTATTTCAGATGCATGGATTTGATGGTGGAGGATGCCCTAACCGACCAGCGATTACGCTAACCGACGTAAGATAATCAGAGGTGCGGTGGCCAGCGTATTACAATATCAAATCAACGCCACATTTTCAAATAATATTGTTCATATGGGTCATTCAGCAAGACAGACGAAGGGCATAGCTGTGCCAACGACTAAAATACGGGGCTGTGTTAATTTTTTTTTAACTTAACTAGATTTTTTCATGTTTGCGGGTTTTCCTGATTTGTTTATACCTCGATACGTCCACCGAGATGTCCGCCCAATAGTATATTTATATATTCCCATATAAATGACCAATCCACAAGCTTCCCGTGGCGAGGAAACAATTGAAATTTCAGCAGTCACCCAAACTAATTTTCAGTATCGTGATGAGCATTAGCTCGTTTTCATGGTTTTGCTAGCTATTTGTCAGTTTTGGAATGTTGTACATATCGTTCGTAAATAATGTATATCGTTCGTTTTGTTAATAAGTTGTTGTTTTTGTTAGTCATTCTCCTCTGCTCCTTCTTCTGGTGCAAAATACTTGTTTCTCATTTATCTAATTGCTTAGTGGCAATGGCGTAGCATCCACCCCCGCAACCCCCGCGGCCGCGGGAGGTCCCACAGCGCAGAGGGGCCCAAGCGGTCAGAATTCATAAATTTAAGCCGCAAAACCAAAAGCTGCATTGCAAAACCAGCAATGCACATCTTATAACGTCGATGTTAATTCTGCTCAAATCGTAAACGCAGAAAAAGGGCAGAAGAGGAAGCACGTATGAAAAATTGAAGTAGGCTAACCAAGATAAACGGTCATTAGGGTCATTTCCACAAAATATATTTGCGGGGGGGGGGGGGGGGGGGGGGATTAAAGATTGTGGTTGTCGCTTGAAGGCTGTCACCTTAATTTGATTCCAAATTTCCCATGATATCTGATATTCCATCCCAAATTTCTTGGTTTCATTTTTATTCAAAGAATTACGGTTTTTATTCCGCCAAGTGGCTACGTCGACGAAGTCGGTGAGTCGAACCAAATGTGTTTTGGTAAGGTTGCAGTAGGATCGTGTGGTGACGTACTTTTTAGATGGGTGAAAGTCAGAAATGACATATGCCAAAATGCTTACGCCACTTCCACTAGAAGTACTTGCGGTATTAAACTACACTAGATCCACAGCTACAGCTACTCCGTTAGAGCGAGTCTTGCTACCTACGTGAGATTTCGATGATTTTACCGCCGTCGCATGACGAAATAAGGTTCTGTCGATTAAGTTCCGGTTCTGGTGTATGCTCGACAGTAATGGGGCAGTAGATGCCGCGAACATGACGCCTCCACGCAAAAAAAAATAATTTCAAAATATTTGTACTAATTTATTTGACACGAATTGAACCTATGAATCTTCTTGTTATTATGTTATTGTTCTTGTCAGTGTTTTTGGACACGTGAGTGGACCTATGGATCGTTTTGATATTATGTTGTTGTTCTTGTTGATATTCTTCTTCTTCGTAATGATGAAATCGATTTTCTCTTCAAAAACTGGGCTAATTGTATTGATATTTTCAGTGGTTAAAGATTGATATTTTTGCCAGAACGCTATTACTTTTATTTATTACTAAATTTTCGATTAATTCTATGAGATCTAATATTTCATCCAAAATTGCGCCGTATTACTTTTTAATTATGGGAACACGGTTTTTAATCCGCCAAGCGTGCCGGCTGACTGTGAAAATTCTTATGACGGAAAACGTCAAAGGTAAGGACTGCTTCGCTCTGTACCACGTGTCCATATATTTAGGCGTTGCTCTCTTGTTCTTCTTGTTATTTATAATAAAACAGTTACCGATTTTCGTAGATTGTTTATTTGGAAATCTCGCAATCCTCTACTTTGTAATTTTGTTTTTGATAAATGAGCCCTATTGTTTTTTTTTAAAGAAAATTGAAATAAGACCCTGTCCTAATTCCGGGGGAACACGTTATTTAGTTGATTAATGTTCAACTAAAATCAGAAAGTACAATACCTGGGAAGTTCGATTCAACTCAAAGACAATTGTCCTCGCCTCAAAGTGATATGTAAGTATCACATACACGACATTTGATCACAATGGCAATTTCATAGAGATGTTATTAAATATATAAATAAATGCTGATTGAGCTGATTAATAAAATTACAGAGGTAATTAAAACACACAAGTCTTGAAGTTAAATATAAAAATAAAATGCCATGTTCCATAGGTGATTTTTGGGACTTCCAGAAGTATGAGCACCAAGATAGCGCACAACCCGAACATATTATGTGTACCAGGTTAGGGTTCAGGTTGTGCGCATACTCCGGGAGCGCCAATTTTTGCATATTCTTAATGTATTCGATAAACTCGTGAATGCAAATTGTCTGAATATTGAATGATCAAAAAAAAAAGTGATTTCATAATGCAATGCATGTTGCAAACTCTTTCATTTTTCCTCCCAGATTTCCATCTTCTGAAAGCAAATAAAGAACCCCCCCCCCCCCCCAAAAAAAAAAAAAAACACTATAATCCATTAGTGAACCTATTTGATTGTAACTCCAAATTGATCAGAGAAGTAAACTGTCGTCTCAATTGGCAAATTTCGTTGACTAGTAATACATGGCTCTCGTCCTGTTATTTTGCCACATTTGCACACATACCACAACCACATCCTCTAGCTGTGAGTCGATTATTTTTTTTAAAAGCATCATAGGTTTCTTCTATAACTTTTGTATTCTTTGTTGAATTTCTGCTACAACCCTTCCAACGTGTTAAATCTCCTGTCGGGAAAGATAACAGAAATACTGTCAAAAAATGAGGCAAGCATATGACACACTCATTGTTTCGGTTTCCAGATTTTTTTCCGTTAGACAACAGTCATCCATATTTTCTCCATTTCCTTTTAAGAAAAAGTTCAAAAATTTTCCTATATAACAATATTTCATTAATCGCCCCAATCTATTTTTGATAGCCTTTGCATGATTGGAAAATAAGTTTTTTTGAATCCTAAATTAAATTTTTAAATTAGTGATGGTTGGCTGGACCTTCATAAGCCCTCCACAGTACCATATATCCCCGGTAAAGTCCGGTCTCTACATCTTTAGTTCGCATAGCTTCCCATAATTTTGTCAAAGAAATCCAATAGGGAGGATACTTGAATCTTGCCACATCCATAACAAGTACCATATCTTCCTGTAAGTTGTATCCACCAATAGGAGAGAAATGTCCTGTGCCAGCTTGACCCAAAGCACCTCTTCCATATGATACTATAATAGCTTTTTTGGTGCTTTTTGTAGCATTTTTCACATCCTCTCTAAATTCTAAAATATCCATAGTGTCAGAAACTCGTTTCAGTTCCCCGTCAAGCTGATTACACAGAGCCAAATGCATGAGTTTGTCCATAGGAATACCTATTTTCCTAATTTCTTCGAGGGAAGAACTACAATCAAGCATGTCTTCGTGATACGAGTAAAAATTGCCTTTCCAAGTCAGAACTGGATCGACTGCTAGAGAATTGAGAACCATGACAAGGGATGAAAGACCACAGTAAAATAGTTCTTGGGTTCTGAACTGACTAGCGAGTGGAAAGTAACAATTCATGTGCTCAGTGGCCAGAGCAGTTTGAAATAATTGCTTGCCTTTTTCGGATGCAAATGCAATGCAGATGTCGGGCAGAACTTGCATGTGAAATGTTTTCTTTGCAGTAGGAGTCTTCATAGTTGGCATTCAAATGTAAATAAAGTTATTATATTTATTAACTATATAGTTGGAAACAAATTCAAATTTTCATAAAAATATAATATATATAAGAATAAATCATTATAATATAAGAAAACTATAACTTCGAATAACTATTGAAATTGTGATCACTACAAAATGTGGTATGAATGACTTAGCCTATATTAACTTGTCAATCATCACACACTCAATTGTAAACAACAAACATATATGCAATGCGTGGGATTGCATTGTGTTAAAATCGACGATTTGTCTCGTCAGCTCCACGTGTTATTTAGGCCGTATTCTTCGTATATCACAAATTTCCCTTGACATGTCTTGTCTCACGACGACAATAATCATAATTTTTTGTACTAGGGCAGAACTGTTAGTTCAACTGGAACAGCCAATTATTATATGATCACAAAATCGTAAAGAAGTATATCCGCAGCTCAGATTTCCAAGTTTGAATAGCGGTCTTGCAAAACACTAAAATTAAAACGAAGAAGCGTTTTTTCTCCAACATTGCAAGTCGCAAATATTTGTGATACACATTATGATAGATTGCTTTTGGGAACTATATAGCGTAGTCACTGAAATCAAACACATCGAATATTATTTCAGTGGAATATCTTTTTATCCATTCTAAAACTACCCAATGGGGCCGCACGCCAATTTTTCCCTGTAGTATTTATGACATAAAAGATAATCAAAGGGAAGTAATAAATATACTTTTATTTAGGCTCTGAACATCGGAATTTTGTCGATAAACTCTATTTTTGCAAATTCTTTCTGTCTCACAGGCATCCCTTTATGCATCTGCCACGAGGTCATTGATAATACGTTTCATTTTTCGCCCGAAGCAAGGTGAATATTTCCTACTGAAAATGAAGTGAATATTAAGACTGAAAAACGACGTTATGAAATACCTTTTATATTAGAGAAAAAAACATAAATTTTGTAGTTAAAGCTAATCAATGTAAAGTATGTTCGACAAATTTTGTATTGCGTATATAATACTAAAAGAAATTGCACTCTTCGGTAACTAATCAATGTGAAGTGTGTTCAATCAATTTCCCTCTGTACTGAAAAAAGTTTGCTCTTCGGGATTTTATCACTGCCATTGGGATTTTCTAACGGAGATATCTTCAAAATATTAATCAGAGTGTAATGTTTTTCTTTTGTTCTAAACCGGCGCAAAGGCTTCGCAACGGTTACATTGAACACAATTAAAATATATGGCAAGACATTTCAAATGCTCGTATTGGATACGATTTGAATATTTTGCGCAACAGAAAAATTGTCATCGGCTAATGAGATCGGCTCTTTTAACAAGTGACTTATAAAAACATGTCTTCGATAAGATTGTAGCCTCCAATTCGTGACAAATGGTCTGATCCTATCCGCCCAAGAGTATGACAACGCCGTATGATAAATACATACCTTCATCTTCTTCCAGTGCTACATCACAATCTATGTTCATCTCTATGTTCATCACATTCCACACAACACATTTGGTGATAAAACATTCCGTTTACATATTTGAATACTCCTTTGAATCTACTGTACTTTGTTCTTTTCACAGTTATTATTTGATCCTGCTTATTAGTTTCATTTCATACGAAAGCCCTTCCAGCTCACAAACATCAGTCTAACTACATTCGAGCCTCAAATATTAATAAACTGAACTCACCACTCTAAACATTATGACTAAATCAGGGTGCCGATATTAATAGTTTCTATTTTCCCGATTTATCGAGAAATGAGTAACACAAATTTATTAGTCATGTAGTCATAATTATTTAATAACAACAATAATAATAATTGCAACTTGTTCCGCAATATTATTGAACAGTTTTATTCACCCAATTAGTCACTATTTGTAAAACTTTCTAATACCATAATATACTGATTATTTGGCACGAAGTGGACCTATAGATCGTTTTGTTATTAGTATCTTGTTGTAAAAAATACATTCATCGCGCTTACTTCTATGCGCCGCCGTCCACATTTTGATTGAAAACATTTTACAATTATAATATTTTTTGTTTTATCGTAATCGAAAACAGCCCTTTGTGGCGCAGCAATTAATTACTTCCGCCATGCTTTTCTAGCAATTTACAGCGTATGAAATAGCTCTTAAGTATTATTTAGTATCTATCGCGGATTTTATTGGTCAGTTTATCTTTGCGGTATCAATTTAGGGCGGTCAGAGTTATACCTATAAGCCGACCTCTTAGTTTGGCAACTTTTTTTTTAGTTTTAAACTCGTTATATGCGAGGATATGCGGTACTGCCGACTTTTTGTAATTGCTGCTATAAGTTTCGAACTTTTCGAATCAATTTTACTTCACTTTTCTCTTATAGTGTTATCGTTTCCAGACATTTTCTGTATTTAAGTTCCCTCTAAATCATTTTTGCAGGCACCAATTAATTAGATCAGCCGCTAATACAATAGCCAAGGACATTCAATAATGATCTCAACTACCCAAATTTGAGTTTATGCTTCATGTGGTATAATGTTGTATGATAGTTTACCGACACATTTATTAAAATTAATTAATCAAATAATAATAAAAAGAAAGAATTGTTTGAAAAATTATTTGATCATAGCCTTGAATGAATATAGATGGGTCTAGCAAGCGCTTACATAAAATAATATGTCCTTAGTTTTCCGGCTTTTCCATAGTGTTCGGTATTTTGTAAGTGTGTGTGTCAGTGGATGAATTTTGTTAGTCTTCATTATTTCTTTAGTTGGTGAGCACCTCTATATAAATTCTCTACAATTTTCCCTACATGTTGTATTATTACAACTTTTGTTTACCTTCTGGTGGTGTGTATTATAGTGTCGTATTTACCTATATAGGCAAGGTAGGCTGAAGACTGTGAGGACTCTTGAAATACAGTTTGAACTACTATTCATTCTCAAGTCGTAGAATAAAACCGGTTTCTTTATTTTTTTTTTCAATCAGATTACTAATTCTCGCCTCAAATATTTACTGTTTAAAAGGTTGTTGTATTGTGATCCATCCACATAAATCACATCATTTGCTCTGTCACGTTACACGTGGCCAAGCCAATAGTCATTCTTTGTTAAGTTATTTTATTGTGATCCATCCACATAAATCATATCATTTGCTCTGTCACGTTGCACGTGGCCAAGCCAATAGTCATTCTTTGTTAAGTTATTTTACTTCTAAGTGGTATCAGGCTAATCCTTTCACGAGTTTCAAGTTTTTATTTCACTGAAAGACTCGACTAAATTGACCCTAGTGAACAGGGTTCTTGAATGGAGTGAAGTGCGTTATTACTGTCGCGGAGCGGGACACTCACATACGTGAAGCAGCGCAGCTATAATTACCGGGCGACGTGCGAATGTTTGGTTCCGGTCACCCATTACACATATTTGAAAGGTCGAGTATTCAAACTGCCTATTTCCAAAGCATTTCTTGTCTTATTCGTTAAGCTTCATTGTAGAAGCGTGGGATAGCTAGTCCTATTCCTTTCAAGATGCATTTCTCAATAAAAATCTAATAAGAAAAACAAATACTAAGAAGACACGGGTGCATTTATTTTGATAATTAGGTCGATTTATCATTTTGGTGAATGAATGTTACATCAAACGCGCAGGTTGGAGTAAGTCGAGTATGAAGTTGTACGCAAATTACACAACATGTTCATATTTTTTAAACAAAAAAATGGCCTGAAAATCGTAGACTCTATAAACCGAATATACCAAATACAAAAATATAACAATATAACTTGCTGCCACATTTCAATCAAATCAATTGCTCTATTTGTGTCGCTAAGGGTACCTCAAATAATGAGCATTCAATTGAACACTGACGGGGAAAAGCTCTTACAAAATAGGCCTACATTCGAATAAGTTAATATTTAACAGAGCAACAATTTAAAACACAAACACAGTGAATAAGTGAGCACAAATGAGAAATATTTAATAAATATCATGACATACTGCATAAACTAATAATATATATGGCTTAAAGATTGCCACGACTTGTATTTTCGGAATCATTTGTAAACTTTTAGTGAATACGTTTGTTCGAATCTATACCAGTACAAATCTTATAAGCATCATTTCGTGCCACCAGATTACACCAGATTTTGATGTACAGATTTTATCACACCAGATTTTGATTGCTTCACGAATCGAAAACGATTACTTGGTGATCTTTGTCTGGACCTAGTGGCAATGACTACAGGAGCCGAACCAATACGTTCGGTTTTTGCTCTCCTTGCAGCCTTTACGTAGTCTCTTGCAACAGACGACAACATCGCGTGAGCCGCAAATATTTTTTCTTGAGTTGCCACAGTTGGCTTTAGTGGAGCACGGCCAAACGTTGATGGTATTGTTCCGTTAAAAGAAGAGGACAGAGCTTTAGGATTTTGCTTTTCTCTAGAATTTGAAGAATCCAAAGTCTTGTTTTCTATTCTTGATTTCGTGGTACTATTTGTTGTGCTCGGACGTGGAAGTAACTTTTGTTGTTCACTTGTAAACGTACTAAACGAAGATCTGAAAAGTGTTTTTTGTTTATTTACCCAATAATTTACCAAACAACAGGAATAATGTTAAGCATTATTTACCTTATAAAAATATGGCTAGCGCTGATGCTTTTTATCTGATATTACATTGCAAAAACTACAGGTGGCGGACATAGGGTGATAGGATTTACATATTTATTCCGGGGAGAGAAAAGACGATAAAACGTCTTAATCATCTGGCAAACCACGGCCTCTCGTCCGGTTACTAGTCCATGTCGGGTATGCGATTAGTTGGCCAGTTTTTTTTTTTCGGAAGCATGAACTTGATGGCGGAGGAAGCCGTAACCGACCAGCGGTTACGTGAACCACCCTACGGCGGCGAGGAGTCCAGCAATCCTCTCGCACATAACTATCCCCGAATGAGATTCGAACCTACGAACGCTTAGCACGGCGCGCCACATCGCTGAGCGTTACCTGCTAGGATCGACATGTTTACAGCATGCGAGCATTGTCACTAGGTATTACGGCAATGAGAGAAACTGAAAAACAGAAAATAACTAACCTTGGTCTTCCCATCGTCATTTGTGTTATATGCAGATGGGCGAGTTTCTTTTCACTCTCGCGACAGAAGTGACAGTTTCTTGGCTTTGAATAATTGAGAGAATTCAAACTCGGCCTTTTGCTCGGCGGGAGTCTCTCGCTCCACGAGTATTCGTAATATCTAGATATGAATTCAAAAACAACTGCACCTCAATTTGATTAATTAATTTACATTTATCAAATGATTCTGTGTCGTGTCCGGAAAATTCGCCGCAGGAAATTTTCGCCGCATGAAAAATCGCCGCAAGAGCATTCTGCTGTAAAACAAGTATTGTGATAAAATCAGTTAGGTTCATAGGGTTGCTCTTGAATCACGAATCTTTTTTAAATAAAAAGATACTTCAAAAAACTAACTGTTTTTATCACAAATACTGGTTTTACAGAAAATACTCTTGCGGCGATTTTCCTATGCGGCGAAATTTCCTGCGGCGGGATTTCCTACAGTGAAATTTTTTGCGCCGAATTTTCCTAGAATAATCCTGTGTTGTCAAGGTTTAAATTATTACAGTAAAAATATGGAAGAATCTGTATGTAACTATGTAGCCAATCAAAAAAATGATTGAACGATTAAGGTACTTATAATGTGTTTTGTACGATTTATAAACTGAAAATACACATGATATATATTATCCACAACAAACATAATTACCTTGGCAATGTACTACCGCATCTCTGTCTTTTTTTGTTATTTTGTGAAAAATGTCGATAATACTGCAGATGGTTTTTTGTGCAAGATAAGCGAACAAGATCAATATCGGGTGATAATGTATTTCCCAATCCAGTCGCTGTCAATTCTGCACTGGATACTGATCTGCGTGGTTTGCTAACAGGAATTGAAAGAGTCGGGCCAGCCGACACGGTGCAAGATCTTCTGCGAGCAGGTTTGGCGCTTTGTGGTGCGGGGGGTGTTGGACTGGGAGAAGATGTACGATTAGTGTTCTGTGCCGTATTATTGTTTGACGCAGCTCTCGCAGAATTTCGTGCTTTCGCTCTGAATGAAAAATGTAAATTAAAAACTTTTTTGATCAAATTTTGCCAGAGTGATGGTTTTGCCAAAAAAATTATTTCAAAAATGCAGTTTTAAGAGAGCGAACAATTTAAATATGTAGTTTTTACGAATATTTCTTTGCGAGAATAAAACTTCTAACTGGCGGAATCATTTGGGCTAATTCCTTGTAAACGCCCGTTGTAGCAAAATTACATTCTCGCAAGGCCCGAAAATTTTATTCTCGTAAAAGTACATTTGCGCGAAAACCTTTTTGGAAAGCGATTCTGCAAACAGTTTCTTTTTACCTGTGAATTTGATGCTTTTTTCGGTCTTGTTCATATTGCACCGTTATCATCTGCATTTTTTCTAACATGACAATGCGATCTACAAGTTCCTCCAAGCTTTGGCGCTTTTTCTCCTCGTTTTCTCTAATCTTTCTTTCTATTCTCCGCTTTTCAACATCAGTCTTGCGATACGAAAACTTTGTAGCATTCTTACCCGCTTTCTTTTTACCATATGGAGGTTGTATGAAGGTTCTCCAGTCCATATTATGAGGCAAAGTAGCGAACAATCGGAAATCGCACTCGTTGAACGGGTTCGGCAATACTTCTGAATATTTATATTTAGCTTTTTTGCTTTTATTCACACCACCGATGCTTTCGTTTTCATCAGACCAACTGGTACTTGAGACGGAATCATTGTCGTCATCTGGCCTATCAATTACAATAGCTACCGGCATTTCATTATGATGGACTTCAATGTCTTTGTGTTTCGATGCTTCAAATACTAAGCTTACTTGTTGAAGTCTGCGACTGAATTCGTCTTTATCAACTATATCTTCGTCGTCTCCAGCTTCATTTTCGGAAATATCGGATTCTTCCAAATCGCTGTACGAAATGTGACTTTGTTTTGATGTCATTAAATTCTGTTCAAAATCCTCGTCGTCCTCGTCATCTTCATAGTCCGTTTCGCAAGTCCTAACTGCGTCGTCGTTTGTAAATACAGAATCTGACAAACCATGAACCATCGATAATTCCTCATCGCTATCTGGGTCATTTTTATTTTGCTCCTTCTTATTTGCGTCTTCTGTGCCACCGAAAACATAGCTGTGTAACTGATCTTCATCACCGACGACTCCTGATGAACCAGAGGGTGATGATTCTCCGGCGGATGACAGTCGGCGATGATTTCTCTCGACTACTCCAGTAAAGGACACAGATGACGAGAGAGACGATGTCCTGTTGACAATAAATATGATAGTGATTTGTGTGAGCATTTTGTTTGCAATCTGGATCGCGAATTGAATTGAAGAATTTAAAACATAGAAAATCTTGGCTTTGGAATGAAACACAAATACTATAACGCTAAATAAAGTCTGCACCATATGGAAGCACGTCAAATAGGGACTTGGGACAGTTTTTTTGAAATTTATTATTATTAGTTTGTTAACGCATCACCAAACATCGTCTTCAATGTCCACTGCTGACACTTAAAACATGTTATATTAGCAAACATTTTACTGGGTGTGTTTAGTTAAAACGGAATGAAGAGAATAAAATGAAGATTTGGTACCTGGTGCTTGTACGTGATGCTGGTCTTCCTTCCAAGGATAATGATGCTAAAGTGTCGTTAGGTTGTGATAGAATGCGATAGCACTTCCCAGATGGAATATTTGACCAAGAACGTTTCAAGGTGTATGTAATTCCCAAATCAGAAATCGAAGTTATACTCTCACTATTTTTTTCCTTGATTTGATTGTCAGTGCTAATTTGTTCGTGCAACGAGGTGCTTTGAGGTGCAGTTGGCGGGGAAGCAAGACGCCATGGGCCGGCGGAAGGAGCTGAAGCAGCCGGAGTCACAGGCTTGTTACTTCCAATCACCGACCCTAAATCGGGGTATAACGTACGATAACGCCTTTCATCGCGAGATGCAGTTGTCGGTCGTGTATGATTGTAAGCAATCTCGCTGTTCCAATATTGGTCTCTGTATTGTCTTTTCAAAAAGTTTCTACCAGATAACATTGCCAAATATTCTGCTGCAAGAGCTTTATTTCTTGCCGATGCGCTTTCTGATATAAGTTTAGCTCCGTCGTATTCGGGAACTTTGGGTTTAATCGGCGGTTTGACCTTCTTGAACGTGGATGAGTTTAATCCTCTTACATCGCCTGAGATGGAAGTAGAAGAACGCCGAGCGGTCATGAAATCACTTTTCTTTCGTCGTCTCGGAGAAATTAAGCTTGCAGAAAATGGGCGACTGATTTTGTTCGAATTGTTCGAAGCGACGGGTTCTCCACTTTTCCAAGGATTTTCAATAAAATCTTTGTTGTTACGGGGTGGTTCATGGCTGTAATAACAATGGAAAAATGAATTAATAAACAATAATACACACGTTTCACAAAGGGTAAATCGATGATTAAACACATAGAACACAAGTATAAAATCGAAACAATCTTGCTCACAAATTAAGTGTAGTATGCTATGGAATTCTTCACTTTTGTGTAATTAAAAATCGATGAATAATACACATAGAACACAAATATAAAGTCTAAACAATCTTGCTCACAAATTAAGTGTAGTGTTCTATGAAATTCTATACTTTTTGTGGGCACAAGTACTGCAAATCATCTCATACTCTATTTTAAAACGGCGGCTTGGTTGTGTTGATACACTGTACCTCTTCTAATATTATGAAATACTTGCTATAAAACTCGAACCCTCAGCAAATATGCTAACATAAAAACGCACAATGCGCAGATAGATAGAAGTGATAAAATCTGCACATGAGCCCGAAGTTTTCAGTTTATACCATATTATTCTTAATGCCATACTGGTCGGTACACTCACTCACAATGTTTTGAATAATTTTCGAAATATTGCAGTTCTCTTTATTCATCACCTTAATATATCTACTCGCACACCCTATCGTACAGTGAACGACGACAATAGCAGTTTTTACTAAATTTCGCGACTTCATTTACTTTACTACTTCATCGCCTATTTGATACCACTGCCCAATTTTCTCCGTATCTGAGTTACTGATATTATTTATACGGCTGTATAAGCTAGATGTACTTTTAGCTGAGGCAAAGAATGTCTGAATAAAAGGGTGACACCACACTCAATAACAATTTGACAAAGTCCTAAATATTGGTAACAAAAAAACATAAACTGGCTTTTGTTGTAAAAATAGCGTAATTTTAAACCTCGTGGACCTAATGTAGTGAATTTAGGAATGACAAACAATAATGACAGCATGAGGTAGCGACAACTCAACAATTCTATTCTGTTATGTGAAAGCATTCAACTGAATTTAATAAATTTCATGCTGCCAAACTCGTTCTCTATATCTGGCCATTTATACGCATCAGATAAACCGAGACTAAAATTTCGACTTTGCAATATTCCATACTTAACGAAGGATAATAGATTGAGAAAAATATTGAAAATCTGAACAATGTCATAACGATTTCGAGTAGAAAACATCTTCACTAACGAATATTGTTTCTTTCTGGCACTTGATGTTATCACCCAAGTTGACACTGATTAATCCCTTCTAAAACTGAGAAAACACGTTCCTCTTGACACACGGCGATATTATTATTAAACTTTTATTTCTAGCTTGATTCGAGTTATTACAAATGAGAATAAATACAATAACACTTAGACTTCTGTGTCCGACATGAGTGTGCACAGCCCGGCCTCTTCTGCGCGTTTGGGATGAGCACTATTGTGCTGTGAGCTGTTAGGTGTTCAAGTGCGTTCGTTCTAGCGTTTTTCATTTCTAGCTCATATTTTGATTTCCGTTAACTTTTCTCTTGGTAATGGTTGTTTATAATCTTATGCAATTTTTCCTTCATTTTAACAGACGATAAATTTACCAAATATAACAAAGAAAGGAGAGAATCATATTTCACGTTTTCGACATAGCTGGCGCTTTGTATTTGCGTTATACTTATACATTGATTTTAATATTTGAAGAAAAAATGTTAAAATTAATCTATTACATATCAATCACACAAAAACGAGTGCATTTGAATAAAAAAGGTGACTATTTTATCCCCATCCGGGCGCTCTAGAAGTGGATGTACCAACATGGAGATAACTACTTTACATGAAGTTGTGTAAATGGAGTGAAACCTATGAACATGGGGTATATTCACTTGGCTAACACTTACAGTCCCCGAACACGTAATAGAACTAAAATAATGAGAATATCGGAATAAAATTATGGCCTAACCCTAACCTGGTACACACACTACGGGAGTGCCCCTATCCGTTCGATGCTTCTAACCAGAGTGATCAGTTGAGATTTTATTGTTCAACTACCTTACAGAAATTAATTAAAACGATTTGAAGCAATAAACGCATTCCATTGAAAGTCGAGTTTACGCATCTTACTTTCCTGAAATTTTCACTTCAAAAGTCTTGTGTGGTTATTGGCGAATCATTATCAAAACGTACTTGAAATTGTATTGAACGCCCGAAGAGCACGTTTAATACTGATTTGTAAATCACAATCATTATTACAAAGACGATAAATTGCTCGGTACACACACTACCAGTAATGAGCTTCTGGGGCTTGTCTATCCTATGCTTTAGGTATTGATATTGAAATTTAGTAGTGTGACTGACTAAAAACTGGCAGACACGCCAATGGAAGAGCCAGCATGAACGAACAGTTGAAGTTGAACAGCAAACCAAATATATTTGCTTAGGTATCACAAACTTCAACATCTCACTCCGGAAGAGGTCTTGGAAAATATTTTCTAAATCTTTTTTTGTTACAAACTAATTCGTTGAATACAGACTCGGTGCACAATATTACGGATATAAGATACAGAGAAAATGTGTGTATTAGTTTACATAATAGGTTTGTCGTCCAACGTTTTCATTTGGCTGCGAATTTGACCGCGATCGTCGTTGTCTAAATAATGATTTCAGTTATTCCAAAGACAATAAAGCGAGGCTACCAATGCCATCATTTCACATCTGCATTTTTGTCTCGTTGTAAAATTACTTAAGTTTAATTGTCTTCCTGAACTCTAAGTGTGTACATTGTTTCTATTTATACATATACGCCTTCGACCTTGCCAGAATTCGTAACATAGCATCAACATGCAGTATAACATGGCTTTTTCGACATTGTGGATATAACTTTCCTAGACTATTCAAAACTGTCGCACCCAGTCATAAAAAATGTCTAATCTTATTGACAAAGTGTTATACAATGGCACACCTTCATATTATGATGGATTATGAAACTACAATAAGATTTGGATGTCAGACAGGAAAACGAAGTCTGAGGATTGAATTTTTACAAAATTAAAGTTTAATATCAATGCTCGTAAATACATATATCATACGGTGAATGGTTCGGGTCAGGAGTTCCCAGACCGCTGCAAATTCCGTAAGATTGGAGAATCGTTTGCCATTTATTTAAAATCCACGGTTTTTAAAGTTCATAGGTCAAGTTAACCTTTACGAGCTCAGGCAACATTTCTACACGCTAATAACCGAGTCATTTTTGGCGATTTTGAGTTTTTTTTTCATAAAATAGGTATTTATGTAATGCTGCGCACCTGTCTGTTAACTCAGATTTTATTTTAGGAATTCCGAAACCCATAAAAATGGAGATTTGGAATGACATGCACATTTGTGCAATTGTTTCGTCATAATGAATTATCATTGTTACCGTAGGACTATTGTGACGTCACAAAGGCAAAATAACCTCGGCGAAGTATTTTCGAGTTTTTGCATCTCGGATTCTAGCTTAGCGCGTATTAATTGGAATTTATACTACAGTATAGGAAGACGTGCACTTGTGATATTCGCTGTCCCAGTCCAATTCACCTTGGTCGGCTTTTATATTGGGTGCATTGCTGTTTTATTCTTTATATTTAATCTTCCGGATTATAGGTCATCATGCGAAATTTTATCTACCTTTTTGGTGCTCCAGAAGTATGTGCAGCAATATGTCGCACAACCTGAATCCGCTACACACACACACACATACTATTTTCAGGTTGTGCGCCATCTTGGTGCACATACTTCCTGAGGTCCTCTTTTACCTAACCCTAACCCTAAAGCCAACCATATCCATGTGGAAAATGTTCTGCCAGACTGCCGTCTGGGTCGGACGTGTTTTTGTTGCTCTGTTAGATGAAAGATCAATCAATGCTGTTGGACTGAGAATGCTACGCGCTGTGTGTTTCGGTATTTACTATTAGATTTGTATCTCGTGATATCAACATGATCAAGGCCCATCCACCGGAATTAAAGAAGTTTATGGATAAAAGATTGGATTTAAAGTTTGTGTTTGGCAGTCGTCGGGTGCGGTCGCATTTTTGAACGGCGCAGAAAGATTAGATTGACAACAATGAACCAGCACTTAAGGAATATCAACAAGTAAAGGCCGAAATATGAAATTACATGGCAGCATAAAGGCAACATACGGACATCATAACAGAATCGAAAGATGAATACAACAGGGATTGATTCAGATATTTTATTTTGTGACAAAGAGTATGATATACTGCTATTTCTAGAAATTCCGCTTGAATACTGAGTATTCAACTATATATGTGTAAATAGTTTGCAGTGTAACATTTTTAAACATTCATTTAGTGGCATATTTTTGATTTGTTCTCTCTGTGTGTATACCGGTACTGTTTTAACAATGTTGGCCACGTCAATGTATCAATTAGGCTACAGACCTGCTCACGTGTGATTAGTGTTTTTCCTAATAATTGCTTTTATGAGTGTCCGCACACCGAATTTGCCGCCATGGTTTTGCGTTTGTTTGTATATTAAACCACTTATCACCTTTTCCGCAATGCCCAATCTAGCAATCAGTGTAGTTTTTCATGGCTTGGTTTTTCTTAAAGCTTTCATGGCTTCATGAGTATGACTATCCGTCGCAAAATTTATTACATTCCCACTCCCCACATTATCTTTGCCATGCAGGTTGTAGGTTGGTCATTATCAACGTAATTGCTGAAAGAGAGTACAACAGCCCGGGAAAGTTTATACTATCGGTGTATTTTGGGTTTTTATAGTTGGCCCAAGCCTCATTTAATTTGGCTTGTGTTTTTGTGTGCAGTGCCTGGTTGGGCCAGGGCACATGAGATCTTCAATGTTTAAACTTTTTGGTAGGTTTTGCTTGCCCTCCAGAATTCTCCATTTTAAATTTAGGTTTGTTATGGAGTTTTCGAAATAAACTATCTATCTATCTATCTATTTCGGTCGGTGTGCAGAACGTGTTATATTGATGAAATATATATTTTTAAACATAAAAAATAATGTAATTGAAACTGATTAGCTATTTTGGAAATTAGACATTGTAGATACTGAGAATTATATTCGTTTTTGGAATGTTTAGTTTCAGGACTGGTGCCTATAGTAAAGTTGCAAAATTGCGTATGTCCACAAGTCATAGACACATTTCTTCCTAAGTCACAGTGCGCCACTATGACGTCACTTTACTGCGTCATACAAATTAACTTAAATCCGGCTACGATCAAAAAATTGAACCTTGGTAAATTATTGACTCTCAATGGCATAACAATATCATTAGGAAGTTTTTTATGGTTTCTCAAAACTGCTAAAAATGACTTACGCAACTCGGTTATTAGCGTGACGATTTATACATTCATGAATAGAGTTTGAGTTGCAAACTTCCGGAAAAATAAAATGGCATATGAAATTAGAATTTGGGTTTGAACATGAAATCTGTAACCTATATATTGCTAGGTGAACACACTGACCAGGAACGTAGCCAGGGGGTCGACCCCCCCCCCCCCTTTTTTGAAATGTGTAGAAAACGACGACTAATAGGCGCGACTTGCCACGCGCCGAATAAGGGCACCAAACTCTAGGCTCCGGATGCCGTCAAATAGAAGCGACGTGATTGTGACCGAATAAGGCGATTTCCATTTGGAGCCCTTGTTCCTGGCGAATTCAGTTTCGATTTCTAAAAACATTCTGTATCACACATAGCAATTTTTAGACAATCAGTTCTTTTAGAAACTCGCGTTTTGCGGCCTCCGGCCAGACCACCTGTTACAGTCAAACTTGGCAATTACAAATTTCGGCGCTCCGGAAGTATGTGGGCCAAGATGACGCACAACATGAACACTACCTGGTACACCTACTATGTTCAGGTTGTATGCCATTTAGTACACATACTTCTAGAGCACCTTAATTTCAATACCCCCCTTTATCCCCCCCCCCCCCCTCTTTGAAAATTCCTGGCTACGCACTTGACACTGCCCAATAGGTCATGGTCAGATGGTCATCACTTCGCGTTTTTTCACTCAAAATGATGACTTTCCCTGAAATAATGTTAAAATATTTGCTCCCAGTAGGACACAATGGATTTAGGTTCAATTGGTTTCATGCAAAATGATTGACTTACCGTGTAGTTCGTAATTTCGGATAGGATGGTTTCAATTGCCACGGTTCTGCAAGTTGTATTGTAACATAGGACAGTCTAGGGGTACTAGTACTACTTGATAACGTCATCTTGTCTTCTTGATAACAGAATCTAACGCTGATCAGCTTATACCACCTGCCACACTAAATTGTGTGGCCAGCGTTGCCCAGCACCCGCAACATTAAGATCCCATAAACAGGTTTCACAATTGCATAGTAAGCACTCTATTCGAGTAGAAAGTCTATAAAATCTTTTACCACAACTCCGACGTATCTGGTTAAAAATTAACATCTCGCGTGGTATACATGCCCGTATGACGAACAAATAGGGTGCGTCGTTTACAAGCTGTATTATTTGTATTTGATGGCATTTATTTGGATCGTAATATTCATCATAAATTTGAAATGGCATTTTAATTACTTCCGATGCGAATATTTTACACTTACCTTAAATTCCTCGTAGGCTTTGCAGGTGGAGGCCAGTTCTGTCGATAAATTGTTGTCAGAAGGCGATGAGGTGCAGAATTTCTGTCACGAGCGGAAGGCATGATTGAGATGAATAATTCGAGGTTAAAACTCTTTTTTATTTGTAAAATATTCTCAATACCCTTGACTAAAACGTAGACATATTGGCCTTTGATGCCGACTACAGCCTTCCATACGAACGTCTCCGAGGCTCCTGTCTTTACGCGTGTATTTTTTACGAATGACAACACAATACGACAGCCAAACAATAAGAATTCCTTTGTTTTGTTTTTGAAAAAGGATAATTCTTACAAGGTTCCCGTCCTTATAATGATGAACAAACAATCGTCACTCAGTTGTTACAAGGGTAACAAAAAACGCTGAATGAATGAATGTTTAAAGCTGGTAATGAGAATACGCGAGGCATGTTTGAGGTGGTGTAAATTTACCTATCGGTACACTTGTTGTGAATGTACTTGAAGACAATGCACACAACAACAGAACATACGAGAGAACTCGTGTATATACCGGTGAGGGCAAGTTCAGATAAATGCGGTGGTCACGCTCGACCAAGCATGAGCAATAAATAGATATATCTGTAGCATACACCGTATGATATGTTGGGTGTGGAGGTTTCCATAGCAACATTTGTAATTACGTAAGTACTATTATTAGATACAAAGTGGACTTATGGATCGTTTTGTTGGATTGTTGTAGTTGGCAATATCTAGCTTTTTCTGAAGAATATTGTAAAATCGAGTTTAAATTGTTTGTAATTTAAAGATAGAAAAATTAACTGGAAGGTATTCTCCCTTTTTCAAATTCCCAGTATTTTACCCAAAGTTTTGCGATTTATTTAAAATCCTTGGACCACTTTTTATTTACAACATAAAGGGAATTTTTCATGTGACTTTTGACATTCGTGACCGTATATTTGAGCAATGTTCTCCTGTTTTCAATTTTCAAGAGGATAATAAAATGTCGAGAATCCTGGAATACAATAACTACACTGCGAGTATCTTAACTTTGAATGAGCTTTTCGCTATTGATCATTCTAAATTTGGAACGAAGTTTTGCGCATTTGCAGTAATCAGGGTGTAAAAAAGGTATTTTTGGGTGTACTTAACAACGGCAGAAACGCAGTATAAAAATGGAAAAGAAATCATCCGAGAGTCTCTTCCGCTCTCCCAATTTTTCATCCACTTAAAGTTTTCTTTTATTAGAAGTCGTTTCGAACAAGAAATCCATGGAAAGGCATGGAGTCACAGCCACACGCACCCTCTAAAGCAGTAGTTCCCAAGCAAGTAATACTATTGAATGATAAATGAGGAATGATAAACAAGGGGGCCATAAGTGCTGAACGCCTCTAGAAGGGGGCCACACTGCTCTGAAGTCTTCATACTTTGGTTTCCCGCAAGGATTTTTGCGAAGTCATTATGTTTTGTGGGGGTATTGTAGTTTATCCCACCTCTAGGTTGATATCGCTATCACAATAGCAGCAACTGCCTTTGTGCACAGCTCGACTTTGTGCTCGTGCTTACTCATTGTCTAAATCAATGTTCTTCAACCTTTTTTATCGTGGTATACCTTTTACAAATTATCAAGAATTTTGTATACCATAAAAATACCAATGTTTATTTAAGGCTTTAATAATAAACATTAGATTGGCATGATAGGCATGGCAATGGGGCACATATTGTACTGCAATATCATCATGCAATCTAATAGGCTAGTATCGGCAAGTTATAAATTTGACTGACGGCCTTAGCGTCAAAGTGAATAATGTTCAACGTAAATCAAAAGAGGTGCATGGCAGCAGTGGCGCAACCAGGCCATTTCCAACGGGGGGTCCGACCGAAATTTACACAGTGCAACCACGACGTAAGTCGCAACGCCACTAGGTGTCGCCCCGCTGAAACACGATAAATTGCTCGTGGTTAAAAGGGAAACGCCATCGATTAAATCCCAGTCTTTCGCTTACCTTTCCCTCGTTCAATAACGGCGCTTCGCTATGTCTTGCACCTCGTGGGTAGCAAAACGCCGTTCATTACATTCCAGCGAATTGCTAACGAAAAGCTGTCAATTATTTTCAACGTTTCCCTCGCTTTGCGCCTCGTGGATAGTGAAACACGGCTTGAATAAATTCCAGTGTTTCCCTCGTGCCGCGCCTTGCTCGTTGGGTGAATTCGTCAAGACTAAAAACAAAATGCACTTCTTGCGAATGGACCTTTTCCCGACCCCAACCCAGAAAAATTCTAAACTAAACTGAAGCTTGCCGGAAGACATAATGACAATTAAAATACTTGATTTACAACTAATTTTTGGAAACACAACTAAAAACTGACTAATTCAATGCAGGGATGTCCAAATCGAATTTAAATTCAAATATCGCAAACTTCAAGTACTGTGATCCCGAATATGGCGCACATATCCTAGCGTCGTCGTCCATGTGTGGTTCGGCAATATATTACAGCTGACATGAAAGAATTTCGATAAACGCCGACTTGAAGAACTTATAAGACTTCGAGGACGTTTTTGATTGAAAATATTTTTTTATCGTGTATTTTAACTTAGTCGAGATGGTTTAGGCGTCCTCGGCAAATTGTGTCTTAATTAGTTGTTTTCATCCTCAGTTTCGATAGTGACCGAACATAACAGGAAATTTTTTCATTTTTCGTAATTCAGCGCGTATAAAATAGCTCTTAAATAGTATTTAATATCTATCGCGGATTTCGTCGGCATCTGGCGTTGATGACAACATCGTTCAGTTTAAGTTAGCGGTGTTCATTTACAAACAAAAATCATAACAGCCGACATGAAATATTCAAATCAGCGCAGAGTTCAAAAATAAAACACGTTTTATGGTCTTAATATGCACATAGAAAGAAGAAAGGACAGAGAAATAACGACTAAAAACTAAGAACGGTATGGTATGTTTGTGTACTTTTGTTTACCATCGTCATCATAATCAAATTAGTTAAACCCGATTCCCAAATTTCCGTCCGCCAATAATGGAGAATAAAGATGGAAAAACGCGTTTTACTTTTTGAGTCGGCGTTGATTTAAATTTTTCATGTTATGTGTTATAATTTTTTGATTATAAACCAATACCTCCAACTTTAAATGAACGATATTGTTATCAACAACGTCGGGATAACGATAAAATCTCCGATAGAAACCAAATATTAATTAGAAGCTATTTTATAGATTGCAAGAAATTAAGAAAATTTTCCGTTAAGTTTACACGACACGACCCCCGTAACACCCCCCCCCCCCCATATACCCGGTATACCATATATACCATACCTGGTATACCATATACCCGGTTGAGAAGCACTGGCCTAAATTATGGATTAGCCCTAGAAACATTATTCGTAAAAACTGACACCAACTATTGTAACTGTGTCACAGTTTACCTGGAAATACCGCAAACCATACCGCTAACAGAAACAGTTCGCGCTGAGAGGCATGAGGTTATGGTGGAACGTAGTTAATCGATATTTCACAATAATAACACAACGAAGCGCGAATACGCGTTACGTATAAGGTATAATGGACCTCCTGAAGTATGTGCCCAAAGATGGCGCACAACCTGAACTCAGGTTGTGTACCAGGTCAGGGTTCAGGTTGTGCGGCATCTTGGTGTGCATACTTCTGGAGTACCGGAATAATAGTAAACATCGTCCCTCGTTTCCACGGAAGCTTTGTACGCAAACATGAACGTGCCATCCATGTTTCCAAGACAAAATAAGAACGCAACTCAAAAATAAGCACTTTTCTTAGAAATGAGCACATCATTACTTTATAAGACGCGGGCCAGAAAAGAAGCACAAATCTTAGAAATGAGCACGATATGGAAACCCTGGCAGAAACACATAAATTCTTACCTCATTTTCAGCTGAATTCTGTAACAATTTAATAAAAACCCGACGTTTGCTGGCTTATTATGGATAATCCTTTCTGCATATGAATCAATCGAGATAGAAGTAGATGCACGCTTTCACAGCTAGTATAACTTCGACAGCGAAGTAGGTCAGTGGCTGACTTCAAGGGGCACGAGTAAGCGTCATTATACACAAAAAAAAATTGCCCCCCTCCTCCCCATTTGGAGCAGACTACGATCTTGGTAATTATTATCTTTGGATGTAAGACAACTATCTTTGGATGTAATGCCAAACCGACTCAATACACTCCGCGGTTACGTCGTAGGAATGGAATTTGAACTCTTAATATTTAATCTGTGACGCCATCACAGGAAGGTTCAACGCAGGCCGTGAATTTCGACACAGTGTTGTTAGGAGTGCGATTTCAACTACTGCGCGTGAAAAATTTCCATCTGTTATGTAGGTTGATGATATTCTCAAGGAAATATTTAAAATCGTGTGCATGGGTATCTTGGGATATATTGGTTGAAAAAGGCTCATTCGCAACCATCACGGATGTCAAACAACTTCGTTACCCACCCGATAAGTAAATATGCTAATCCCAAACAGCAAAAGATATTATTGCATCATTTCCACAATTTCCAATATGGCAAAGTTGAAATTATTTAGGTGCCTTACCATTTTATATGGTCACCAAGAATTACGCTTTCAACAAACTGGAGAGATATTTTTGGTAAATGTATTTTATTTTCGCAAGCAGCATGAGAGATGATTTTTACATGCACGTTCAATACACACATTACAATACCTAATAATATAAATTGATACCGCGAAAGTACAAAATAAAAGGATACCGGATTAACTAATCAGGTAGCACAGGCAGACTTATAATATAATCGCTACAGCGCCAGAATAGACAGAAATATAGAGCATAGTATATATAATGTCAATACATAGCTGATAGTGCAGAAGTCAGGATTTTTTCTAAGTAAAAAAAAATGAAAAATTAACCCGTTCATTACCTTCGCAATGAGAGATTCTACGCTTGAACTTAGGCTCTCAAAAAAATGTGAATATGGGAGCGGAGATAGATTCACTTTTTACCTATTTCTGTATAGTATTCGGAATTAAGTGAGGTAGAAATGGCCTTCTGAAGAAATCTAACAAGATAATCTATTTTATCTTTTAACTGTATTACAAAATTTTAAGAATAGTACTGCAAGTATTCAGGAAAGAGAACTCGATATCAGATGATCAATGGGGTATAAAGTAAAGTAGAAAAAACTTAGAACGGTCATCACTTACCCTGATTAGGAATATAAATGTGTCCACTGACTAAGCTTGATTTTCCAGATTTTGAATGAAAAAACTCGCACGAAGGCACAAAAAATATCAGTTATAGGACAAACGATATCTAGTCTGTGGTTGGAGATTAACAATTTTGCATTGGATTGTTGTGCAACCTGGCTACAAGTTTGTTTGGTTGATGCGAAACGTGAAAAGAAATATTAAGATTTTGTACTTATGTTGTTATATATTGCACTCTCAAAATGTAGTACGGTTTCACATATGGCCCAAACGCCGCATAGCAAGTCTATTATCAATTTGTTAACTCACAGAAAAATAGTCAGGAGGAAATTTTTTTGGCATGCCTTATCCTTAACAGATAGTTATCATCACACTTACAAACAAAAAAGTAAATTTCAATGAAGACCAAAGCTCTACTACACTAAATTAAAATGTAACAAGATTTACAAATTTCGGTGCAAAATATAAAAAAAAAGCTAACAGGACGGAGTTACTGCAGTTATTGATAATGTTAAATTGAATAATAACAACCAGCACCACTAGAATTTCAGAAATCATTTAGGCCAATTTAACATCACGGCAGTTACAGTTTCTCAAAAACAAAATTATAAGGGTTTTATGACAGTATGGAGCTTAATGTATTACTAGCTAGAAAGGCCGCACTGCATTGAACATTAAAAGCAAAATAGCAATAGAGAGAACATGCTAGAAAGTATATAGATAGATATAGGAAGACACACAGTAACACATTAAAAGCAGGACGAATGGTACTAGTATAATAATGATTAAAAACTAAAGATTCGTAAAGACTATATATTATAACCTTGATGACTTGTCACTACAGATTAACAAAATTAAAAACTATAAAATACTACTTTAACGCACGGGTGCTGTAAGTTCTGTTTCTGTCTCAAAGAAGTGAATTTTTGAGAATGCATGATAAATATAATATACAGACTTAACTTGTACACATAGAAAACAATAGAGATCAAGCTACTGGCAGCATAATCAAAACTCATATTCAACGATAAGAAAGCTTCTTAATTTTTAAAAATTTGGTAAGTGTACCACATACAAAAAATTTTCAAAGTAAAATCTAATTTAGGCCAGTTTCAATGAAATCTCAAAAGGTTCGGGGATGTTGATTTAGAATAAACCGTAAGCTTACATTCATCATAAGAGCATATTTTTCCAAATATCTATTCTTACAAACACAAAAGGATTTTCTTAAAGCTACACCTATATGGGTCAGGCAGAATTGAAGTCTGAATATAAACCACACACGCATGCACCACTGATGAAATTGGAAAAATATAAAATATGAAGACGAATCTTGATCAATTCAACCAGATGCAAACTGGAACATTTTTCTGCTATTGGAGATTCAAGCATACATGGTTGTAACAAGCCACTGTAAAAAAAAAATACACAATTAGTCTGATAAGTTAAAAATACTGGACCAGCACTTGAGAACGTTAATACAAAATTATCGGTAATAGCTAAGTGATCTTTATAAAATCTGACGCAAAGCCCTATAATTGTCTCTTATCTTATAGTTAACCATATATATTTCCATTTTGACTATGTCTATATCCTTGAGCGATAGAAAAAAAAATCTTAGTACATAGAGTACATCTTGTACATGTATTTCCCGAAACACTCAAGTAAAAACAAATCAAAATTTTTTTAGTGCTGTGCTCAGGTCACAATTCTTACAAAGAATGTGCATTTTCTTGACATTGCAAAATTGTTCTGTCCCAATAAAAATTTTCTCTAACTAAGCTTATATATTGTAACATTAACAAACAATGCCAGCACATCAAATGATGATAGTTAATGCTAAAACAAAATTCGATGGCTCATCTCACCTCTTCAAGAGACAAAGTAGCATCTTTATTTCCCTTGCTTCTGTATGATTTGAACGCTTCTACAAAGTAAAAACAAGCGGATTAGTGCACAAGTACACAAATGGTGCAAGAAATCAAATAGGCAATAAATTGAATAAGCTACAAACTTTGGCGCTCCAGAAGTATGTGTACCAATATGGAGGTAACTAAATGTGAAGGGACTGAAACCAATGGGCAGGTGTATATTCACTTAGCTATCACATTCATCCCTGGAATCGTTATTAAAACCAAAACGAGGAAAATCGGAATAAAAATATGGCCTAACCCTACCTGGTACACACACTACGGGAGTACCCAAACTTTATCTAAATGTTTTTAATGAGAAAAATTCAACTCGCACTAAATATCAATTTGAGAAATTTTCATATTTATTTAGAGAAAGGTCTTAATCATATTAAATAAACCACTGCCTCCTATTCCTTGGAAGTCTATTACAAATATGAAAGTGAATTCGCTCAAATCAATGTCATGTACACACACTCAGTAAGAAGCGAAAGAGAATCATCACTGAGCAAAGTTACGGGCAACCAGTGACAGCCCAAGTTCAACAACAACATATTTAAGATAATCTTCAATTGAAAATAGTGCACTTACTAAACATTGCCTCCAGTCTTACAGAAAGAAGAATGAAGTCATCCATATTGATTGTAAGTTGTTTGCTGGCATATCGCACACACAACATTTCATAAAGACGACAGCTGAGAGAATATCCTGAGCAAAAAACAGCATTAAGACATATAAGAATAGCAACGGCCTAATAGAATGACATACCTATATGCCGACAAAAGTATTTAATGTAAAAATTTAATGAAAAGGGAAATGAATTGGAAAGACCCAAACATGATCGAAAGATCAATTTAACAATCATTGTCCCATTTATCCTCCATGAATCCTAACACTGATTAAATGGTTGATTGAAAACTACTACTTTTTTCTCTCTCCGATTTGCGCTTTTGGAGCCATATACACTGACCGCAAGAATCAAAAAAGAATTGAATCTGTTTCGACAGACCAAATCAGGTTATGAGAATGACTAACATTACAGAGTAAAATTTGTGTGATGCAAGACATTTGAATCAATCACTGCAATCAAAGCGAACAATTTACCTGCATGTTCCAATGCTTGCCTTAGTTCATACGAATCAAAACATCCACTTCCATCCTTGTCATAATCCTTGAATATATTCTATAAACAAATAACAACTGATTATACAGAGAAAACAAACCACAATTTTTTTTTTAACATTTTATAAATACTTACAATCCATTTCCTTACTCTGACCCACAAATTCTTGAATTCATCATAATCTAACCTTCCAGATCTTGTGTACTATATGATTATTTGTTAAGAAAACACAAAATTGAGATATCATATACTTAACTTACATATTTATAAACAGGAATATTGTTATACGTAATAATAAGAAACACAGTGGTCTATTGGACAAAGCATAGGACCAAACTTTCACAGGTTAAAGTTCAAACCATCTTATAAACCGTTGTGTAACAAATGGGGAATGGCAATGTTAAACTGAAAAGATTCTCATCCTCCAAAAAATGGTAGCACAAGGTACATGGATGAATATCTTTATATATCAATATATTTATTAAAAAGAAAAAGGATACGTCCATGAGAGAGACCATACTACGACAAGCTTCAATTCCAAAACCAGTGTATTTTCCAGTCTTTGAATCTGAAAAAGTAAATTAAAAACATGTACCATCAGCTTTTTTATCTATAACAAATATTATATCACGTATTTTTAAATCTTGAATAAAACTAATAAAATTCTTGAAAAGGCAAGATGGAAAGGGTATTTGCACTCTGTTAACCTGGTTTTATATGCTTTTTCTTCAATTTCAAGCTTGGCCAAGTACTCAGTTATCTGTTAAAATTGCTTGGCGAAGAACTCTAACTTGATGACTATGTGGGAGAATTTAAATTAAACATTTATTAACTTACTTTTCTTCATTACAGAATTGATGATATCTTGAAGTTCAAACGCATCAATTTCACCATCCTGAAAGAAACAAAACTCAAAAATAAGGGATGAAGATATCAAGCTATTACTGTACTAAAATTTCAGCACTGTAAAAAAAGAAACAGACTGAAATTTGGTTCCTTTTCAAGAGAGTGGCATTGTGACTAATAAGCACAAACTGTGTTTGGAGATTATTAAGTCATCACATTTCATTCGTTACTTCACAATGGGTCAATTATTGTAATTAAGAAGTTTTGAACAGGTTTTGTTGACTTTTCCACTTCCTCTGTTTTTATTGCCATGTTTTGATCTATATAAATGTATGTCTCAGATACATATAACTACCTAATACAATACCATGTTGCTAAAAATCAAATACTATAAAAAATAAGCGTCCTGGAGTATTAAATACAGACTATATAACCACTAGAAAATAAGCACATCTGAGCGCATAACACAGGCTTTTGGACAATATTTCATATAAACCAGGAAATCGCTGACCCAGATTAAATGTAAAAAAGAATGCAATAGCTACTTCTCTTTGAAGAGAAGTAGCTATTGCATTCTTTTTTACATTTAATCTGGGTCAGTCACATTATTCAGGAGTGGAAACATAATTTTCAAAACCTCAAGAGCGCCAATAATTCAGGAATTCAATCATTAACTATCTATTGAGAGATATATCAACCAATTTGAACCCAGTGAGTGACGCACGCAGGGCATCCTTCGCAATGCTTTGATTGGACAAAATAAAATACCGGCCGGTCGGTTGCAGCGGTACTTACGTCCCCAGTGAGTTCTTCAAACAGCTGCTTGAATTTTTGATCATGCTCATCTGATTCTTGCTGTGTATATTTATAAATAAAGATTAGTTGGTGTTAACCAAGCATGGGTTGAACATGTGACTAGGATTTGTGCCTCCACACATAAGATCTGGCTTAGGCTTGGCCAGATGAAAATGAGACTTAAACCACACATTCGTAGGCATGATGAATCAATTCATAATTATAGTAACAACAGCATGCAAAAGTTTGAGAACACATGATGGTTTGTTAATGCGGTTTGTGAATATGTAAAATATTATTATATTGAAGCGAAACATTCCCAAAAATTTCGTTTGTTACAAGTACAATCTTGAAAAGGTTTTCGTTTTTCATCTTGTAGTAGCTGTAGTAGTGTAATACATTCAAAATCAAAGCAAAACTGCTTATCCTAATTCATTTTAGTTGTGGTAATAATTAGATTCGCATATCCAGATTATAAATGCTACTGGTGTGAGTGTTTTAAAAGTATTGATACATAATTTTATGAACAGACATTATATTTTGATTTTTACTAATATTAAAACAAAAAAAAATTAAAAAAAGTACAGTGAAAACTGAAATATAACAACTCAGGGAATCTAATTTTTCATCTTTCATTAGTGAATGATGTAAGAAATTAAAGTAGTGAATACTAGTTATATTCATTATTATGATATTTACAACACACAGTGATGAATTTATTTGACAACTTTTTAGGTCAAAAACGCGCTTTCTTTAGCAAATTATTCCTTTTTAGGGTAAGGTACAGCTATGTGTAGTTCTTCCTTTTGGGTAGGAAAACCAAAATTATGTTATCTGCTATAAAAAAAACAAGACAGGGAAGGAAATGAAATACATGCATATGACGCGCAATATATACAAGACTATAATGTTATATACAAATCTTGATGTACGGCCATCAAGTTTAGATGCAAATAGTGTTAAATTATTAAACATGATGTAAGGCGTGATAGATGAAAGGTTAATTCAAAAATAAATTAGGAAAAACTGTGAGATAGAATTAGCAAATTAAAGAAGCAACAAACAGAAAAAGTTTGAGATTGAATCTAAAAAAGTGTTGTTAGTAATAGATTGAATAACAGGAAATTAAGAGAGAAGAAGTAACATAAATTCAGCATTCTGATCTACCTGATCTCTGGAATGTTTGTGTGGCTGCAGACGTCAATAAACAAGATTAAATACATGAAATATATAACAACGGAAAATCTCTCAAATCTTCAGATATACCGGTACATGTTTACATGACAACTCTATTTGAATATGAATTATTCAATTTTGCAAGAATGAATACAAATGTTCACACAAAGCTGCATATAGTGTACATGCAAATCAAGACATCAAATGTCAATGACAGTGGTTCTCAAACTTTTTAAGCCCCTTTTTAGAATTTGTCAAGTCTCGCGTCACACCCCAAAAATAGCTAGCTAACAATGAGCTATAAGTAACAGATAGTAAGGCGAAAGTACGTTTTATTCCAAAACATGTTGAAAATACTTCGATGGAACGTAAATATCCAAAATAAAAAAGTGTAAATATCCAAAATAATGCGGACAAGATCAAATCTAACAAATTTTCAAATTTAGGTTAACTCCACGCCTCATCAAAAATATGGCCACGCCCCACAGTTTGGGAACCACTGAATTATGAAGTAGTATTCGTAGAAAACACGCTGATCAAAGAATGAAACACAGAAGAATATACAATGAAAATATTAATATTCAATTGGGTATTTACATTTTGCACCAACAAATTTTAATCAATGCTTGAATACTTGAAACAAAGACCCTATTTTTATGTTGACTAATTTAACATACGGTAAATATATCTTACATCGGTGACTGGTTCCAAAGATGCTTTTTCATCTTGTTTTGTTTCATTATCCATTTCCCTGCATAAATAAATATATTTGGTTAAAAAGAAGGCATACAAAGAAATAGTAGTTATATCAGTAAAAGTTTTAAAGAGCTTGAATAATCCAGGAAATCGAGAACTGACAATGTGCTAATTAAGCCAAATTGGCATATGGTCTATGACTACTTCTGATACCTCTCCTCTATGAGAAAAAATTCAAATGGTGGTGATTAACTGATAAATTAGTCGAAATATTTGGACTTTTATGAAGTATTTCAACAAATAACAAACTTTTACCCTATTATAGTTGATCTATTATAAGTGTAAAGCGATTGTTACTATAACTTTCCAACATTTCTAAACACAATCAATCAAGAACATCAAAAATGCTACAAATATAATACAGATTCAACCTATATCTCACCGTCTTCTATAGAAAGAAGGAAAGCAACACAGCATCATCAAATTAAATCTAGCGATTTAAAATACCCAAAAAACTAATTTCTCTATTTGTTAAACGCTCACACAGCTTCTTGTAGTCGCTAGGACATGAAATGAACAATTTATTTGTGTGCTTCTGAACTTGTTCCTGTATTAATCATCGAATAAAAAGTTTGTGCATTCTAATTGGACGATGGGTAGAACGAAGGATATGGAATGTCGAAACAATTGCGCAGAGGAATTAACATGAGACAGCAATACATACGATTATTTCCTGTTATGTGAATAGTTTTAGCGATTTAGTTGGATTGTTCTAGCCAGGCCCTTGATTTACCAGTGCCAAAAATATTTTAAATATTTTGACAGAAACACACAATATCAAACAGACTAAGATTGTGGTCATATCAAAAATCAACAGCAATGACAAGTATAGATTTGAATATCCCATTTGAAGATTAAACAAGATACAAATTGAAGACATTTGGACTTCTAAGAGACTCACCAACATGACATGCGTGGATGAAACTTAGCATCAATCAAAGATTTTAAGTCTGATTCAATTTAGCAGCAATCATACACATTCACAAATAAAATTATTAAAGTCAAGATAATGTCACAATAAGCTTTTTTTATCAATGCTAATCCAATGGCATCTTAAAAGGGACAAAACATGCATTTCATCATCCCAACCTCAAACCAAATTTTTTTTCAAATTCAGAATTTATAAATATTTGTAAATTAATTAATGTAAATTTGTAAATTCTTACGCAGTGCCAGATCTTTTCTCAGTGAAGATACGAAGCACAAAGTCTGCTTCTTCGTTGGGTTGAAACGTTGATGGTACAATAACATAATCACCGGGAGGAAGACGAAATCTTTGTGAATTTTCTCGAAGATTAATATAGTTTTTCGATCTTGCAACGGATGCGTTGTATAGGAAAAATTCTTTGCGTACAGGTTGCGTTCCGCATTCCTTCAACTGTGAGTAAGTATGGTACATTGTGAGTATGGGTTTTATATTGAGAAGAGATAATGGAATAAATAAATAGTGCCAACACACATTTGAAAAGTTCCCATTTTTAAGCCTATAATAAGGAAACTGGTCCAATTTAGATAACCATGTAATGCTTGTTATGAATACTATACTTTGATTAATTTATTGTGAAAAAAATCAATTTGGAAGCAACATATGATATATAAACCATACAACTCTTAACATTTGTACATAAAAGGATACATACAGGTCTTTTTTGTTTTAATATTGCTGCATCAGCATCGCTAATTAAAAAATCTCAATTCCCTAAAAAAAATTCTAAATACTTTAATTTTTATACTTGTGAACTAAATATAGGCCAACTTTAAAAATGAAACAGCAAATGATCAACTCAAATTTATTTAAAAAGAAAAGTAATTGAAAGAAAAAGAAAAATTATTATTGAAATAGCATGCAATTTATCATTATTGAGTTGGTTATAAAATCTATTGTGTTATCACTCTGAAAATCACCATAAAAATCAGATGTAGTATTAAATTCTAGTTATAATGTTAGTCGGTAAGTCAAAGTCATTAAAATATTTTGATAATTTTCAATTTTGTTATCACCAGTAGATAAAATTCAAAAGTATTTAGGAATAGGGCTAGTAAAATGACCATCTCTGTAATTTAATTAAGTGCGAAACAAATAGTGAAGAATTATTGAGTTTCTGTGTGTGCAATATGTGTATTGTGTAAACAAAACCAGTCAATATGAAACTAGGGTTATAGTGTCAACAAATTAATGAATTAACAGTTGGTAGGAAGACACTGTGGACTAAGTACCATAAATGAAAAATATGAACACTTGATCGAGTGTGTACCGTTGATAAGCCAGGTTTGTCTTATCATTGGCATATACTTGCTCTAGTATGACGATATGATACATGAGCCAATATCCATTGAACATATGGACAATATAACAAAGCACAGCTGGGTCCCACTGGGATGTTATAATAGGGGTTATTATTTTGAAAAGAACTTCAATAAATAAATTGGAAACAAGCCTGAATGTACTGTTCTTAGGTATGGTATCCCAATGATATCACATTCATGAAGTATACCAGTTCTTATTCTGATATACATGGTGTCTATAAAGTGGTTTACCCGAAGAAAATATTCCCAGTAATTGATAATATCCCCAAACCAATCATTATCTATGCAAATTTAATATATTATCTAAACTCATAAACGTTGAAGTAAAATCATGATATATCTCTGATTTCTCCGCGATTATGTTGTAGAGAAGAAAACTTTACACAAACAATACAGGAAATTGTTTCATCTAAACTTTAAAAAATAAAAAAAATTCAAATATCATGAATTTGTTTTTTATTTTACCCAGTTACACACCCCAGTTGCATACTACTTTATTTTCAGTTACCACACCATAATCCCAGATTTATTATTTGAAAAATGCTAATCAGAAACAATTGAAATATTCCATGTAGAGTGTTTGGTACTAGGAAAATCCCGCCCTAAAAATTTCATGAAGGGAAATATCCTCAATTGAATATTCCACCCCAACGAAATTCAACATTTCTTTTAGAAGTTTTATTTCAATTGATTCTTTAAATAATGTCATATATGTTAGAATTGCTTAGAATTATCTGGGTGGAATTTTTCAGACAACGACTGTTTGTGAACAGTAATTCATGCATCCATTTTCAACGATAATTCAAGATAGAGTTGAAGTTCAAATACCACCAGAAATTATTAGGCAAAGATTAGAAAGAAAAAGATTAAAAAGCCAAAAATAAAATCAAATTAATTTAAATCAGATCTGCACACCCGAATTGCCACCAAATTTATAAACCGACGTTACCTGTTTTTTGGTAAGCTGAAATAAATACGCTTGATTTATTATTCAAATGAAATGTTCATAAAATGAGAAAAATATTAAAATAGGGTAGGCTATGCAAAACCAGAAGAGCCGTCGAAACAAAACACAGATCTCCTTGAAATGTAGAGCCTTGTTTATAGAGTAAATGTTAATAAATCATCTAAATAAGTAAATAGGTGAAAAGAAAAAAATAGACTTTTAATCAACAATAGGTCCCTCATTTTTCAGATAGATCTTTGTCGGAAGTATTAAAACTTAATTCTTTCAGTAAAAATAGTACGAAACAAATCATATTGTCATGGCACAAAAATACACAAACAGAGGAAGTAGTGGAGTACAGGTTTTTCTATCTAATCCTCTTATTAAGATGTACAATGTCATTTGGTACTCCTACATACGAATAGCAGTAATCTAAATTCTAACGTCTATTTAGCGTAATAACCTCAGACAGATGGGCCCGGCCCATTCATCCCATGTAGCAAATTCAAGAACAACACATTACCATTGCCTTCGTGAAAAATGATATCCACAAACAATAGCACTTTAACTAGAGTGTAATATAAATTTTTTAATTGTCATATGATTATAACTAATAATTCAACATAATTTTTATCCATATTTATGATTCAAAGTTCCTGGGGTTAAATCAAGAAGACTTACCTTGTACAATGCAAATCCTATGGTAAGAATGCCTTGTCCTTTGGCTTTCTGCTTTCTTCTATTCTTTTGTATGAGAGAAAGAATGAAACTGCATCCATCCTGATCATCATCAGGATCATCATCTTCTTCTTCCAAGGATAATCTAAACTGCGGATTCACCCAGAAAGTATCTGTAAAATATATATAAATATAAATCGAAGAATCTATAAAATAGATAGAATAGGACTTGCTTCATGAATTGTGTGAATGTGACATTATGTAAACCTCCATGTGACTAAAGTCAACAAATCATAGATTATAGCATTCAAGCTTCCACTTTAGAGCAACTATTCCCCATGGAATGCTAGTCTGCGGTATCAGATTGAAATAGAAAGCATATTTCTAATGATTCGCGTGATACTCTGCGTGTTAAGATATAATATATATTATGTAGATCTATCTGTACTGCAACAAATAAAAAATTTGACCAAAGTAAAGTGATGCCAAATAGAGAGAGAGAGTTCGGATTAAACAAAAAACAAACACCCGAGACAAATATATATAAAATGTAAATCATTTTAAGGTGCAAATCAAAGAAATTCCAAAACTATTATACTAAAAATATAAAATCATATGTTCTAAAAAATCATTCAAATCATAATTAGTTATCAATATGAATATTTCTGATGACTAGGGCTGGGAATTTCAGGGAAAACACTAACCGTTAACAGGGTAAAATAAACCGGTTGACCGGTTAACCGCAGCGTGACGTTTGACGTCACAATGGTTCCAAACAATTTCGCATGATTTTATCCCGGCATCGCTTAAAATTATTTGCGAATCGAGATAGTTTCGTGATCGCTCTGATGCGAGAGAGCTCTGCTGCAGGGTGCTTCGGACATATTCAGTAACCAGATTCCAGTATTAAATGTCATTTATGTGACAAATATTTAGTGCTTTATTGAAGCCGGTTAACCATTCCCAGCCCTACTTATGACAGATATCACAAAAAGTTACAGACCAGGGAAATTTCTGCATCCGCCAGCAGTACAACCTCTGATCCAACGACCTTCATGAAGTGAAGTCACCCAAGTAGTAGTTGCATCATCTTCTTCCAGAGCATCAGGTCCCAAGTTACAGATTTCGAGTTTAGTGTAATTACGAGAAAAATCATCGAAGGACATCCTAAGAGTAATGTTATATGTAATATAATTTGACATGAAAAATGACATTTTGATAGCAATTACAATTAAATATTATGATTAATTGCAATAAATACAGTTGATTATATTTATCAATTATACTGGCTTATGAACAACATGTGAGGAATGAAAATGTTTAAAAGTTCAATCAAAAACTGTATGATTAGGATCTTGGAGAAAAGGTTAGAATTCAGAAAATCATGAATAAATCACTATGTGAAGATTATCGGACGAGTAAAATATAATTTGGTGCCACCGCCTTCCTCGGTATACAACAAAAAAAATTTTGTATATGATTTTTAATAGGCTACATGGTATTTGTTCTGTAACTAAAATTCATTCCACAATCAAACTTACCAAAATTCACCATCATCACCAAAATCAACTTCCAATTTCTTTCTTTCGCTTTCCGAGATTGACTTCCAAGAACTGGAACTGAAAAGTTAGACAAGTGGAATAGTAAATGCAAAGATTCATTACGATTTATTGAAAAAGGAAAGCTCGAAAAGTTGTAGTGAGAAAATATGACTCCGGTTACGTCAAATGTGGTTTCATTGAGGCAGAAAATTACTTTGAGCCAAAAACATGTGTTGAGTGTCGATGTTACGTTGCGCATAAGCTACTTTCATATCAAGCCTCGACTTGATCTGATAATATCCAGTATGCAAGCTCTAGTTTTGTATCAATAGTAAATTGCTCGTCTCTTTCCTCATATATTAACACCTCATTGTGGGTCGCAGAAGAAAAATTGCCATACAAGTGAGTCACAAACTGAAAAAGGCTGGGAAGCACTGACCTAAAGTAGCCTACAAATCAATCAAGAATTGGTACCAAGTTTTTACTAGTTTAAGATCCGCCATAATCAAAACAATAATACACGTCCGGTTTTTATTTTGCGTGACACAAGCAAATTATGAAATAGACAAATAATATGAAAATGGCTGTGGTTATTTTATAAATTCAATCAAATCGTGACTAAATATAATAATCATAATAAAAAACATTGATACTAAACGGACGAATATGATGAAACAATAACAATGAACCTATTTTAGTCAAATTAGTAATAACAACGAATGATTACTTGAAAAATGTATATTAAGAAGATTGCATAACATTGAAATAATATGAAGGTAATAAGAAGGGGTGGGCAATGTAGAATAATTTACCATTCTAGAATCCTATTCTATTTTTTCACTTATTTGAATAGTGGGAATTCGCCCACTTACATATCATTGGATATTAGCGTATTTTTATAGATGGTCTTGTTTGGAAGAGGAGCGAATAAGAATCAAATAAAAATAATATACATACTCATCAGACCAAGCTCCCTTCCATTCAACTTGTCCCCAAGGATTTCGAATTCGAACCAACTTTGTTCCATTTTGCAACTAAACATGAATGAGAAGTTTATTACCATAATTACAATGTATATACAATATTAAACTGTAAAAGTCGAGCTAACACAAGTTTAAATCCAGCCATTAAGAATTTTGTTTAATTCTAGACATAGGCTGCAGATGCGCCATATTTATAATTGAACTTACTTAGTAATATTAGTAACATTTCTGAATTTTTACTGAAATAATTCTATAAAATTAGAATCTGTTTAAAATCATTATTTGAAGGCTTTCAATTTATGTGGGTTATTATACAATATAGTCTTCTGTATTTATGAAAGGATGTTTCATCTCGATTTTTTAAATATTCAGAACAACACCCTTCATCTTTTGATTGGTCTGGTTCAAATATTTATGAACTTTTTTTTACTATTCTGGGAGAGCAAACAATGACTATGTGCATCAAAAAGTGATAGGTTGCCAGGAATGCCGGATCCACGCCTTACTAAGAACAAACAAAAGCTAGTTCAAATACCTTTTCTACTCCTGTGATGCTGTAGGCATGCCCCATTATCAGACCATTACTCAATTTTGATTCACGTTGAGACATGTTCTGGGTCTGAAAAAGAGAAAATGACAATTTTTCAAAAATGATAGATTTGGTATAATATTCAAATCACTAAATTATGAATTATTTTATATATGATAATTGCTTCAAAGAATAAAAATAAGTTACATTTTTCATTTAAGTAAATAGTTGTATTAGTAGTTTTAATTACTCAAATATGGTAATTATTTAATGGTAATATCTAGGTAACATCCTGCATATCTGATATCTTACTATAAATTTTATTGAATTAGAACAAATTTGAAGGGTCAGAATTAATATATTTTATTAATAAACTAGAAGTGTTATAATCTCTACAGTCCACAACAATTTAGAACGTTCCTGCTGTAGTAATATAAATTAAAACATAAAAAAATGGGAATATTTGAAGTTTCACATCATAGATTTTCCTTGGGCATGACAGTACAGCCAAAAATGAATTTTGTTTCAAATTACACAATTCACTCCCTTATTTGTTATACAGCCTGTTAAGTTTTTTTTTTATTTTCCTTGAGTAGATGAAAGTTTAATATAAACCTCCATAACGGAAAGAAAAGAATAAAAAATGAGGGTCGACTCAATGTAAACACTAACTAGGGACATTCAACACCTACACAGACTTTTGTTTGCGGACAAACATTGATAGATATTGAGTCGACATTGCTGAGTTTACTTTTTCATGACGCTGAAATATCTTTAAGAAAAGTGTAGCTTCAGAATATCCAACAATACATTGGAAGCCCTTATGAAATATAAATTTCAATGAGAACAACCAAACGGAAATGGTGGAAATGGAGAAGTTTCTCTGTATAAATATGGATTATTTTGTATCTCTACAGTTTTAAGGTTATGATATTTAATATCAATTGGCTATAGTTGTGAATTTGTATTTGTTGAAAATATAATTAATAAGTATTGCTGAACTTTTAACATTTCATAAAAAATATTTTAATGTAAATATGTGATGTAGAATATCAGCTACCGGTCATGAATTCATACCATCTTCATGATGAAATGCCAAATATTCTAATTTGATATTACATTACTGCCTTTTACATTTACCAGTAAATTAAAAAATTTTATTATCGGATCTGGGTGGAAGTAATTCATCCAGACTCATTTTGTAAGGCATTGAAGTGTGAATACTGAAAAGCCACAAATCTCTCTTTACTTTAAGCAGTGGTTTTCTTTCCACAGCACACTTCACTGCATGACATGATTTTCTCCTATTGTAATGAAACAGCAATACATTCAACTATTTCTGGTAAGCAAAGTCACGAAAGGGATAGTTATACCATACAGCCTATTGACCTGGGTAACAGGGGATAGTGTAAGATGAATCACTGCATTTTAAAAAGTGATACCTTTTACCATAACTATTCATTTTATTGCCGGAGAATGGAACTCATGAAATGAGTAATTTACTATTAATCAAATTAACTTGAAACCATGAGGTAATAATTTTTTTCCTACATGCAAATCTCATATCCCCCAAACAAATTATTCTGATATACCGGTACCTAATCAGTTAGGAATGACAAAATTTCTGTCTTTTTTCTAAGAGAACTCATCAAGGTAAGGTCAGGCATGCCCACTCAAAAAGTAAGGGAGATTCATCACTGAGTAAAATTATTAGCAACAATTTGAAATACCATGAGATACTCAAACACTATAAAATTATAGACATGGACTCATGGAGGAGTTCATGTCAATACGACCGTGAAAATAGTTATGGTTTAGCAATACTTTCCACATACATAAAGTTCTAGGAAAAAACTTTTGACAAATTCTTTGACAAGTGGGTACACAAGACAGTAAACATAGGAGAAATCACAGCCAACTAAGTATGACGCTAAAAACATTTCCTGAGGGTGAAAGTTACGAAAGACAATTACCAAAAATACCAATATATAAACTATTTATTAAGTATAAGTGTAGGCCAATTGTATATGGTAATAAACCAAAATTGAAATAATTTTGGCCAGCATTCAATTTTGTCAAGCATATAAGATTAGAAAATACACATTTATGGTGGATAGCATACCACCGAAACAATACAATTAAAGTAATGAACCTCGGCTGGTTGAACATTAATACCATATTATGGGCAAATGTATTCTCAATGAGGTGAGAAAAATAAACAGAAATGGGTGAAACTGGGTGGGCCAATTCATTAGCTAAGGATTTCAAAATATATTAGTTTTTACGACAATCATGATAACATTACGTATCAGTCAGGACAGGAAATATTAAAATCATAAGATGATTATTAATGGTTAGCCAGCCCAGAGCTAAGAAAATTGATTGACATCAATTACAGCTGCAATCATGATATGGGTAACTAATATTCATGTCTTCCTAATTTCCTGTGTCCATACTGAACACAAATAGAGGAAATGACCACATGAACACTTGATAACTCACACACACACATACTTAGAAGATGCACAACATTTCAATCCAAATTTCCATGATAAAAATTTTACTTTTCTCAGAATTCATGAAATGTCAGTTTAGCAAGGCATATATAAATCTTGGCATAAGTTCTATATTTTGTTCTAACATAATCAATATTTGACTCTAGAAAATCAACTTCAATGTTCTTGTTTCAAGATTTTAGGTATTCATCATAACATAGACAAAAACGGTTCAATAATCAGTCTGACCCATTCGGTGTTGGTTTGAAGTATCTTTCAACTACCGCAAGTGATTAAAAATTTATATATAGTGACATGGTCAAAAGTAGATGAACAAAAAGTCGTTCTATAAATAAAATGAACAATACATTGTTGAAAAAATATATGAAATTTCAACAGGAAATGATTTTGGAACTGCACACCGATTGCAATTCACTAGCAAGTATTGCACCAACATAATTCTAATAGTTTCAGTAAGACAGTCGCTCCTAATAATTCAGCGATGGTCCCTTCCTCCGACTGAAGATGAGCTGATCAATTTTGAGTGAATGAGTCTCACTAACTTGAAAGTAAAGAGACTCATCTCTTGAACTCACACACTCACCACTTCATTCAAATAAAAAAAAAATTAAATACAATACCTCAATAGCACATCCCATCAGAGCTCCTTTCTTGAGTGACTTTCTCATTAACTGGAAAAGATTCTTTGGAGCCTCTCTTAGTTCGTATGTCTCAGTTACACCTCCAGTAAAATCTTCCATGGCTTCAGTAGTACTGCCACCTTTGAGAGCTTCATAGGAACCATTGAGCCTATTGAAATAAATCAAACAATGATAGTTAACAATTGTCATACATGATTACTTTCTGATATCGTATTTATGAAATAAGCAATTAAATCCATAGGCATCCCAATAACTAAACAAACACATGCTAATAAGAGCTTGACTTATTCAACTTAATTCATGTGTTAGGATTGTTGTTACAATTTAAAACTATAAATTTTTTTCAAATTGTCATAATGACAAGCAATTTACAATTTCTTTTAAAACCCAAAACCAGTGAGTAATATATAAAATTACTCAACATCAGTAAAGCATAAATGTTTGATGTTTTATAAAATATAATTGACAACGATTCTATTAAAGTGTCACTGTGCCCTGTGACATACAATAAATAATTCAGTGGATCAAAATGATATTATGGATTTTATACAAAAATTTAGAATACATTATGTGAACAAAAAAAGAACATTTTGATACACACAAGTCTTATTAGCGGAAATTACCAGCCTACTACTACACCCCAATGTGGAATTTTGAATGTTTTATTATATTTGCTGAAAAAGGTTTTTAATCTATTCATTCTAATGGTGTTCAAGCATATATATGGGAAATTTTTGGTTATCGGATATGTGGAGAATACAATGACAATCCATTTATATAGATAATTATCCTCCAGAAAGGCTGAAAAGTGAAAAGAACTGTAAAAATTTTTGGTTGAGTGGCTATTGACTACATGAATGTCAGAAATTGGAAAATTCAGCATTTGTTTGTACTTACTTAGCATAAGCTTTCTCAAGCAAGGCACTCCAAAATTCATTCTTATCTGCTGAATGAAGATACACAAGTCTGTTGTTGTAAGTTGGCAACAAATCATCAACAAGAACATCAATCCATTCACCATACTGAAATATTAATAAAATGTGTTGATCTGAACGATCATCAAATTTTCTATTATCAAAAATAAGCGATTTGTAATTGTTATGTTGTGTATCAATAGACTTACCTGCCAGAATTGGAAATGGAATATTCCAGAATAATAGCCTTTAGCAAAAGTCTGATCCTGAGGGATGATTCTATAAAGCAGACTTTCGTTCAATGACAAGGAAGCAATAGCTGCAAGAAGCCAGCAATCACCTAAACAAAACATTGCATGGTATAATACAAAGAGGTAGCTACATAAGTTACAGTGAGGGTTGTGGCGTCAGGAAAAAGTTACACTCGACTCAACTATAAAACTATTCAAATAACATCTCCTGGTTGATGGAAATATTGACTCCAACTACAGCACCGAACTCCAAAACAAAACATTTTGGCCACGAAAACTATGGAATATGTAAGCCTTCTTGTATTATATGTTGAGAATGCTTAGTTGACTCAAATGTATTTTTAGTTTCTGTCAGAAATTTTAACATCAATTCCCACCATTAGAAAAAAGTCTAAAACTAAAACTCAGATAAATTCAAATTTTCTACTTGAGATCCAACTCCAGACTTTCGCTAGTTTGAAAATAAAACTTCGTCCCTGACTCAATATCAATTAATACAAGCCAAATTTAAGAATCAACAGTCCTGCTTACAGCGTAACATGAAAAAATAAAACTGAACAAATAAAAATAATCTTAATGGAAATCCTATTTACTTACCTAGTTCACCTTGCTTGATGTCAAATCTACTTGCACCACCAACAAAGAGCTTTGGGTCATCACAAATATCCTGCAAGTTGATATTTTAAAACGTTACGAATGAGTATTCAAATAATATCAAGATATTGACAACATACCATATTATTTAAATAATTCACCAGTAAATATAATAATATTCACAAACTGAACACCATGCATTCTATATTGACTAAATAATTATAAATATTCTGAAATGAATCTATATTTCACCATCTTTAAGTCTAATCCTAGAATCTGCATTTCAGCAATAAGAGGAGCCTAATAATATCTCCATAAAAAAGTCTTATTTGATTTTATAGATTCATCTTTTTAAGTTATGAAATATGATTTATCCATATACACTATATGATTAAATAATGTGCAAATAGGGTGCGCAATTTTTTTATTTTGATGGTGTCATCGCACATAAAAAACTATCCCATAGAGGCCACAGAAATTTTTGGAATAAATAAAATTATAGCGTTTTATTGAAAAATACAAACTTAATAAATTCCAAAGCAATTGGTCCAACAGCGATTTTTTCACAAGGAGAAAAGGAATACCTACAAGATGACAAACAACAACATAATAACAAAACAACCCATATGTACACTTTGTGTCCAATAAGCAAACAGAATTTCTATCTTAATGAAAGGCTGCCTAAATGAACAGAATTGTTCAATAAAATCCTCATTAATACACCACTTACATGTGGCCTTTTCCATTCGAATTTAACTCTTGGTCGTTGACTAAAGAACAATGCATCATCATTAGCAGGGAATTCAGGATCTTCAAACAGAACACCTTTATCTAAGCATTCCTGTCGGATCTCATCGAATGACTTATCCTCAGTGTCAACAACAAAGGAGGCTCCTTTCTTCTTTGGCGCTTGGTATCTGAAGAGTGAATAATCAGATATGACTTTCTATAAGCATAGAATATGCTGAAACTGTCGCAAACAACATACTTTGTATATTTGAATTTTGCTATTTTTATAGGGAAAAGAATGTAAATTGAGGAAACTCACTTAAAAGTAAGAATCTATCCAAAACGAATACACAAATTCTTTCAGTAATTTGCAACATGTTTATACAACAAGTCTAAACAACTTAAAATTATTTACAGTTGATCCCTAGTTAAAAGCATTATTTATATTATTCATAAAAAAGGAAGAGTAATATTCAGTCGAGAATAGGTTTCAAATTCTTGCCTCAAAAAGTTTTATTTGCATAACCAGCTCATTGTTTCCAAATAGAATGTAATTATAAATAGAACAATCAAGTCTTTACTTCATAAAATAAAAAAACTACCTTGCTAAATTATCATGTCCACCTTTTCCATGTAGAGTTTTTACATTATATCCCCCTCCTCCTATGTTTATTATACTTTTGCTTCCTCCTCCACCACGGTACGGGCCAACTGGAACTGTGCTACGGTATGTTTTCTTATAATAGGGCATTATTTTTGCTGTCAAACCTAACTTTCGACTATAAAAACAAAAAAACAAGAATGTCAATGATTGGAAAATTTCGTCAATTTTGTGTTTCTTTCTTTAAAAATTAGCGATGTGTGTATTTAGTCATGATTCCGCCAGCCCCCAACATTGCCTTTTTGCATATAAAGTTTTCATCTGTAAGTACTTTTACCATGCTTTCGACATTGCTATCAAGTAATCCAGAACTAGTATGGAGTAGAATAATTGCACAACCGCCACCTCCTGCACCAGTTAGCTTCGCTGGAAACCCAAATTTTTTTGCAATTAAGCAAATTTTATCCAAAGCAGGGTGACCCACTCCAATGCCACACAAGAGACATTGATTTGTTATTATAAGTTTCCCTAAATCGTTTAATAATTCATGATTTAACTGATCGGCATGAATATTTTTTAAAAGGATTTCTGATTTTAGAGTGATACCATGCATAGCGTCTAATATAGGATTTACAATATCAGGAAATTTATTTAAAAATTCTTTCACATTTGACACCAAAGTCTTTGTGTTTCGTTGCACTTGGCTGTCAACAATAAGCAGCTGCAACTTTGGCATGTTTTCTAATTTGGTAAGATTCCCTTTTTCAAACAAAACCGCCCCACCATATGTGGCAATTGAATTATCAATTCCAGATGGAGTCTTGTGAACTATTTTCTCCATTTCATAAGCCAATTCATTAATTTTATTCAAATTATTTTCATTTTTCAATTCAATGAAACTATCACTTGATTCAGTAGAAATCCTTCCTGATAATAGAAGCAATATACATGCAACACTTGTATTATAAGCTGCAGATGATCCCAAACCAGCGCCAATAGGCAACTGTGACTCAATAATCAATGAAACATGTGGTGCTGTAATGGGGTCACTGCACAAAAATACTTTATAGTAGGCATACAGAAGACATGACATGGCAAGCCTCATGAATTCATTAGCATGTTCCGATAACGTCTCTGCGCAATATTTTTCAATCTCTATACCAGGATTTTCTTCATCTTTCAGTTTGTCACAAAAAAAACAAAATTCGTTGATTTGAACTGTTATTTGCTTGTCATGAAGGGATGACATTAAAACTGAAATAACTCCATCGTTTGAGTTTGATGTTGTAGCTCTCACAAAAACTCGAGATTCAATGGCACAAGCAATGGCTTTTTTACCATGAACAACAGAATGTTCACCATGCAGAATGATTTTTCCAGGTGCAGATACAGATATTTCAGTCATGATATGATAAATATTTTTAAAAATACATCTGCTAAAAGTATATTCTAATCACAGTATATACCCAAAAGTTACATTAAACTAATTTGGGATTTCAGACAAAAAGTATTTTTTGATGGTGACAACATAATGATTTGTACTAATTCCACTAAATTTTACACTAAACTATGAGAGGAAACCTTGTCGCATCTTAGAAACAGAGTCCGTGTTTTTATACAAAAAACAAATAATGGTTCATAGAGAGATGCTACTTGCAATACAACAAGATTAAATGGAACATTTTCCTTAGGCATTTCTGAAATGAGTATTTTAGAAATCAATATATTTTTAATGATCATGATGTTGTGGGAAACTATGAACAAAGTAGGGTTGTAAATCAGTCAATAGATATAAGCATATAGTAGGTAGGTAGTAGGTACATACAACATTATTGGATTAAACACGCATTACTGCATTAGCATAATAAAGTAGGGTATTCTGGAATCATTAAAGTGAAAATGCATATCATTCTTTTTTTTTTATCATTTTATAAAAAGGGTAAGGCTCAGATTACGGTACCCCAATGCACCAAGAGAAACTTTAGAATAAATAGGCGCAACAGATTTTCACATTTCCATATTCATCTACTTAAACTTTGGAAGCGGTTGGCCCAGCAGTTGAAATTTTTTTGGCTAACAATAACATAAACAGCCTGACAAGACAACAATTTAGAAGATACATCCATATCCATATGCAGATATGTCCAACTGGATTCCAAGTGCTGAAGTGATAACACAAACACCACAAAGAATAAGTACCGTATATTTCATTAGATTCCACAATCCAGTAATCAGCATACCGGTACCTCACAGGACTGTAAATACCTTTAACTTACACACAAAACACGTACTTGAATCATGGAGCTTGATTTGTTATACGACACGGTACCGGTATACCGGTACCGGTATACGGTGCATAGCATACGGACATACACATAGGCGACAAGGCCTGTCTGCCTGTAGGCGCCTTACCTGCTCTCATCTCAGACATTGAATAACAATCTGCGCTGGTCTCGACGGACGTCGAAGCCCTCTCTAAATCAACCACGGTAACGCTCCTATTCGATTCTAAGCAATCATGGAATCCACTTTGAAAATAACAAGTCTTCAACCCCAGTTTCATTGCAAAAGAAAACTTTACATCTGACTTTCAGAGAAGAACAGATACATGAGCTGAAGGCTAGACTATATCACGACTCCTACACACCTCCCGCGGCTACAAAATGCTCCAGTGCTTGGAAATTTTGCTTGCCCCCAAAACCAACATTCTGGTTGCATGGAATTCCTTTTCACCGGCTTGTCACGCCATTCATATAACATGTATAACAATCAACATTGTTATTTTGAGGAAAAGTTTTTAATTGAAACAAGCAAACGCAGTATCGTGTTGCTCATAAAGCAGCAGATATCATCTTACTCCAACATTCATCTTTTTATAATTCACTGCTGCGGACCATCGACGTCTTCGCATAGAATATCAACTGTCATATGAAATCAACAACAATGATCCTTTGTGAAGCAGTTATAGGTCATCTGTGTTTCACTTTTATATTTTGACCCGCTTATATATAAAAATTCAAATAATTTCCTCCAGAGATCAATGATGCACCGCAGTCTCTCATAGCCTCATACCCCTCATACTAATACCTTACGCTTTCGGCCTTATCGTTTTGTCTAATACAAGAGATATAGTATAGTATACCCTATTATAAAAGGTAGACATGTACGATTACGTAACGAGTTAGACAATGTTGGTATAGTCCAGGGATGGCGAACCACTGACCCGCGGGTCACAAAGTGACCTACCACGTTTTATCCGTGATCCGCCAAGGCATAAAGAAAGGAATAAAGGAATAAAATAAAAATAATATGCTAACATAACAGAGATAAAAATTGATAAAACCGGCTTTAAATTAATTTAACAATACCTATTATAATCTACCGTCAGTTTGGCAGTCAAGGCCGCCATCGCTCTTATTCAAATTGGTAATTTTTCGGGCCGGTATGAAGATTTTCAAAACCCCTAATTTTGGACGCATTTCTGCACCGCTGTAAAAAGTTAATCAGCTGTTGGCTCTGACATCGTTTATGACATAATAATATAACCGATATGTTCATTTGTCGCTACGTCTGATCTCTTTCGGAAGTTCATCTGAAGACTGTTTAAGGGGTTATGCGAGAACTAGATGAGACTTGAAATGAAAGCCTAGAAATCTAAAATAACAATGGATGTAAAAGTGCCTTAATGTGGTTAAAAGCTGATCGAAAAATAGAACACTATCAGAGTGGAATTCCCTCCAGACTCTTGGGAACCGTAAAATAATTTGCCGCATCATTCTAAACGTTTTTGGTAATTCATGTGCGTGTTTTCGTACTCTAATTTCATAAAATCGAGTGCCATAAAAAGTCCCTGATAGAAGTGCTGCATAAGTGAAGGCCAAAACTACGCCAACATCAACATGGGGTTATAAGATTTCTTTCAGAAGTTTATTATCAATACAAACATTGATCAAATAGCTGTGACCCACTCTCTTCTGTTTCGCGACAAAAATGTAATTTTCGACCCATTCATTGAAAAAGGTTTGCCATCCCTGGTATAGTCAATGACATTAAACAACATGATGCGCAACTCCGGCATTTTTTGTCCGAAGATCGTATGTGCCTGCTTTGACAGTTAATGTCGATTTTAAATGATATTTTGGAAAGTTTAGGTAAAAAGAAATCGGAAAGAGGTAAGGTAAATACTATTGTTGTATATCACACCCGGGCATCGCACTGTTAAGTAGCCTACATGTGGGAAAGCCAGCCTTTGTCAAATACCACGAAGGTATTAATTCAGTACGGTACGTAGTTGTTGCCGAAATTGCATATTTACTTACCCCTTATGGTTTCAAATAGTTCATTTTTTTAATCAGTGAAGATATATACTCATTGCTGATTACTGCTCATTGTAACATAGCCTACTATTGCGCATTCACTTTTATTTGCGTATTGAATCAAAGTGTTAACAAGTTCACCTAACATTTCACTCATACCGGTCTATAGCCTATTGTATAGTCTGATCTCTCAAGTATTTGGAGCCACGAATGCTTGTAATTTTCTGACTAAACCGTTTTATAAGTCGGTTCATATACCAAATTCAGTAAAACATTTTTTACATAAAACATGAGATATTGGATTTATTAGCTTTTCCATTCTAAATCATACAGACAGCTTTATTTATTCTTAACGAAAATTAATAAATCTCCTTTCTTTCTTCAGATGTGAAAGTTGTGGACAAACCTGTCTAAGCATTGTGTTATATTTGGTTCACAACTTTTGGTAGTACTATAGAAGAAATTCCGGAAGGGGTATAATCATCATTCATGATAAAATAGTGTTATATATATTTTGGACAACTTCAATCTAGACCAGGGATGTCAAACTCGCGGCCCCAGAGAACTTTCAGTGCGGCCCTCGAACGCTTAACAATAATTGTAATAGCATTTTGGAAGTTTTTTTTTTATCTAAATGTAATAGATTTTTCAAACCTTCAAAAGTGAAATTGATTATTCACACAGAAAACAATTTACTGACCCCATTAAGAATACACATCAAGCTAGCAAAAGAATACTCGAATAAAACACTTGAGTGATTAAATTAAACGCAAAGTACATGAAGAAGGTGGCATTTTCGAAGAAAGTTGCAATATTTCTGCATTTCACAAAATTCTGTAAAATTATTAGGTAAAAAAATAAAGTAAATTAGGTAAAAATTTAAATTTTTAACTCTTTGTTATAATCGGAATTCACAATTAATAGGAATTATAAACAGCCAACAATCAATGAGAATTATATGCGAAATCCCTCAGAATAAATTTGTCTAAAAACGGAGTAAGGCAAAACATATAGGTAGTTTCCATCCACACAAGCATTTCAAGAAGACTTGCTTGAGTCAAACTAAATGAGCATGCTCAGGTGATCGGTAAGGCTGCAAGTTGAATTCAGCCCTGCAACCTCCTGCATAGAAGATAATAATTAGTGGGCTATGAGCTAAATTTAAACAAACCTATCTACGATGCATTATGTACCAGCAATGTTACCTACGATTAACTGAATATGTAATAAGTCTAATAAATTCACCTACAAAAGCAAGTTCGATAAGTGCAAACTTTGTGTTATGGAATTGTATCACAGCATCGTTAAGAGAAGTAAAAACAGTTTTGCTGTTTTGTATGACACCACCTTTAAATGAAATTTCAATGTTTAAGCGCAAACATTAAAATTACTAACTTTGAACTTTGTCATTATCTGCAAAATGTTCCACACAAATCTTTCCGCTATCGCGTTTGTAATCTTCTCTGATAAAAAAAAAACGTATAAGATGTCCAGAATTGCTCTTTACAGCTTGTCTGCCATTCCAGCTTTCCAAGTGAGCAAAACTTCTTAGATATAGAGATTATTTTCTTTCGTTACAGGCGCAAAAAGGCAGGTACTACACGTAAAAAAGACGCCGAGTAGCAAAAGCGAGCGGAAAACGGTCACGAAAGGCGAAGAAAAATATGTGCATTGGAGCCTATCATGGAATACAATCTTTCGCCTGTAGTCTTATGGAGTGACGTCAGAGTTGCCTATCATGTTGTTTAATGTCATTGGTATAGTATACCGAAAAACATCTTTGAAATAAAAATTCAGAAAATCGATCCATATGTAGTAGTAGAGACTACACACCTTATAGAACACATGTTATCATAGGCGTAGCCAGGGAGCTTCCCCCCCCCCCCCCCATACCATATTCCGGCATTTGCAGTGAGACATCGATTCTAACGGCCATTTGAAACACCTTTTTGCTTTATTCTTAAAAGATTTACCGAAAACCTGACGTTTACTGGCGTACTATTTATTATAGGTAAAGAATGTCCCTATTTCGCGTGTCTTTACCCCAGTACTATTTGACGCAATTTAGCGGAGCAAACCTTAACTCAACTTCTTCAGTCGTCAATAAGCACACAATAGATTGTAATGCCAAATATTCGTATATTGTAAAGTTGCACAAACGAATTGATCCAAATAACTATTAACTTTAATACACTCAAAGCCTCAATTATATTATATATATGTAATGAAACCAATTTTCTAACTTACAAAGGGCGACAAAACAAGCAACACCTGAGCGAGGGTGAAAGTACGTCATCAACTTTTTCGCAAAAAAGATTGCATGAAAATATCATGAAAGAAAATGAAATCGGGCAGCGACCTTTTTTCGGGTGAATTACATGCACTATTAACAATAAGCGGTAAAAAGTATCGAAATACACATTAACTATCTTCATGTACTCGCTACACTATTAATAATCCTTTCTCCAAATGAACCAACCGAGATAGATGAAAAAGCGCGCTTATATATATAGCTTGGATCACTTCGACAGCAAAGTAAGTCTGTAGAGAGTCTATTTCGAGATATCAGTGGCTGTCTTTATGGAGCCTTGTTCGGACCAAAAGGTACGAGTGAGATTCGTATTACCAAATTATAATAAAAAAAATTTTGCCCCCCCCCTCCACAATTTGGGTGGCTACGATCTTGCATGTAACCAAGAGTTAAATATTAATAAATATATCATTTCACGTAATTTCATATGAAGAAGGGGAAAAATCTGTCCCCTAATGGAACTATTGATTTTGAGTAGTAGATTTCAAGAATGTGATAAGGTATATTATTTATCAGCGTTTTTATTAGCACTCATGCTCCGTTAGCTGTGTAGATGTAGAAGATCTTGAATTTTTGCTTCCAGTGTCAGTCTTCCCGAATTGGCCACAACCAGTGCAAGGAGCAAATGAGTTCTCTATCAAGAAAAACAATATATATGTTAATTATCAAAAACAAAATATAACTAAATATATTCATTTGCAGTTAGGTACAGTGTTTTTTAATTCGATAACTTAATTACTGTTTTGTTTTAAACCTATATATATACCTAAAATATCAGACACCGTGTTAACAAATGGCCTGTGTTTGATCACTTCCCATCCACCTGGCCAATTTTCAAACTCTTTTTCCATCACCTTGTCGGGTTTCTGGTGTTCTGCGTGATTGTTCTGAATAATAAATTATTTGAATATACAATCATCAAGGATACCAAAGCCATTACACGATAAATACTACGTCAAATATATATATATATATATATATTAGAAAAATGATGTATAAAGTATATGGATGTATATATATATCGGGTAATGGTAATAATTGATGAAACCGACTGATAGCCACACTTATACTTACACGAAACTCGTATTTGTTAGCTCTGCCAATAAAACCTCCAAATCCTCCATATTTAACATAAGATGTCTCGCATATACAAACAATGATTCCACCCGTCACTCCGAATATAAGAAATACGTACATTCCAATAAAGGCCTGGTAATGATAAACAACAAAAATTGTAATACTCTAATCAATTTTGGCGACAGTATATCAATCAGTTGAGATTTTTCAACCACAATAATATTCTGGCTTTATTCTTGAAGGTTTTTCATCGGGAGAGAAGAGTAATTTTGCAGTCTTTGTTGACTATATTCTATATCAAACCATATTCATATATATACCGCGTCTTTCAAAAAATGGAAGTCCACTAACTTTCAGATCGAGTTGACCTTTTGCAGTAGCTGGAATGGCATCGGTCTCACATCTCGCTTCTAGATCACCAAACCTGATTTCACATTTTGAAAAGACAAGATATTATCAGCAGAGCAACTGAGCAGCGGAAATCAGAAAACTGCTACATCATAGAATAACTAAAACTCATTCATCAATGGTATATCAAAAAAGCTTGAATTATAATTTTCGCTAAATATCCAAAGAATCGTTACCATATATTTAGATATAATTTTTGACAAAGTTCTAAAACATTTATAGTTCAAATTATATTTTATAGAAAATAGTTATGAACGTTACAAAACTGGCTGGCTTATATTGAAGGACTTCTGTAACAAAACCATACCATTCGCGTTCCAGTTGTGAGATAATACCTTTGTCGTATAATCTCGCCAAGTGGTCGTTGATCATTGGAAGAAACTGCCAGCCTTGTGGGACTGGGAATCCGAATTGGTATTTGTAAAACCCATCGCCCACCTAATGCATTGGGAAAGTTACCAATGTAAAAAGAGTAAAATGGCAGGCATTTGACGAAAGTCAAAGTTTTGAGAGAGTCAATATACAAATCTAAAAAATCCGAGTTATTACTAAAAAGTTCAAGGTTTTGTTTATAATGATGACATTATATCATATTTTCTTTCATGTTCTGGTTAGTATTACTTATTTTTGTTATCCTAGAATAAATGATAATGATATGATCCATTTGAAAAATTAATTCAAATACCATGTCGTAAATGCAGCTCTCTTTTATAGCGGTAACGACTTCTTTGAATGAAGCAATCATGATAAATTTTCCAGAAGTTATTTTATCTAATGCGTCTTCAATTGATTTAGATATGCTTGTGTTGTATCTTTTTTTCAAATGTTCCCACATTGAACTTCAGAATAAAATAATGTTAGGAAGTATTATAAATGGGTATAGATTCAAAGCAAAATTGGTTTATGAGGAACAACATCATAACTATATTTGCAACTGTTTGAGTAGATTTTAATTATTATTCAGGATTCGGTGTGAAAGCATGTCATTTAAATTTGATACCGTAATTTGCAAAGGCCTCTCAATCATTTTTTTTATCTCGTACAAATGTAAACAAAGCATAGAGCATTTCAATCGACTTTCTAAATTTGTTTAAAAAGTCTGCAGTGGACTTGGGCCCAACTGAGAGTCAATTGTAGGCAAATTATATTTGTGACAGACATTCCCAAAAACTTTGCGCAAGAATAACCCGTAGGTTTCTATGTATTACCAGTGTACTGATAATGCAGTACATTATACCTATATGGTGCATCTCTTGCTTGAGGCAAGAACTTGGAAAGCATCGGATTCGACTCCATCATACCATAATCATACTCTTGTTGGCCAACCAACTCTTCTAAAGTCGTGATACCTGCATTGTCTGTTTGTGTCATGAACGCTATAATAAATGAATAATAAAAATTCAATGTTCACAAAGCGATATATATTCAATTTCAAATATCAGTATAAAATTGAATTATTGAAAAATAAGTGCTGAAATACCAACACATTCATTGAGTCGATATGCACATAACAACACTCACATATCATGCTTGCGGTATATGCAGACACAACTAACATCACAAAGCACCACCATATTCCACTCAAGACCTTCAATGATGCTGAACTGAAATGCACATAACGATTAAAACCATTTAATGACGATCAATTTATATATTCTGACAAAAAGGTAATAAATGGGACATATATATATAACATTAAATATATTTTAGTTCCCAGTCACTTCGAAGAAATGTTGAAACATGTTTCTAAAAAATTTTTTTTTTATTTTCCATGCTATCGTGAATTTCGATTTGGCATTCAACGGACATACCAAAAGAGATTGAGGCTGAATTACAATGTGACACAGCAACGACTATTATTATCATCTAGTAAGTTCAAATGGAAAATAGCCATAACTAATTTATTTTTGAATATCCCAGCTGTATGTAAATATATTCATATTAATACATACTATGGTAAGAGTTGAGACGATTGCTGTACGAGAGCTGCAAAATTGAACCAGAGACTATTCATAATTCCCATGTGTTCAGAGTGCTTCGCCCCTTCTCGCAAATCTCTGGCTGCTCTTCGAAATTCGTTTGGATTCTTATTATTGATGTAAGTCATAAGAAGAGATACCTTTAATAACCGAAATTTTTCAATGTGAAGATTTTAAAATTGATTTGTAATACAACTGTAGAAATTTAGTTCGAGTAATCAACATATCAGTAGCCACGCGTTTACTCACCACGAGAAGAGAAGTATAGAGAACCACCCAACTCTCTTCTCTAAACGGAGCTAAAAACTGCCAAATACTGACATTCTGATCTCTTTCTACTCTCTCGGTTAACAAATACATTTTGGGCTGTTGAAATGCTGTAGTTATTCCGAAAGTATTCTCCAACATTATTCTGTTTCCTTCAATTGTTTTAGCCCAAAGGAATATATCGCACTAATATACATGAAAAATGAAAATGATTTGAGAACGACACATTTAAAAAGGAGTGAACGAATCTCAGATGGGATACGACGAAGTAAAAACAAGTAAGAGAGAAGACCGTAAACTTCAATCTATACATACCGTATTGTTGTCAAAGAGCTCATTAATTCTAGATTCGATATACTGTAGCGAGTGATTGTATCCTTCTCCAAATTCAATTGCAGATTGTTCATAAATAGTAAAGTTGAACCCTACTGACAACGAAAGCTCCACGATTAATTCATACAAAAAACCCGTATAAGAACCGGGAACTGGCATATTTGTCACTGGATCAGTTTTCCACGACAACCAAGGTGGGCTCTGAAAGAAATTATCCAAGGTTATTACGAACTGTAGATAATCTGCAGTACTGGTGAGAACCAAAAAGAATTAAATAGGACACGCTATGATGTTCCCCAGTGATAACTTGCTTGGTATTTGAAATTTCAGGAATGCGAGCCAGACTGACAGTATAGAGCTGAGTCATCCCAGTGGTAAGAGTTCCAGTATACTATATCCACTTGAGTAAAAATCTACCAGAACAGTCGATGAGAACTGTAAACTTACGTGCTACGAAATCGATTTACTTACCCAGAGAACGCCCAAAACGAAATCTCTTTCAGGAAGAACAATATGCGATATTTTAAATGTAGGATAAGTTACAGTTATTTCTCCACGACTCCCGATATATCCACCAACAGAGAGCAATTCATGTTTTCCGTTTCCCTAGAAGTATATGATAATTACCACGACATATTACAATAGTCATTGGACATGAAGTGACTCTATGAATCAAATATAAAATTTTCGCATTTTTCGGCAACTAATGGACTACTCGGTTTCAAATCTTTAGTACCTAAACATGGTTGAGGTTGTTATAAGTTCTATCACTTTTATTTTTTGTTTTCAGATTTCCGCTAATTTACATTTTCACTATTTTATTTTGTGGGAACACTATTTTTAGAAATATGGGAACACTTTGTTCCGTCACAATTCACCGCCTCCGACCTAATCTGAGACCCTGCTGTTGGTACAGAAGGCAATAAAAATGTGTATCCAATAATGCACATTTGAATGGTAATATACTCCCAAAGTAAAAAATTCTTACATTTTCGTCCATCACGTGAACATGTTCCACAACAAAAACAGTATTTGAATCCATTGGATTTAGATGGGTGAAAAACGTTTCGCTGCAAGTTCCTGGGTTGTAATTCTGTTGGAAAAATGTAATATTAAAATTTGAGTCTATAAGACCCAGTATTACTGCTTTCAATAAAAAAACAATTAAAGAACAAAATTGTTTTTTTTTGAAAGATAGTTCCATTAATTGATGGATTGGAACATTAGTGCATTACGTGCAAAATATTTCGAATGAAAAATGTATGAGAAAAAATACCCATTTGAAGACAGATTCGTATTTGCATGGATTAAAGTTAGCAGCTATAGAAAACAGTTCATCTCCATGCCCAGCGTGTGAGCTCATTTCTTCCGCCGGAGATCCGTCATGATCGTCATCATCACCGTGCGCTGGTGGACCACCACTGTCATGCATTCCATTATTGGAATCCATTGTGTTTGTGCTGGTATTAGCGGAGTTACTCATGCCCATTTCACCGTGAGCCCCTGATCTGATAACAAAGTTATAGCATGCCGTAGGTTCCATTACATTTGAACCCACGTACATTTGAACCCATGACAATTGCACCTGTATGCTATTGCACCTATGGATTTTTTTTGGGTTCACGGATAGTTAAACCCATACTAATCCTAACCCATGGGTTTTAGCACCCGCATATAGATTGAACCCGTGGATATACGCATGGGTTCAAATGTACGGTCACCCATGCCGTAGTATATCTCAAGACTAAAAATATTTTTCTCAATAACGATAGAGGATCAAGTAAATTTCACATCATGTTGCAAAATTGAGAATATAAGATTACAAGATAGCTTACTGTCTCCTCCGACGCGCGTGATCATGTCCAGAAGAAGAAGATTCAGAACCACCACCCCCAGATTGTTGGATGTCGGTTGAATTGATTTCATAAATAATACAACTTGCGTCAAATTCTACTCGCTGCAAAGCAATCATAGAAACACGTGAGTAATACTTCTTGCCAGTTGTTTGTGTGACAGAGGTTCTTAAGTTTCCATTATCCCTTCCCCATTCCTAACCAAAGTTTAGTTAAATGGATGTATATCAACATATTTTGATGAAGACATGTGTTACCTTTGAATAGTGGGATTCTGATTTAGTGGTCGGACTTGATGAAACATTAGACTCAGTTGCAGCAGTTGTTGATGGAAATGAATCATCTTCTGACGCAGAATAGGTACCATTTACTGTCATATCTGGTCCGCAGAACAAATACTAAATGAGAGATTGAGGTCGCGATAGTTTGCGAAAAAAAACATATAACAAACTTAAAATTGACGATTTCAACAAAATAGGCATATTGTGCTAATTATCCATCCTTTATGTCAGTGAATTAGATTCCGAAAATTGGGTCGAAAAACGTTTAAGCAAATTTTCTGAAATACTAGACTTTATAGAATGCTTTGTTCAAATGTATCTTTCTATTGAACTTTGCTTTCACTGAAAATTCAAGAATTATTTTATCTTACAATATCAAATGGCATTTTTGGACATATTTGGTAATAGAAGTAATCAATACTAATTTTTGTAGCATTATGAGTTCGTGTAAAAATAATGATAACATATGTTATGGAATGATTTTGAATTAGCTTTTGCCCGTTTAGTCTAGGCTACGTTTGTATAAAGCATAAATTGGGCCAATATTATCATCACTTTATTTAGTTTATGACTTTTCACCCCTAAATATGTAACAAGCAATCTTACTGAGCTGTGTCCGCTGTTCATGTTTGACAGGCAAACTCCATCTTCTTCTTTGTACATATGATGGACTTTTTTAGACTCTGTACAAGCTTCTATGATTGAACGCATAGCAATGTTCATCAAACCCAAAACAACATTCTGTAGAAATAGAAATTTGATTCGCGGGTGGTAATCGACCAATATTGATGCATTTCACAACATTGCATTTACCGTGAACAATTCATGTCCATTTTCTGATAAGCTTGCATTCTTTTTGAGTATTTCCAATGTGAGTGGTGTAACCAGAGGACTGTGCAGAAATGTTATGCTCACTCCATCTTTCAAGAATTCGTGAAGAACGTGTGGATTCAAAAGCTATTGATTTAGATTTAGTAGTATTAGCATGCCTAACGGGCCGATACGTAGAAAAACATTATTCCTATTCACTGTAAATTGTATTTATAGTCACTGTATTAGAGGTTTGAAAGATGACACGGACCAGTACTTCTATAACAGTCTAAGCTAAGGCCTTCTAACTCCGTTCTAAGTTTATATTTCAGTTTGGCGACGAATCGAAAACAACAACAGAAAAAGCGTATAGTCAAATCCATGGTGTATTCTGATTTGCAGGTCATTTAGCCATTTCTACAACTTGGTGTCTTAGAATCACGACCAAGGTTCCCTCTAAGCTGCAAACCGCGCAATTGCGCAGTACCACCAGAACATTTGCGCAGTAAAATCTCATGCTCGCGCAGCAACATTTCGTTTTTAAATCGTGGCTCATATTTCATATGTCATTTATATTAACGCTCAACTAGAATGCTCGTTTTATGTTTCACGCGTATTCTGGTTAACACTAGTCATTGTGATGTCACACACGTGTCTGTCACGAATACCTTGATTTCTGTATGCCAGCGTGGGTCGGTTTTTAAAATTTTCATCGCGCGCTCTGAACTTCGTGTTGTCGACCCGGCAAAATCTTGTTATTGTCCGTAGTGTAATCAAACAGATGAAGATATGGGATGGTTTAGAATTTGAATAGGTATCAAATGTTGCAAAGCTGGTGCCCATTGTTTGTTACAGGAAATTTGTTGGTTGCTCGTAGCCGTATGGTTAAGCTAAACTAGTTGGAATTTGAAGAAGGGCTGAGTTTAAGCGAGTGCTAGCACTGTCGGCTCTTAAATCTCTAGATTGGTACACACGTGGCCATGAGCTTAAACTGAATGATACCCATGTTATATAGCGATGTTGTAAGCATGTTTCACCAGAAATTACTAAAAAAAAAGTTTTAAGCATTTTCATATTCAGCATATTAACCAAAACCAATAATATACTAGTTTTCTTTAACTGACGTGTGAGTGAAATGTCTATTCAAGGAAGTAAAGCTAAAAATAAGAAAATTAATTTTAAAGTGGAATGGCTAAATACAACAGTGAAGTGTTCGACACTAATTTGCAATCTTGATACCGGTATGCATTAGCTAAAACAACTGCTAAAGTTTGCAAAATTTATTGCTTTTCCACGTTGAGGAATGTGATAATCCACAAAGTTTGTCGGGAAGTGGCACCTGATAGTGATTTGGAAAAGGAAAATCCTGGGAGGGACTAAGAAGTTGACTATTAAAAACGCCATTTAAATCATAAAAAGCACATTGACGCACTAGATGCATTAACTCAGAAGCGAAACGTGGAAGCAAGAAGAGTTGTTCGAACTTTTTCACCGCAATACCGACCGCTGAAGAAAGTGAAGTTTTGAAAACCCCGTCAAGTGAAATGAAGCCTCACACAGGTAGTGTTCCGCCACGTGTTAAGCTGTTGTCCCGCAAATTAATAAATAGTCGCATGTCAACATACACTAAATTGCCACATTCATGGTGAAGCAAAAATTACGGCTTCGAATTTTTGATAAGCATAGACTTCGTCGCCAGGGAAGAAATCATGCGGAGCATAAGACAAGCAAAATTTCATACTCTGATTTTGATGAAAGCAATGATGTTTCAACAACAAAAATGTCGAGATTGTACATCAAGTATTGTACTTTGAATGATTGTCGCTTGATTCAGCAATAAACACAACAAACATGGACAAAATGTATAAACCTTGGAAAGGCACGAAACCAAAGAGAAGCTATTTGAGTTAAACGTGTGCTTTGTTCGCATACCGACAATACATAATGAGCTACTATTACTACATTTCACAAAGTTTGCAAATAATTTAGGATTCTGCTCAGCCTTAAAATAGTCTTGCTCAGTAAAAACAATATTTGCGCAGTGTGGAATTTTCTTAGAGGGAACACTGATGACGACTCGAACAAATTAGCCCGACTAGCCACTCTGATACTCAGTTAACCTCCCAAATGTATGGATGTAATGTATGAATTCAAATAGTATATATCTTACCACGTTCGGAATAAACCAATGATTGTTACTTGTTGATAATCGAAGTTGACGAGCTATTGTCATAATTTGCAATAATCTTGTATACGAGCAAACAAGAACGTATGTCCTGTGGAAAAAATAAAGTGACATTTACGTCAAGGTTTTTTCAATTACGTCCCGATAACTTCGAAACACACCTTGGCTCTTGAGTTAAGTAAATGAATTATTTCAAATTTTCACGGATACTTCACGTCAATAATTTCAGCGGTATCAAGTTCTCAAATAACTGAATTGTTTAATACGGAACCTGTATCCTTTTCTTCTCGCAGCTATTAATTTTTGACGTATACTATCATCATTCCCAACTGCCTCATATGCACCAATATCAATTCCTTTATCGCGAACGTCCTGCATATCTTGGAATGTATACTTTATTTCTGTAAATTGATTTTTGAAAAGTGTTTTTATATAAATAAAGTCGAAATCATCGCAATTTTTAAAAAGGTTCTGTTGAGTTGAAGTGAACCTTCAAAACCTTTAACGCATTGAAAAAATCCGATATGTTTTCGCGTGGATTCACACAGGTGCTGATGTAAAGCCTTGGGACCTCACCGTCGTTATTCTGATAAAGTACAGCTGCTGATGTCCATTCATATTCAACCATGGCTTTCAACATTGTTGCTGTCAAGACGGAGTCACTTGGAAACATGTAGATCGCTCTGGCATGTAAAATCAAATTCATATTTTATTAACTGGAATAAAGCATTGTTACGTATTAACAATATCCATAAAAACGAAGTTCGAAAGTTCACTCAACTAATATCATATGAATTCATCGATTCAAATTTGGAATTATTTCTTTGTTTCAAAGCATTATCTGAAGCAGTCATGAAAAATTAATTTGGCAAATTTTTTTATATATATACGTGTTACCTGCTATAGGGCAAATTACTATCGCAAGAAGTTTCTGTACCAGACACAAAGAAAAATGGCAAAATCTGGAACAAAGATTCAATTGCCGCACACTTGACATGACGAGATGAAACAAACACCGCTGTCAGTTTTGAATTCTTGAGAATATCTAAACCGAGACAAACAATTGAATGAAATATTAAATGAGGTAGTCAAAGCATGAGAAAAATATTTCAGATAATTTGTAATTAGGCTGATTTAAACGATCAGTTTTACAAATAATGCGACACATGCGGACCACTGGATTAAATAGGATACTGCTTTAAATAAGGAGATAGATGTAAGGGAGAGGTGTGCTCAAACCCATGATCCGCAGACTAAACCGCTACCCAAATAGCAAATGATCTCAAAACACATGTTACTTGTATATCTGCTTCATCAGGTTGAATTTTCTTAAATGGTGTAAACTAAAATTGAGTATGCCTAACAATCATTACGATAAGCGCAGGGTTTTCCAAACTATGTGCCGCCAAGGTCTTGGAAGTGTGCCGCAAATTTTCACAAAATTCTCGAGATTTTATCACAATAATTAACACCGCAACATGAACTTTGTTATATTGCAATCAGTAATGGGGCAGACAATTTAAAAAGAGTTTTAAAGTGATATTACTTCCATAATTCTTCACATTTCATTTTTCACATGAAATATTTAGAGTTCTTAATTTTACCACAAACTTCGCCATGCGAATTTTCTATCAGTATATATCAGTACAATATATGCGATACAATATATATATATAGTATATACAACAAAAAAAATTTTTTTCATTTCTATTTTCATGATTCTGCATATATTAATTCTCTGTTTTAATCTTGTTGTTAGTACGCCGCGAGCTGAAAAAGTTTGGAAACCCCTGCTGGATAAAGCGATGTTCGAATATACATTAATTCAAATTATCGGATGGGACCTGCTAGATTTTCCGTGAAGTCGATGTCAAATTTTGTTGACTGTACTGACAAAATATCAGAAATTTGATATTTATCGGTATAACTCTTCAGTGCGTTTTCAATCTCATCTGCCAGATATTTTTCAGAATTATCATGAAGAATACCTGCATGAGTACAATAGGAATTGGATTACTGAAAACGTATTTTAATTTTCACGAAGAAAATCAGGTGTTTTGTTGTATTGTTACAGTACGCTATTTATTTCAACAAAATAAAAACAAGATTTTAAAAACAAAATTGACTTGTATGGCGTATTTACCCTAACAGAGCATTGGACGAGTAGTCACTTAAACGGAAGATAGCTGCTGAGTTTGAGTATGCTGGAGAATCATGATTCTTCCTTACCTATTTAATAACTTATATATACGTTGAACAAGATGACATAATATTGTTTATAGCCAGACGCATACTGAATAGCCAACGTAATAGACAATCATTATGTGAGATTCCATCCATGTTCGAATTATTGGAATCAGAAATTTGTCCACCTTTACGATATAAATATTAGCATCTGTTATATTATACTGGATATATATTATACTGAATAAACAATCAACATGTGAGATTTCATCCAAGTTTTTAAAAAAATATTGGTATCAGAAAATTGGAAACTTTTCCAATCTAAATGTTATCATCACTCAATCATACCGATATTGGGTTCGTATCAGTTTCGGTCACAATTATATTGAAAAATCTCCAATTTTTTGCCCTATTCATCGAAATTTCCACATTCAAATCACCTAACAGCAAGGGTTGAATGAGCGTAAACGCGTAACATACATACCTATTCTTATCAAAATCTTCGGTTTTCCATGACCTCCCATCATCATCGCACTTGCGAAAGATGCGTATACCATCAAAACGAAGAAAATTCGGATTTTATTCAACATATCTGCAACATAACTTCAAAATCTCTTACCCAAGATAAAGTTGCTTGAAACTGGAAAACACATTTGTGAAAAGGCTACTAAATATGAATATTTAACACGACAAACAATAAGGTCGTCGGAAAATAATTAGTTTTTGTCATTCATGTCAAACTGTTACCAGGAGAATATGTAAGTCGTACGTGAGTAACATTGGCAACTATATCAGTTAGCAACGCAAAGTATCGTTTTGTTTTCATTCCAGCGTGACAATACAAAATAGTTTCTTATACTGTTATGAAAAAGCATGAGATTACTTCGTATTACTACATTGGTTTATTAATGATTTTCAATCAATTTTTTTTTTAAATAAGTTCATAAAGTCAAAGAAATTGTATATATAAATATATATATATGAATGACGTAAAGATAGGATAGGGGTAGGATAGGATTTACATATTTATCCCGGGGGAGAGGAAAGCCGATAATACGGCTTATCCATATGGCGAACCACGGCCTCTCGTCCGGTTACCATTCCAAGTCGGGTATGGGATTAGTTTTACTGTATTGTTTGTTTTCGGAAGCATGGACTTGGTGGTGGAGGAAGCCGTAACCGACCAGCGGTTACGTGAACCACCCAACGACGGCGAGGAGTCCAGCAATCCTCTCGCACATAACCATCCCTGCATGGGATTCGAACCTGCGAACCCACGCAGAGTAATTAGAGGTGCGGTGGCGGTTTTTCGTATACGTTGTTACCTATCTCAAAGCAGGTAACGAAAATATGGTGTCAAATATTCCATGTTTCCTGGCCTTTATATGTAATTCACAATATATACTACAAAACACTTCATTTGAATCACTATATATACACCTCACAAAGTTGGTAAAGATACAAGAAATGAAGTTACCATTTTATATGCGTGCTAGTCAAAAACAGAACCCAATAACGTCTCAATCACTTCTACAATAATGCAGATAATTTATTTAACACCTGAAATTCTGTTTGTGCATGATTGTACCCAAACGTTTCAGTAATCCAAAACGTTTCGCTTAGAAGTTATATTCTCTCTTATATATGTTCCACATGACCTGGATTCTGTTTTGACGGCCACACTGTATCTTTGTAGGAACGACTTGGATGCAAGAGATAGCATGGCTAATATGCATTGACGGAAATATAGACGAAGCAAAGGAGCAATTAGTCACAATGCGGAGCCCAATGCTGGAGTCAGCTGACTGTCCTGTTGGCAATGGATTTCAGTCTCTGGAAACTTGGCCAATTGATAGGCGAAGATATCCTCGAACTTATCGAAAATGTTTCAAAATCCGGTTTATTTTTTGAATAGCCATAAAGCCCCATAAACAAATGTAAATGGATAAATATATTATTCATTCTCTTTCATCGATCTAAGTTTAATATTTACTTTTTAGAAATTTGGCTTGTACTGTACTATCATCTCAGCCGTCATATAAAACAAAATCTTTACCGTATATTGACCGAAAATTTATAGCCTGGCCTGCAAACAAATATTTCTCGTCGAGTATTTGCTTGAAATATTTTCATAAAATGGTACCATTAACACCAAACCCAGGAACACGGGAAGAATTTATGACGAATTTTTGCACTGGAAATGTAATACTTGGAAGTTGGTTTAACCACACTTTGAATTCTTGGGAGGTGAGTAATAACAATGTATTCGAAATAATTATCTGCTAACAAGCATATTCTGAATTCAAAACGATACCGGTTCTTACCGGCAGAAATACCAAAAAGATAAGGTACGAATATACTTTGTCACCTACGAAGATTTAAAGAAAGATCTAAAGAAAGAAGTTGAATCATTATCAAAATTTATTGAAAAAAAATGGTCAGTGAAACAGATGGATGACATTTCAAAACATTGCACGTTCGACAGTATGAGTAAAAACGAAAGTACAAACATTTCTATTTATGAGAAAAAGGGCATTGCCATGAAAATGTCAAAGTTTATGAGAAAGGGACGAGTCGGTGACTGGAAAAATCATTTCACCATATGATGATATGAAACACGGTATGATGATGTATGTATCCACTCCTTATCAGGAAATTTTTGGTATACACTATTTTTAATATTTGTATTTCGAATTAGGAGTCTGAGAAAGTACAACAGATATATATAGTACTTTGTGTAAAATTGGTGTTCTCTTTGCGGGCCCCTAAAATTTGTCATCACTCAAAAGTTCGTAGCGAAAATGAATCACATAGAGTCCACATAAATTTTTAAAAAGATAGCCTTCAAGCGACAAATATAATCTTCAACCTCTGAAAGTTTTAAAGCAATTGATCCTGCAACTGAAGGAGAAAGCGGTTTATCATAACAACAACAAAAAGAAAAATACCAAGTCCATTTCGTGTCCAACAAGTGATCCATAAGTGAAACGGCGTTTGACTCCAACTCGCCAAAGATGCAATTTGAAATTTAGTAATTGTGTGTGGTGGCTGATTCAGTGGAAGAATGAAGTATTATATGAGAAAACTTTGTCAATCATAATGTATTTAAATATTGCGGAATAAAATAAGTTGACAACAACGAGATCACGAGGGCTATGCATTAGGTTAAATTTGAGGGAAATTATACGAAAACTAAGTGGAAATCTAAAACTAACACTCTCCATTAATTGTAATTGCCCATTGTAAGCTAGCTATTGTACTCACTACTGCCCTATTGTAGTTTTTAAAATAAAGACGAGGAATTTGACCAGACGATATTGTCTTGAAGGCGATTAGCCGACCACCCTTGCAGAGCAGTCAACCACATCGAAGAATTCATTGACATATTATCGTAAGCCCGGCTATTGTAAACGATTCGTAGTTGCGACGACTAATTCTTTCAGGTATTTCATATGCAGCTTCAGTATTTTGGAATAAAAGTGCTATGATGATGTTTTTAATGGTTACAGGAACCACAATGGCATTGTTTGGCGTCATTGCTTACATTAAGTTGAAGTCAATGAGGCCAGTCGACAGAATGCGACTACGTGAGTTTCATATCTTATTCACCACACTAATTTCAAGTACTGATTTCAGCAAATACTGTTTCTGGGAATTTGGAAGATTGTGTGAGTGCACACAGAATATGGATATGGAAGGCTATTCATTACTGAACGTAATAAATATCAATAAGGCTACTGAATTGTACCAATAATCGGTCGTCAAATTCGGTTTGATTTAGAATATCCTTGATGCAATTACCGTGTATTCTTTTCTCTATGTCAGTGGTTTTCAACCTTTTGGTGGAGGGAAACCCAATGAAATACGCCGGAGGCAAGAGGAACCGCTGTGTAGTAGTGCAATTATCTGAATTGTTTGACCTATAAATATATATAAAAGCAACCTGATAGTGACAAAACTGGCGGAACCTCGGTTGAAAACCACTGCTCTATAGGTTAGCTATCACTATTTAAATAAATGTTTTTGTTCTATTAAAGTGCTGTCAATTGTCGTGAAACTGAAATTTTTTCAACTGATTAAAATGTTGGGACTGGATTCACGGATGAGGCCGAACCTAATACACTCTAAAGCTTCAAATGGCTTCAAATATTTATTGCCTCCAACGTTTGCTCCAGCAATTGAAGAAATTTTAACATTCAAAGTGAGAGAGGATGACGTATACGTCGTTACATACCCCAAAGCAGGTGAGAAAACATAACCTCAAATTTCTATCAAAGCAAATTGCTTAATATAAAGAAACTTACAATTACCTCATTGTTTACATGTCTACATTATGTCTGTGTCGTGTTCGTATTTTCTAGGGACGACTTGGATGCAGGAGATAACGTGGCTGATATGTAACGATTGCGATATAGATGGGGCAAAAAAGCAATCAATAACAATGAGATTCCCGATGATAGAAGCTGTTGATTCTCCCATGATCAAGGGAATTCATACACTGGAAGCTTGGCCAGAAAATAAGCAGAGGTATTCTAAACTCTAAAAAAGTCTCCCGTATGCAGATTTTATGTATTGTCACTAAAAATATACACAAATATGGGCGCTCCAGAAGTGTATGTACCAATATGAAGGTTCAACCGGCAAGCTGAAGGAAAATCGAAATAAAATTATGGCCTAACCTGGTACATATACTACTGGAGTACCAAAATATGGATGAAGAACGATCACTAAAACCGTAAATATATACTACAACATCTATAAAAAAAAATTTATAGCAAGTATGCTCATAAGGTTGTGTCATAGGTTTTTTACTGTTCTTTATATGTATGATGAATATAGTGCTCTCTTGAGACCGGGGTCCAAACCACTGAAGATCTATTACCAAAGTTGCGTATTCCAAAATTTGTGGTTTTCAAATAACGTATATATATTTCGAATCATCTAAATTCTAAATGCACATATATATTATTTATAAAAATAATCATGATATAATTAGAATATTAATTCCGTACGTGTACTGTCGACTAGACTACAAGGTGAATATTTTAATTTCTTTTGCTAGCTTAATGCGCTGGGTGCTGGTGTGAACACCTACCGATTATTATAGTAATAATAGATTATTATTACAGAAATAGTTCTCAATGTTATCATTTTAAGACATCTTGGGTCATTTACATCGGGTAGTTAGATCTACACATGATCCGTACCGGTCTCAACTTACCGACACAAGAGTGCAATGCTTAAATATAGAGACATGAAGGTCAAATGACTAAACGAAGTGGCGTACGCGATCTATACAGAAACCTGTTATGTGATAATTCGAATCGAGATTACATAACTAGTCCAACTGTTGCTTTTACAGGTACCGGTAACTTAGGTCTCATCCAAGCTGAGCGCCTGGTTAGTCGAATAGGCCCAAAACTAGACTCATGGCATGCCACGTAGTGGCGCCCTATGCGCAAAAATATCAATATTTGGCGTTTAAACATTCAACAACTTGTCATGTAAAAGAACCGGTAGAAAAGTTCAGCCTAGTCTATCACAGCTATATCTAGACTAATTTTGATTAGTGCAATTAAACTGAAACTCCCAGGTAATACTAAAAACTAACAAATAGCATGCTAAATGAGGCAACCATGCACGAAAATCTGTCTGAGTGGCAAAAGTGTCTGAACGGCTGTTAAAATGTCTATTGTTATAGGTCACTTTTCGCATCTTGCCGATTTGCCAATGTTATGAAAATGAACAGGGAGTCGATGTTCAGGGAAACATCCATATCCATCTCCGTGGGACGCAGACCCCTTTGTGACCTTATTATGTACTAATAATTCGACTCGAGCGATTTTTCTCTCAGCGGCAACAATTTTATGAAATGAATCAAATGAACAACATTTCGTGCCTAATTACTTGAGCAATCGCATCCTGCAAAAATCTTCCATTGCCACATGGTGTATTATATTTTCGTGAATTTTGTTTACAGACTGATAAAGACTCATTTGCCGTATGAACTGCTGCCAGCAGATATAGGAAACGGCAAAAAATGTAAAATATTGTACGCAGCAAGAAATCCAAAAGATTTATGCGTTTCGTTTTATCATTTTCACCGTATGCTCCCAACAGCACCAAACCCAGGAACATGGGAACAATTTCTTACCAAATTTTGCACTGGAAATGTAGCATATGGGAGTTGGTTTGATCACACTTTGAAATTTTGGGAGGTGATGTATAGCAAGCTATATTGAAATAAATTATTTGTTTCTGTCTGTAAAATAACGATTCAAAACGCAGAATATTCATACGATGCTGCTATAACTGTTTGGGTTCATAATTTCAGAAATATCAAGAGGACAAGGACAGAATATATTTTGTCACTTACGAAGATTTGAAGAAAGATCTTCGAAAAGAAGTTGAATCAATATCAAAATTTCTTGAAAAAAAATTGTCAGAACGACAATTGGACGTTATTTCCGAACATTGTACATTTGACAGCATGAGTAAAAACAGAAGCACAAACATGTCAGGAAAAAATAATATTACCACCAAAAAGTCAAAGTTCATGAGAAAGGGACAAGTTGGTGATTGGAAAAATCATTTCACGATAAATCAAAGTTCAGCTTTTGATGAGATGTATGAAGAAAAAATGAAAGGAACAGGACTGAATATTCCATTCGAAATATGATTAAATATATACTGACTATTGTTTTCATATTATAATAACGACTGTTTTAACATAAATTCCATGAATTGCGTAATTCAAGCTATAGATGTAGAGCATTGAAAGCTCAACTTGCCAAATACTATCTAAGTAAAAGATTCACGAAATTCATATCTCAAAGACATGTCACGACGTCTATTCTTTGTCATAATTCATTGTCTCGAGTGAAATAAACACGTATTCCATTTTACAAAACTGTCATATCGACAACATTTGGCTTTGATCGTCGTCTTTATGATGTTACAGATGAAATTCTGTTTTTTCTCCTTTATTTCGTAAAATACTAAATAAGATTTGAAATAACGAATACCACTTTAGTAGCTCATGCGGCTTTCACCCCTGTTGTGGTTTAGTCGCCCAACTTGGGATTTGAATGTTGGTACTCGTTTGGTATAAGCAAAATATGATCATCAGATAACCAATCAACCCAGTGACGGCATATTTTGTACTACATTGAAAATATCACATTGTGGAAGAGAATGTACCTGGAAAACGCGACGAGATAAATTCTTTGAAATCGGGCTTCAATATTGTTATATTACTCCAATAAAAGTGAGAGCACATTAATCAGGCTTATACAATGACCCGAACGGCGGGAAGCTTTAAACAAGGTGAAATTATATCTTTTTAAATGGGTAATAATCAAACACTACTGTTGAAGATCTAAAAATTTCACGGGATATAATAAATTTTCAAATCTCGCGTAATGACTTAATAAAAAATGTTCAAGATGTTACAGTCTTATCCCGAGTCAAGTTAACGACTATTAACAAAGGTTAGCAAATACCAGTTTAAGTTACTATGTATAATATATATACTGTATTCAAATATTTAAAACAGTGGCCTTTTATGACTCGCGGCCCCCTTCCTGAGGCCTTTAGAGGACCCCCTGTTCATCATTCCAGTGGTATTTTGATTGGTAGATTCCAAATCCCATTATGTTCAAACAATTCATGCATGAAAAAAGTGAAAGCACCTTCCTTAGCAAGCAATGAAACTACGAAGAACGGGGGGTTTTCTTGAAAAGTAAGATGTAAAATCAGTTTTACGCTTAGTATTGTGAACCCCTCACAACTTCTCTGTGGCCCTCGGTAGAAACTGCTGATTTAGAAGCTGGATTACGTATTTTTAACTTTTTGAAGCACATTTTTTCCTAATTAGATTTACACAAATAAACTCTACATCCATGTATTCGCAACTATATGGTTGGATGTATCACTACTTGCACCGGCGAAGACATGCATTGCAATACATGTGATCTTTTCGGATCATGCCCGAATGGAGCTCGGAGCCACACTCTATGCAACGACACACCCGTTTCAATTACTTTTGCATCGAATATTTTTCAGAGCTAACAGTCGCACTCCATGTTGAGAAAGACAGTAAATGGGAACACACAATTATATAATGACACTTGAGTTCTTTAAGTGATCTTTAAGTTGGAAGCCTAGAAACAGAAACCGCCAAATTCTATCAATTTCATTCTGAAAGAACTGTTATGCCTTAATTACAAACGTTTCTTGAATGTTTCGTTAAGTAAACCAGCCTTGTCACATAAATTGAGAATAGACTTCACAAAGGTTGGTTTACTACGGTTTTCACCCAAAGATTAATGAAGATTCCATAATTAATTCATTCTCGAGAGTCACTATCCCTGTTCTTGTGTTGTTATTGCCATTTATATCTATTGTCGTTTAGTGTTTGGAATTTGGGAAGCGACGTACGCCCACTACCCGATTTGTGACCATTAAGCATCTTCCTAAGTAAATAAATAAATCCCATGCTCTAGTTCTTTGAACCTGCGAGTTTTTCAGCTTTCTGTCGCCTGCTTTATACGATTTCATAAGTAGGTTAGTTGCTCTTAGTACTGCAGTGTACTATAATAGTGGTTAAGGAGTTCTTAGAATGTTTTCGCCTCTGAGGGCGATGTCATTGGCAAAGCCATAGGATATATTCATGACCAAAGTAGCAGGAAATAGTACAACCAGATCGAGCTAAAGTATGGATTCGGTTACGGGAGTCGTTAGTTGGTATCAAATTCGTGTTTTAGTCGATGACGACATTCATATTATCTGATATATTTTCAACTTAGTGATGCAATATTATGTCGTCGATCACATCAACATTCAAAAATTTGGCATCCTACCACAACCAGCGAGTAAAATTATGTGGTGAATGTAAGGTATAAATATCCCATCACGTGCTAAATGCTTCGACGTGTACAATATTTTCCAACTAAAAAGTAAACCATTAAAATAAATTAAAACGATGTATTAAAGTAAAACTATCCCATTTGAAAATGTATATAACAACAATTGTCTCAGATTGCCAAATCCGTAATTAACCAAAATAAATAAGAAATGCCAGATTAAGCCTATTCGAGTATGGGGTTTAGTAGAGACACGAAGTCACGACGTTATCAGTACATTTCAATATACCGGCACGTATCGAAAAGACTTTAAGTCAATCATAAGATATTGCACCATTATGGCGCGCTCAACCGCATCGACCACGTCATATATACAAACGATCGCAGCCTTTATTATCAGCACCTCAATTTTGTTTACTCATATCAATTGGACAATTTAATGATAAAAGTTTGCAAAATTACTGCAATCTCCCTGTAATATATTTCGGAATTCACACCGAAACATGAGGACAAACTAGTGTAATAACTATTTTATTACAGTAATCTCCCTCTAATATAAATAGGAATTCACACCGAAATATGAGAGACAAACTAGTCTAACTCATGATACCCAGGGTGAATATTGGCATAATGTAATTTGCAATAGTTTCATACACCAAGTGAAAATAGCAGTAGGCAGTTTAAAGTTAAGAAGTTTCGAAAATTACTATACACAACAAATAGATTTGCTATTTTTTACCATAACTTAGTGCGTCATGATTGCATCATTATCTTAATGTTTGAAGGACGGAAAGCCACATAGTTCCGAAAGGACATTTATAACGAATATGTTTCGGAAGATATTCATTTAATATAGGTCACGAGTGGCTTATGGAACTCAACATCGAACAACCTTACTTTGTAATACTCAAATAAGGGCTGTTTTCTAACAGTAAAACTATTCAATACACATAGGAATTTGGCATTGCATGCCGTGTGTTGGTAGGCAAAGGGGAGGTTAGTCTAACTCAGTAAAGATAAAGGTATTTTAGGCTGTTCAGAAATATCAGACCTACTGTTTAGCAAGAGAAACATAAAAGGCAACCCTGCATCATTGCGGTTCTACACATTGACGAATTTATTTTGGCAAAAGGCATTTCATTGTAGTTACAAATCTCGTATATATTCACAATTGCAGATTACCAGTAAAGTTATTGCAAGTCACATATTACTATATTGACTCATCTAACTCTATTTACAGTATTCAACATACTCAAGTCATGATGATTTTATGAAAAGCCTCGTCATTTAGTTATACATTAAAGGACAAACCCCTCTATCTGAAGCTCGAAGACCAAAATACACTCAGGCGTCGTTTAACTCGGTTCAGCCATTGTAAGCAACATTTAGCTGTCTTCAGTATATACAATATCGCGTTAGGTATAGCAGGTATCGTCTTCGGACCTTTTTGTAATCCGAACTGGACGTTTAGCTGTGTTGGATGTTTTAGTTGGAATAACTTGAGGTAATCTGGCCCGCAACATGGAAAAACGTATCTCTGTATCTCGTTGGCAAATTTTAATTGGACCAATTGGTGCAATTTCACATATTACATAGAGGTTTTGCTTTCCAGAATGACTTGATTATAGTTGAAACGTAACAATGAACACAGTATGGTCGCAAAATTATTGTTTGAGATAAGTTTGGCTTCCGCCTCTCGAACATAGTTCGGCTCAGCTCCTCATCCTTGTAGTGAGTTCGGTTTTAGGTGTAAAAAGTTGGACATGATTGTGCCATGATTAATAATGGCACCAACTGCCTGTTTATTAAGCCGTTTGTATAGCCGTATTTTATCAGTACATTACAGCATTAAGTGAGTAACGTTAACTATTTTGAAACTGAGTCTTTTTGCGCTTCAAATCTTTCTTATATCAGGTTGAATAATCTACTAATCAGGGGGGTTCAAATACGGGCCACAAGGGGAAATTGTGCGGCCCGCGGAGGCAACTGGAGAGCAGTTAAAAAAATATTACTATTAAAAGATTTAAAAGCTAAATTTTGGTTCCAGCTTATTAGTTGATTTTGTCTAAATCTAACCTAGAATAAGATTTGACAGCAAATTATTTGGAAACGAATCTTGGCGTATTTTACTGAAAATATTACAACCAAGTTAACTTTCCACATTTGAAAAAAGTCATGGCTCCAAATATGGCACTTTTCGGTAACATATTTTTTTCTAAAAAGGGCGTCATATCGATTTGCTAGCACTTCCATTGAAGCAAATTTGGATAAAAGTAGTCGGTGACAATATATTTGAATTACAGACCCCTAATGATGACATGAGATCAATAACAAAAAGACACCATTTTGTGCCTGCAACTAATAGAAAGCCTGCGTTAAATGTAGGTGCGGAACGCGGTTTCACCCGGGTATTGATATTTGGCCCGCCTGCGAAAAAGGTTGCACACCCCTATTATGGCATGAATACGAACGAAGCTTGAACTAATTCTTTTCAGGTAACACCGAATTATCTACTGTAAATCAATATTTAGAAGAAAAATGATGTTAGAGTTAGGAGTTTCCGTGACCGCATCTGCCTTGTTCGCTGCCATTGCCTACTTCAAATTGAAGTCAATGAGAAAAGTCGACAAATTAAAATTACGTAAGTATAACAGCTTATTTGTGGTGCTGATTTTATCAATTATTCCAGGTTCACTGTTAAAATTATTCTCAAGCTGTGTTTTCAGAATTACAAATTTTATTTTATTTCATGTTATAGAATTTATTATATCTTAATCAAATTATTATAACCATCGAAGGTATAAAACCATTCATACGACCGATTTACTTTGAATATTAATACGATGAGCTAAGATTTTAAAACTGGTGTCGACAGCCTTCGTGTAGAAATACTTTCTTATTTTTCTCTATTAAGTACTTGCGATACTGGGAAAGCTGAAAATTCCACAAATGCTTCGTCTAACGGGACTAGATGTGCGGATGAGGCCAAAATTAACTGAATGCACAGCTTCGAATGAATTCAAACTTCTTCTGCCTCCAATGTTTACTGCTACAGTTGAGGAAGTGTTGAAATTCAAAGTGAGAGAAGACGATGTATATGTCATTACATACCCCAAGGCAGGTGAGGAAATATGGCGACAAGTAGACTTTTTGGCGCTCCCGAAGTATGGGCACCAAGATGGCGCACAACCTGAACCCTAACCTGGTACACACACTATGTTCAGTTTGTGTGCCACCTTGGTGCACATACTTCTGGAGGTCTCAGTTCGACATTGAAAAATCCGAGAAACAATATACTGTACAATAATATGAAATTCAATGTATCCTTATTGTAATTTCAGGGACAACTTGGATGCAAGAGATAGCATGGCTGTTATGCAACAACGGAAATATCGATGAGGCAAAGAAACAGTCAGTCGCAATGAGAAGCCCGATGCTTGAAACAGTAGACTTTACTATTAGCAATGGGATTCAGTCTCTAGAAACATGGCCGAAAGATAAGCAAAGGTATTCGATTATTTATGATGCAAGAAGGGCAGTTTGCCCATTCAAACCAGATGCGGCAGGCTTCAGTATTAATTACCGCTTTTTCACTTGAATCAAAGCTTGTGAACATCGAAGTCCCATCCCTAAGTGTTCATTTTTTTTAATTTGTTTTGTTTAGCATTTGTTAATTTTTATTCATAGGGAGAATTTCATGAGATCTATTCTAAAACATCAATATTGTTGCATATTTTGCGCAAAAACCAAAGGTTGATCAGAATTACGCTTCGCTAACGTTGCAATAATGAATGACTGAAGAGAAAGAACGGCCCAAGCAACGAAAGTAAAACTCTAAGTTGTGGATAATAGCCAGAAACAATTATTTCGTAAATCACAATCATACCAACACATGCTTCAACATATAATCGCAAATTCACATTTAAAGTTTTTATTTATGAAAAAAAAATGATCATTCTTACAGAGTGATAAAGACTCATTTTCCGTACGAACTGTTACCAGAAGACATCAAACAAGGAAAGAAATGCAAAATTATTTACGTAGCAAGAAATCCAAAGGATTTATGCGTTTCGTACTATCATTTCCATCGGATGATTACAGGAATGCCTGACCCAGGAACATGGGAAGAATTTCTTGCGAAATTTTGCTCTGACAAACTAGGATACGGAAGTTATTTTGACCACACTTTAAAGTTTTGGGAGGTTGGTAATAAATAAATTATCATCCCTAAAATACATTAACCTTTTTCATATCGTGTATGTAGTGACAATGAAATGGCAGCAATAGATGCGTAAAGTATTTTAATAATACGAAAAAGTGCAATTGATCAGTGTGTTATTTCATACTTTTAGAAATATCAAGATGACAAGCAACGTATACACTTTGTTACGTACGAGGACTTGAAGAAAGATCTTCGGAAAGAAGTTGAATCAATAGCAAAGTTTCTTGAAAAGAAGTTGTCGGATAAACAGATGGACGCCATTTCGGAACATTGTACGTTTGGCAGCATGAGCAAAAATAAGAGCACTAACATGTCTGCTGCTGCAAAATATGGCATGGATCTGACAAAATCCAAATTTATGAGAAAAGGAGAAGTAGGCGACTGGAAAAACCATTTCACAATAAATCAAAGTTCAGCTTTCGATACGATGTACCAAGACAAGATAAAAGAAACGGGATTCGATATTCAGTTCGAAATATGAGTTCCAAGAATTCTTCACTGAGTTAATGTTAGCTAAATGAAGAAGTATAGTGATTCAAATCGAACGTTAAGATTATGTATACGTGCTTTGACTTATACAAATTTACACTTTCCATTTAATAACAAGACTACAAACTGCTTTTAGGAAGCTAGTTTTTCTGTGTTTTGTTTTGTTCTCTCAAGCTGTTATACCTATCAATATTGATTGCGCGAACATTTCTGTGTGTATCTTCTTGTTCTGTTTTTTTAATTGAGATGTACATATACATCAAGATTACGCAACTAATAGTTAGTCTGTTATATTTGTATAAGCATTTAGAAGACGATTTAATACTTATTACATTTGCCGATGCAGTTCTGACAAATACAAGACTTTTATATGCATTAAAATTTTCATTCACACGCATTTTCATTCACACGTTTTGTGTACCTACTTTCCACATCTCCACGTTAACTATTTTCGTGCTTGAGAAATTAATTTTAACTTTGGCTAATAAAGAAATCTTACCAATTTTGATACATGTACTGTGTGTACGTTAAGCCTGGACACATGTTTAGTTTTATGAACTTGGCTTCTGTTTTTATGTCATAAAGTAATTACATTTTTTGAGTACGGTCGATAATTGATTGTAATTGCGAGGAGTACATAAATCCCATGCTCTAGTTCAGGGGTGGCCAACCAGTCAATTAAAGCAGTCGTCGACGATGTAATCTGTGGCGTTTTATCTGCACTTAAATTACTTCACTCAATGGATAAACTTCGTGTTTGCCGCCGGACTTCGTTTTCGATACGATTGCGACAGCCGTTGTAGTGCAGGGTTGCCAACTGTTCAGTGATAAAATAACCTAGAATGTTATCAAAAAAATATCTAGAATATTCTAAATTCAAAAAATAATAATCTAAACATAACAAAGTTACATTTTCAAGCATTTTATAAGAATGTAGCGTACCGGCAGTCTATGTGATAATTATCCAAGTTCAGAATATCTTCCAAACATGATCTGACGCCAAGATTCCTCTCACTATTCACTTCAATTTATATTATTTTATTTATTAATTAACAATCTCAACACAACCAAATACTCCAAACAAAACGACAAGCATACAATAAAGCGTACCAGGCAGCACAATGCAAGAAAGCAGAATATACACAATAAAAGCACTTTGAACAGTACTGATGATTGCTAATTCCCTGACAACAACCAAAAATACAACGCTAAAATAACCGCAATGACATTGTACTGAAACAACAATAATATCAGCCTACTGCCTAGCATAAAAACATCCAACAAATCCCCATCCCGCAGTCACAAAACCACAAACAAACATCCCTGATAACCCACCGGAGACCAGAGGCACTCCCACAGACACCCATGACCAGAATCCAACCACACTGTACGGGTACAAACCACATCACACCAAAGCACACCCGAAGAACACAACCGACAGTGTCACAGCGCCCCCAGTGTCCCCAATGCCAAAATACCAAATAAGGCAATAATATCACATGGCAGCATTTAACAGATGAAACAAGGGTCGTCACAAGAATAAAGAATCAAATCTCGGCCCTCAGTTGTGCACGAACACCCATATTTATGCCAATCATCACACTCGCATTATCTGTTCTGATTGCTACAAGATTTTTCAAACTCAATTTATGTGAACCGAGTACATTCTTTAATAGCTATAACAATGTGTTGAGCATTACAAGCTGTAAGTTCCAGATAGGTCGACACTATTTTTTTTTTAGACATGCTGAAATAAACTATTGATATACCTAGTAATTTATGCACAGTTATATCTGTGGACTCATCTGTTAGAATGCTAAATCTGCCATCACCAATATCTCGTTTTAACCAAAGTTACCCCAGCCCACACTCGCTCATCCTGACGTCAACGAGTTAACCAACTATTTTACGGACTTTATAAGCGTTAATACATAAAAACTTGGTGGCTCTAACAATATAGAGACCATATCTTAGGTCTGTTTTAAAATGCTCACACAGAGTACCGTATTTCTTATGACAGTATGATAAGGGTACATTTCTGCATTTAGTTTGGTGCATTTTCATTTCGAACACTGTTTTGTTTGTAAGGAGATTTATTTAACATAAATCAACTAAATGGCCACAATTCTGTAGTTAGAAATAGCCGAGTGACAACATAAAAATGTGGAAAATAGACGCTTCCAGCTCTGCTATTTCGAAGTTTTTAAGAGTCATAAATGAATCAAGAGTCCTGGTAATGACTGGACAAGCTTTCAAATGTTTCTGGCTCTTAGTATGCTGCTTCAGATCTTGATATTTTGCTTTGACTTCACATTTACCGAACTTGCAGAATGCCCTAGATTCATCAGCAGCCATGGACGCTAACCACTCTTTCAGCAAGTCATCCTTCAGCCACTATTTTTAAAATTTCTGGCCATATCGTTTGCCACTTTTGCACTTGTTTCTTTAGACATTCTTATAGGGTAGAATTAGTGAACAACAGTCTGACAGTATTTCCTGACTTCAGATTTTACCATAACAACAGCGTTCAATTCACGCTACTTTTAGAGTAATAGCCTAATAATAATTGCCAATACAATATTTTGGCGAACCTCCCTTGTTGTTTTGAGCACTATTACCCTAACTTCGATTGGAAAACTTTTCTGTATTTTATATCTACAAATGTTAGGTACTGGTGAACTTCACTTCTTTGCCACTAGAGAACAATGCAAAATAACATTTGTAAAAATAATCTAAATATAACAAAATGGATGCTGAAATAATCTAGAAAATAATCTAACATCTAAATGGGTATTTCTTACATCTAACATACATAGTATGTTTAATCGAAACATGATGAATTGTAGTTGCAACTTATTTTTTTCTTAAAATACCCACGGCGAAAAGAGCCACATGGAACCGGGGCAAGCCGCGGGTTGGCCACCCCTGCTCCAGTTCCTTGAATCCACGAGTTTTTCAACTATCTATCGTCTGCTTTATACGATTCATTAGTAGGTTAGTTGCTGTTAGTACTGCAGTGTACTATAACAGTGGCGTTCTTAGAATGTTTTCGCCTCCGAGGGCAATGTGATTGACAAAGCCATAGAATATATTCATGACCGAAACAACAGTAAATAGTTTAACAAAGTCGAGCTAAAGTATTGACTCGGTTACGGGAGTCGTTAGTTGGTATCAAATTTGTGTTTAGTCGATGACGACATTCATATTATCTGCTATATTTTCAACTTAGTGTTGCAATATTGGGGTCTCACGAGCGATCGGAGTTATACTTTGGCAAGCTCTGTGACGTCGTAGTGACGTAATTTTGGGATGTCAGGTGGGGTTAGGATTGGCATATGCAAAAATTGTTATGCTACGCCCACTAGAAGTACTTCAGGTACGAAACTACAATAGACCCCAATATTGTGTAGTCGATCACGTCAACATTCATAAGTTAGTAAAAATTTGGCATCCTACCACAACCAGCGAGTCATTGTGTGGTGAATAAAAGATATAAAAGTTCCATCACGTGCCAAATGCTTAAAAGTGTGCAATATTTTCCAGCTAAAACGTTAACCATCAGCAAATGCATTAAGGTAAAACGATCGCATCTGAAAAATTTATATAACAACAACTGTCTCAGATCGCCAAAACCGTAATTAACCACAACAAAACGAATAAGGAATGTCAGATTAAGCTTATTCGAGTATGGGGTTCTGTAGAGACACGATGTCACGACGTTAAACGTCATCCGTACATTTCCATATACCGGCACGTATCGAACAGATTCCAAGTCAATCATAAGGTATTGCACCACTATGGCGCGCTCGACCGTATTGACCACGTCATTTATACAAACGATCAAATTTCGTAGACGCAGCCTTTATTAATAGCGCCTCAATTTTGTCTACACATATCAATTGGTCAATTTAATGAAAAAAGTTTGCAATATTACTGCAATCTCCCTATGATATAAATTGGAATTCACACATGAATACGAGAGACAAACTAGTGTAACGCACCTATTATAGTAATTAATGTAATATCCCTATAATAAAAATAGAAATTCACAACGATATATGAGAGACAAACTAATGTAATAACTAGTTTATTACATTAATTACTGTAAACTCCCTGTAATATAAATAGCAATTCACACCGTAATAGGAGAGACAAAATAGTTTAACGGACCTATTACAGGCAAATCCGTAAACTCAGGATACCCAGAGTGAATATTGCCGGAATGTAATTTACAACACTATCATACACCAAGTAAAAATAACAGTAGACCGTTTTGAAAATTACTATACACAACAAATAAATTTGCAATTTTTTTTACCAAAACTTAGTGCGTCATTGTTGCATCATTATCTCAATTTTTGAAGGACAAAAGTCACATAGTTCCGAAAGGACATTTATAACGAATCTTAATCGAAAGGTGTTCATTTAATATAAGTCACGAGTGACTTATAGAACTCAACATCGAACAACCTTACTTTGTAATACTCAAATAAGCGTTGTTCTCTAACAGTGAAACTATTCAATACACACAGGAATGTGGCATTGCATGCCGTGTGTTGGTAGGCAAAGGGGAGGTTAGTCTAACTCAGTCAAGATAAAGGTATTTTAGGCTGTTCACAAATAGCAGACTTACTGTTTAGCAAGAGAAACATGAGAAGGCAACCATGCATCATTTCGGCTCTAAACATTATCGAATTTGTTTCAACAAAAGACATTTCTTTCTAGTTACAAATCTCGTATATATATATTCATATTCGCAAATAGCCAAACAAGTTATTTATAAAGTCACATAATACCATATGGACTCAATCAACTCTATTTCCATTCAACACACTTGAGTCAAAGTGATTTTATTGAAAAAACTCAAATTTTGCCCCGTCAATTAGTTACAAATATAAGGACAATTCCCTCTATCTGAAGCTTTTAGAGCTAAGTACACTCAGGCGTCGTTTAACTCGGTTCAGTGATTTCAAGCAACATTAAGTTGTCTTCAGTACAGTACATACAATATCGCGTTAGGTATGACAGGAAGTATCGCCTTCGGACCTTTTAGTATTCCGAACTGGACGTTTGGCTGTGTTAAATGTTTTAGTTGTAATAACTTGAGGTAATCAGGCCCGCAACATGGCAAACCGTATCTCCTTTGCAATTGTCAATTGGTGCAATTTCACATATATATATAGCGATTTGCTTTGTTTCCAGAATGACTTGCTCATAGTCAAAACTTGACAGTGAAACAGAATGGTCGCAAAATTATTGCTAGAGATAGGTGTTAAAATGTTGGACATGATTGTGCCATGATTAATAATGGCACCAACTGCCTGTTTATTAAGCCTTTTGCATAGCCGTATTTTATCAGTACATTACAGGATGTAACGTGAACTTTTTTCAAACTGAGTCTATTCGCGCCCCAAGGCCAAATCTTGTTTATATCAGGTTGAATAATCTATTTGAAGCATGAATACGAACGAAGCATGAACTAATTCTTTTCAGGCAACACCGAATTATCTACTGTAACTCAATATTTAGAAGCAAAATAATGTTAGAGTTAGCAGTTTCCGCGACCGCATCGGCCTTGTTCGCTGTCATTGCCTACTTCAAATTGAAGTCAATGAGAAAAGTTGACAAATTGAAATTACGTAAGTATAACGGCTCTGGTCCCGAGTTTATCAATTGTTCTAGGTTTACTGTTAAAATTATTTTCACGCTGTGTTTTCAGAATTGCAAATTTTATTTTATTTCATGTTATAGAATTTATTATATCTCAATCGAATTATAACCATCGATATAGGACCATTCATACGGCCGGTTTACTTTGAATGAGTATGATTTTAATACGATGAACTAAGGTTTTAATAACTGGCGTCGACAGCCTTTGGCGTAATATATTTTTATTTTTCTCTTTCAAGTACTTGCGATACTGGGAAAATTGAAAATTCTACAAATGCTTCGTCTAACGGGACTAGATGTGCGGATGAGGCCAAAATTAACTGAATTCACAGCTTCGAATGGATTCAAACTTCTTCTGCCTCCAATGTTAACTGTTACGGTTGAGGAAGTTTTAAAATTCAAAGTGAGAGAAGACGATGTATACGTTCTTACATACCCCAAGGCAGGTGAGGAAATATGGCGGCAAGTAGACTTTTTAACCTCAGTTCGACATTGAAAAATCCGATAAAAAATATTTAATATAAAATTTATTGTATCCTTATTGTAATGTCAGGGACAACTTGGATGCAAGAGATAGCATGGCTGTTATGCAACAACGGAAATATCGATGCAGCAAAGAAACAGTCAGTCGCAATAAGAAGCCCGATGCTTGAAGCAGTAGATTTTACTATTAGCAATGGGATTCAGTCTCTAGAAACATGGCCGGAGAATAAGCAAAGGTATTCAATTATTTATGAAGCAGGAAGCAGTTTCCCCCTTTAAAACAGACGCGTAAGTCTTCAAAATGATTTACCGCTTTTTTCAAATTCTTTTGAATCAAAGTTTGTGAACATCGAATTGCCTTTCCCGAGTGTTCATTCGTTAGCACTTAAATAACGGCCCAAGCAACGAAAGTAAAACTCTAAGTTGTGGATAATAGCCAGAAACAATTATTTCGTGAATCACAATCATACTAACACATGCTTCAACATATAATCAGAAATTCACATTCAACGTTTTTATTCATTAAAAAAAATCGCGTTTTTCATAGAGTGATAAAGACTCATTTTCCGTACGAACTGTTACCAGAAGACATCAAAAAAGGGAAGAAATGCAAAATTATTTACGTAGCACGAAATCCAAAGGATTTATGCGTTTCGTACTATCATTTCCATCGTATGATTACAGGAATGCCTGACCCTGGAACATGGGAAGAATTTCTTGCAAAATTCTGTTCTGACAAACTAGGTTACGGAAGTTATTTTGACCACACTTTACAGTTTTGGGAGGTTGGTAATGGATAAATTATCATCTTTTAATTAAAAATACATTTACCTTCTTGTATTTTATCTTGTGTATCTAGTGAAAACGAAATGTCTTGGCAATAATGGCAGCAACAGATGCGTAAAGTATTTTAATAATATAATAAGTGCAATTGATCAGAATGTTATTTCATACTTTTAGAAATATCAAGACGACAAGCAACGTATATACTTCGTTACGTACGAAGACTTGAAAAAAGATCTTCGAAAGGAAGTTGAATCAATAGCGAAGTTTCTCGAAAAGAAGTTGTCGGATAAACAGATGGACGCCATTTCGGAACATTGTACGTTTGGCAGCATGAGCAAAAATAAGAGCACTAACATGTCTGCTGCTGCAAAATATGGCATGGATCTGACAAAATCCAAATTTATGAGAAAAGGAGAAGTAGGCGACTGGAAAAACCATTTCACAATAAATCAAAGCTCAGCTTTCGATGTGATGTATCAAGACAAGATTAAAGGAACGGGATTCGATATTCAGTTCGAAATATGAGTTCTAAGAATTCTTTATTAACTTTATGTTGGCTAAGTGATTCAAATCCTCAGTTATCATTATGTACGCGCTTTGACTTATACAAATTTATACTTCCCATTTTCCCTACACATTTGAGATAATGCAATTATTAATTAATGTGTTATATTTGTGTAGAAATTTAGAAGACAATTCCATACATACTTTTATATACCTAAAATGCCATCTTCCATTTTAATTCGCACTTTTTTATAGCTAATTTCCACATCCTCCCGTTTATTATTTTCGTGCTTGTGAAATTTATTGTTCGAAATTTATTTTAACTTTGGCTAATAAAGAAATCTTACAAATTGTGATACATGTACAGGCCTACAGGGTGTACTTAAAGTCCATATACACAGGAAATAATTCGATATTTTCAGTATGTAATTAAAACTAATGTTGCTCTCAAATGAAATTGTATGCTTGCTAAACCAATTTGATTGCTTCGCCGATAGACTGAAGTGACGTACCACCTATAGTAGTATATTAACTGATGATTTTATATTTTATAGAATCAAATTCATTTACGCTCATACCATACGTCGTCACACGGCATATAACATAAATATTTGTACAAATTGCTCAACTGGTAAGTAGCTACCATATACGCTGTATAATAATTAATTTTATTTATACCAACAGTTAAAACAGTAGATATTTTGTGGATGTTATGAGCTCTTGCGTCGAGTTTTCGACAATGCGTTGTAGATTCCAATAGTCTGTCTCCAGTTTGTGAACTAGAAGCGTTTAAAATCGATCGTTAAAATTTTTCAGACTTGTAATTCAATGTTTGCGAATTGTGGGAACAGCAGCGGCTTTGTTTGCTTCCATAGTTTACTACAAGGTGAAGTCAATGAGACTCGTTGACAGATTACAACTTATTAGGAATCACAATATATTTCAATACTTATTGAATTAAATGTCATCTCCTAGTAATTAATATTCAGCATGGCTGAATAACGTTTTATTATGAAGCGCGATATCGAATAACCATGCCGCTGGCGTGAAAAGCTCGGATCAACAACATCGATTATGCAATTTTCTTACAAACATGCTTAGTTTTATGAAACTTGGCTTTTATTTTTAAGTCATAAATTAATTACACTTTTCAAGTACGGTCGATAATTGATTCTAATTGCGAGGATTCTCCTAAGTACACTACATTCCACTATACAAATATTACTTATTAAAATACCTTCGACGTATTTCTGGTAATTTTCATGATTTTAGTTATGACGATACTTGAAGATGTCAAGTTTTACGAATACTACAGATGGCCGGACTGGATAACAGGATGAAGCCTAATTTCAAAATTTTGCTGTTTCCGATGTATGCTGCTGCTGTTATGAAGTTTAAAAGTCGAGGAGGACGATGTTTTCATCGTAACCTACCGGAAAGGAAGTAGTGATTATATGAAAACATAATTGTCGCAAATCACATTGAGTCATGTGTTAAGTGGGGGGAGTGTTTGAAAATTTCCACCCAATGGCATTTATTATTTGACATGAACTGTACAGTTTGTGTATTTCGGCTTTGCAAGTCCGTTTTCTCTGCAACTCATGAATCAATTGTTTTCAAATTTGCAGTGCTTGAAGATGGATACACCGCTAGATGGCTATTTTTTAAATTTTGTTTTCATCGTACCGGGCTCGATAATTCACTAGCATCTTTTGCTATTACTACGAATATTGCACCACCGTCCTACCGATGGTGGTCCAGTTCCTACCGGTTACTATATATGTGAATTTCTATCTTGATGGAACTTGATGATCAATGTTGATTTGAATGTTTTGAAAGCTCAAATCATAGATTACAGTGTTTATATACTGCATAGGCTACCAGTACCGTGTCCAATCACTGGCATTTCATGTCTCTCTTTTAATAAATTCAACGATCTATAAATATATATAGTTGATTCAAAACTGGTTTAGTGTAAGGCTTGTGACTTTGTTTGGTGAAAGGTTTTGCCTCAACTGAAGTCCGTTAAAGAGGAAGAATGTCGCCATTCAAAGAGCATAGAGTTATGTAAGTAAAACAACTCGTAAAGATGCTTTAAATTGACTTGAAACGTTTTTCAAATCCAATCTCTTCCTTTCCTTAAAGGGTTCAACAAATATTTGTTTTTACTTTTGGTATTGCTATAAGAAAATTTGTTTACCGAGTAGTGAAGACTCATTTACCGTATGAACTTTTTCCTGAAGATATCAAAATTGCAAAATATCATATGCAGCAAAAAAAACTGAAGATTTATGCGTTTCCTACTAGCATTTTCATTGAATGTTTACAGATATGCCCGACCCCGGAAAATGGGAAAAACATTTAACCAATTTTTGCTCTGGAAATTTATCCTTCGGTCGTTGTTTTGAGCACACTTTAAAGTTTTGGAAGGTTGGTTCGAAACTATTTTTGAATATGTTTTGAAAATTTAATATTTTCTAGCTTAAACAGCAGTATATATATAAAGGTTTTTAATCGATTTCCGCATGTTTTTGAAAATAAATAAATATCAGAAAACACGAGATGTCAAGATAATGATTGGGACTTTGGACTTAAATAATGGATTCATAATAACGCTGTATTTTAACAGAAACATCAAGATAGCAAGAAACAAATATTTTTTGTCACGTACGACGATTCAAAAAAAAAAATGTGCGAAAAGAATTCGAATCGATATCAAAATTTATTGACATAGAATTGTCGGATCAACAGACAGAATTAATTTCAGAAAAAACACTTTACTTTTGACAACATGAGAAAAACAAAACTACAGTGTCTAATTCAGCAAAATTCGACATGGATCTTGAAATATTATGAGAAACGGAGAAGTAGGTGACTGGGAAAACCATTTCACAATAAATTATAACTCATCTTTCAATTTAATGTATATATCAAGAAAGAATTAAAGGGACGGGTTGAATATTCTGTTAGAAATTCAATATTTGGCTATAATATATGATAAATTCATACAAATCAGCATGCGTAAGAGTATACGGAAATATATATTTCATTACATATATATTGACAAATGTGTTATAAGTAAATTTCAAATTGTATAAGTACAGAACCAAGCTTTTAGCGCCAAATGCCCAAACTACCTATATTTATATATATATTGAAAGTTCCATTTTTTAGTTTGTTTCTCGCTTCTGCTCAATTTTTTGTAGTTGCTTATCATATTTGATAACATTTGTGTATAACAATCTTGGTTTCAAACGATAATTATGTTGTTTTATGTAAGAACCAAAGTCCGAACATGTGATCTTGCCAAGTTGCTGTAGGCCTATTATGTTGATTACTTAAAATGCCACAATCCGTATATACAGGCAATATAGTTATACATTAACTTGTACTGTAACTGTCATGACTAAGCTGAAACAGTTTATACTGATTGCAGTTGCGCCATACTATGTTAAGTTTCTTATATCATAGACTTATGTAGCTTCGGGTTTAGACCAGGTAGAAGTCAGTTCCATAAGTCTACTTATATACACATAAAATGTGCTGTAGAACTATATCCGTTGTAGAGGCATCCGCTGTGTCGGTTCAAAGATCTTATTCACACAAGCAGATTAGTTAAACAAGCGAACAATGTTTGGAAACATTTGCCAATACCTTCAATATGTTACTGAATATTTACGTTACATATTTTGTTCTTTACGTGGTCAAATGAAGTTGAAACGTTTGATATATTATTGCTTCACAGATATCGATACCAGGTTCATTATTTTGGATAATATTTAGCTCCAGCATGATGATATTTGCAATCTCGGGAACTGCAGTGGCTTTATTTGCTTTCATTGTATACTATAAGGTGAAGTCAATGAGGCTCGTCGACAGAATGCAACTATGTAAGAATCACAAAATATTTCGCACGTGTCAATCACCAATTACGGTGAATATTTATGGTCTCTCTGTTCTTGTCTATATATATATACATATACATATATATAGATATAGATGTTACATATATATATACATATACATATATATATACATATATATAGATGTTGAAAGCTATAGACCATGCTTCGTGGCCATACCATACAAGCATACAAGTTAGGGTTCGTGGTGCGAATATTTGTATTTGCTTACTTTTCACATTGCGTGAAATTAACACCCAACACCAACATACAATAACCCAGAAACTGAAAATATTTGATCATGTTGACTATCGCACCCTTAATCGTTCTCTACAAAGAACGCAAAAATGTATTCGCGCTACCAAGCATTTCATCCATAAAGTTTTTCAATCATTATTATTTGTGCCCACAAAATTTTACCCCGAAACATTGCCGACGAAAACTTCCGGTAGAACTGTACCTGTACGGAAAGGAGTAAGTACTATGAGTTCATATTTCGAACATAAATTGGAACAAGTGTTTCCTGGTGTAAATAATCGTGTTAAAATGTAAAAAAGTTATGGGTGCAATTGTGCAAACATGCATTACCGACGACGATTGTACATTTTACCGAATTCCGGGTGGTATAATTGGAATGCCTGAAATTCAGGCAAAACTATATATCAACCTGCCGCAAATTTGTCGAACAGCGTTTAATTTTACTCAACAGAAAAGTTTTTGGACTACAATTTTCATTAAAAACAAAACATATGTACAGACGACATTTGGGCCATTCCAAGCAAAAGTTGAATTCCTTCAATTTCTTAAAAAGTGTAGTGAAAGTAATTTTTTTTATTTCTGATATCAAAAGACATTGGAATTTTATTGGACTGCATTCATTTCATCGAACAATTTAAAATTTCACCCAGGTTTTCATGGTTTATAAAAAAATGGCCTGAAATGTAGAAATTTTGGTATAATTGACATATTTTGTGATGATTCCTGACACGAGTGTTTGATTGTGTGGTACAGTTATTTCATATGGAATTGACGCACTAGATTTAAGTTAATAAAGTTTAAATGTTTGCAGTGCTGTAGGATATTTCTTCACCCATTTAACGATTTATTACCAGAATTTTAAGAGATGATAGAGGCCGCTATTTCGAAGTGGAAAAATGTCCTATAGTGTCACGTCCTGTAGTATCACATACAATATGCACATTATTGGCATGGATTTACAGTGTTACATTAAGTAACTTGAGCAACACATAGAGGGGTAGTTCAGCTACTGCACCAGAAAATATTATGGGCTCCTACTGTACCATCGCAAAAATTTACAGCACAACACAACGTACTGTTAGGGCATGGTGGATTTGCCGTCCTGTAGTGTCACGCTATATTTTACTATATCTTTTTTATCTACTAAGTAAGTCTTGGGTGTAACTTTTGTGCAATTTTTCACATATTCAATAAAGCAACTGATTGGACAATGATATTGCATCCAACAACTTGCAAAATTTCTGGAATTGTTCTGTAGTGTCACTTGGAATAGCCCATTTGTGGAAATTTTTTGTTTTTGTTTTCAGTACTGATGATACTAACAAAATTGAACGTGATGAAAATACTTCAAATAACCGGACTGGATCAGAAGATGAGACCTGGATTAACTCATTTCACTGCTTCGAATGGTTTTAAAATTATGCTGACTCCAGTTTTTGCTTCTGTTGTTAGTGAAGTTTTGAAGTTCAAGGTTAGGGAAGACGATGTTTTCATCGTAACTTACCCGAAAGCAGGTAGGAGTTATAACATGTCGGTAATTGTGTCGAAACGAATGTGACATGTGTTTAGAGATGTAACAATTAAAGACCGCTAATATATCCTAGTATTTTTGTGTGTTTAAGGAACAACTTGGATGCAAGAGATAACATGGCTGATATGCAATGACGGAAACATAGATGGAGCAAAGAAAGAGTTAATTACAATGAGGAGCCCGTTTCTGGAGACAGTGGACATTCCCATAAGCAAAGGGATTCAGTCTCTAGAAACTTGGCCCAAAAATAAACAAAGGTTTGTAAGAATTCTATCTCAAAATAGAATGTTATTGTTGTCAAAGATCAAAATCATTCTTTACATTTGGACATTGTACCTGAACAAATGTAACCACGCGGTGCAACACTAAAATGAATATTTCCGTTTCGCATTCCCGTGGGCATCGCAGGGTCTTATATGTGCAATATTTAACACCTTATATCCATGAGTCAGAATACAAGTGAAAAAATGTCGTGCCGAAAAAATTGGACTCTAATCTTTGTTAGAAATTATACACCTTTCACAATCCCATTCACTCTTGTTTGGGTTGATGCTTTCGTTTTATTTACAGAGTAATAAAAACTCATCTGCCATACGAAATTTTACCAGCAGAAATCAGAAACGGTAAAAAATGCAAAATAATATATGTAGCAAGGAATCCCAAGGACTTATGTGTTTCCTATTTTCATTTTCATCGCATGATTACGGGATTACCAAACCCAGAAACATGGAGAGAATTTTTGTCGAAGTTTTGTTCTGACAATGTAGTGGGCGGAAGTTGGTTTGATCACACTCTGAAGTTTTGGGAGGTTGGTCTAAAATTCTAAATAAATTATTTATAGTTTCAGTTTTTCGAAAAGTAGGTAATTTCACTAGCTTTGTTATGACGTCTGTAATTGATGAGAATGTATCAAAAAGCATGTAGCTATTTCGAGGAAAACTGGCTGCAATGAAATACGAGATTTTCAAAAAATAAATTTGGAATGCTACAGTGTACATTGGCGTCAAACTGGTCCGAAATTGTATTGTAATGTATTTTATCAGAAATATCAAGACGACAAGCAGAGAATATACTTTGTAAAGTATGAAGATTTGAAGAAAGATCTTCGGAAAGAAGTTGAATCTATATCAAAATTTCTTGGAAAAGAATTGTCTGGTGAACAGATGGACGCTATTTCAAAACACTGTACGTTTGGAAGCATGAGCAAAAATAAAAAGACTAATATGTCCCCTTTAGCAAAGTATGGAATGGACGTGGCTAAATCAAAATTTATGAGAAAAGGAGAAGTAGGCGACTGGAAAAATTACTTCACTATAAATCAAAGCTCAGCTTTCGATAGAATGTATCAAGAAAAAGTTGAAGGCTCGGGTTTGGATATTACCTTTGAAATGTAATTTTGTTTAGTCGTTGCCGACAAATTATTTCATTAACCATTTAAGACATTCTTAAATCGATATGCAAAAAATTATTAAAATACAGTGTATTATATATAGTGAAATGTCATATAAGAAGTAGAGATGTATCGGTATCGGGTATCGGTAATATCGGCCAATTTTTCGGTATGGTAGTGCAGTAGTTCTCAAACTTCTTGGTATTGCGACGCCATCCGAAAAATATGATCAAGTTGCCACTCCCCGTAAAAAACGTCTTGATACCTTTTAATAAAAGACCTTTTTTGCAATGGGGTTAAAATTATGCCTGAAGATTGCTGTGGTGTCAATATTGAGTCGTTCAAATGAAAGCGTAGACGATGTGCTGAACGTCGCTCAACATTGCTCGATATGCCCATGTTCATAAAAGGATTAGAAATGAATGACATGCATGGCTCGAGCTGACCCGACTCAGTGTTTGTGATGTCCTAAGTGGAACAGCATTAAATGACCCGTTAGTGAGGTCACATATAGATAAGATTGATCGTTACAGTTATTGTCATCTCCAGTTCTCAAGTGTGATTCAAACAAAAATTTTGACTTTTCTACGCACCGCAGGTACAATTCCACAAAATAGGGAAAGTTTTGCGACGCCCTAGAAAAATTGAAACGACGCACTTGGGCGTCGCGACGCCCTTTTTGAGAATGACGGTGGTAGTGTATCGGTATCGGCTAAATGAAGAGACCGATATTTCCGATATGTTTACCCTTTTGATATGATCCAGAATGTTTGAAAAATAAGTTGGAATACTGATGTTTAAATTATTTTTTGCTTGGGGAAATCGTAAACTATGAGCCATACACGTCCCCACCCCCGCGAGTAGAAACGAGTATGGGATTCTGACCTGTTCCTAGTTATTTATCAGTCAAACGCTCAACTAATTTGGCTATTTTTACTGCCAAATTTTTACATTGACGTTTTTAATATTACATAGTACTTATGAATAAAAATACCAATCGAATATTAGTTGATTTTCTAATGAGTAAAATACAAAATATGTCGTTATACTGAAACAAAATCGTGCGCACGTAACTCAATGTATCAATTTGATAGGATAAGTAGGCTAATTATTTACTTATTTCACCACCCTGGTAGCAAAACCTTATGAGCAGGGATGGCCATATCCATTGACAATTTTGAATACATTCTAAAATATTATCGATACTGAAATTCCGAATACATTGTGAAATCCCCCTCATAAATACAATTCACTTTCATAAAATCCAGGGACATATAAATTAGACTTTCATAATGTTATCATTGTAAAGCAATCATAAGGCATGTGTGATATAAATGAAATTGCTCTAACAACGTAGACTTAATAAGCATTACAGCACAAAAATAAGAGCAACTAGGCTTCCAGTTTTAAATGATAGTGTAGAAACGTCTTTATTGACAGCATACGCACTTTTTGGCACGGTTATAAATTCTGAATGTTTATCGTTAAGCGCTGGTGTCATTTAGTCCATCGACATCTTTAAGCTAAATTCCGACTCAATTATCTCTCTACACAGGTATTAACTATTGTGATTCCATTAATTTTAATTTTGTTTAACTATACAGTTTCCTCATCTATTTATTGCCGTGGCCGCCCAGACTATCTCGAAATATACGATAATATTTGCGATATATTATGAAATAATAAAATCAGAAACATCCTCCACATGTTATAGGTATTTCTAGCCAGCGCGGATTGAAATCCTCTCATGTCGGCTGTAATTATTGTCGCGACGCACAATTATGATAAAATAAAAACAAAATATAAATGTTTTCAGGTAAAACGTGGACGGCGGCGCTACGATGTGTGGGCGATATTCGATACTCTTATAATACGATATTCGAAGGTCGCGTTATTACTATTAAATTCGAATTGGACATCCCTTCCATATTTGTGAAGAATTGAACACCGAGATTACGAGCTTCAGTACACAATGCCTCTGAATCAATTAACGCATTTGAATCCCAAACATTAATTTCTTCTGATGTATTATCTAGGGCTGGGACTTTCGAAGAAAACACTTTAACCGTTAACCGGGTAAAATTAACCGGTTAATCGCAGCGTGACATTTGACGTAATAATTCACAATTTTAGCTTGTTACGTCACAATGGTTACAAATAAATTTTGAGTATTCTTATCCTGGTATCGCTCAAAATTATTCATGAATGGAGATAGTTTCATGATCGCTCTGCTGCAAGAGATATGCAGCGTGCTTCGAACATATGGAGGTATTTTAGTAAAACCTGAATTCGATATTAAATGTCATTTATGTCAGGGGTGTCAAACTTGCGGCCCGAGGGCCGCATGCGGCCCTAGAGAACTTCCAATGCGGCCCGCGAACACTCAACAATAATTGTGTTATTTTGTAAGTTTTTTATTTATTTAAATAATCGTCAAAGTTTTGCAATAGTTTTGCAGTATTAAGAGACTTTTTTTGGGTCGAGGGTCGGGGAAACATCCATCGACTCGCACTATATTTATAATATTTTCTAAATTGGATTAATTCAGCACTTCATGTTGATATACCCTAAATCTTTATATTGAAGTTTGTGTGACGTCGTCTGTATCTCAACTCAGCAAATACAGTGTCACTGATACGATGACTTGTAGTCTTGCGCGGCCCTCGTCAATTGCGGAAATATTGCATGTCTGTTTATTCAATTGAACTTTTGTATTGTTATTTTTATTTCAATTGTGTCGACACAATATTCCATGCACGATGAAATAAACATCTGAATCTATTACAAGGCTGAAATAGGAAGTTTGCTTAAGATTGTTAAATGGCATACTGATACCGGTATTCATTTTGTCACACTGATGGCATAGGCAGAACATAGACATAGTTAATCTTGATATAGGTCTCCTTCTTATATAGCCTGGTCTAACAGACTTTCATCACGTTCAGTTCGCTAGTGGAGCAATGTTCAAATATCTAAAATCCAAAAGGAGGGCAGCCGTGAAGGCCGCGCTCGAGGAAATTAAAAACAGTATTCCAGTGAATCAAAATGAAACAGCAAAATTTTGATTATGATATTGGGTGTCAATAAATCAGAAAAATTCAGATGAAACGTAACAGCTTTTTGGCGAGTTCTGATAGCCTTGTTCCACGGTATGCTCCGGTCCTTAGGGATTGGCGATGTTGCCGAATAACCAAGTTCAATATTCAAATACCTTATACCCGCCCGGTAACCAGACGAGAAGGTATGCTAATACTTGAGTTTAAAATGAGTAAGCCTGAATAAGAAACAGTCCCAAGTGAATACATACATGAAGCTCGATGGTCGGTTACCTACAATTTTATTTTTCAGCATAAAATTTTTTTTGTCAATTTAATAAATCATTAACAAATACGCTGAATCAAATGCGCTCGCTGACCTAGTAATATCGCACCTTGAGGTACCACAGCAGCAACAATTGCGCTACGATTGCAAATAAAAATTAATGGTTCGCGTGTTGGTTGGTAACTTTAGTCAGGTGCCCTATTAGGAATATTATTGGACACGAAATGTACATATGAATCGTTTAGTTATTATTATGTTGTTGTTCTTGTTGCTATTTTAAATATTACTCATTACTCCTGTTTTTCTATATAACAAACGGACGGTAAAATTTGTGTGAAAGTTTACAACTTACAGTAGAATCACCGTCCTCTGTTGGCGGATTGAATTGCCACTTACTTAGGTATGATTCACCACAAAGTATTCTACTGAAGCGAATGTACATTGTAACCATGAATTTCAATGTTATTAAACCCCTCAATAGTAATAGTATGTTGAAGTAAATGGAAATACGTCATTCTAGCTACTTCCCTGATGAAGAGTTGTCGTGACAGCTCCAAGCATTAGCTTTTTGCATATAACCTTCTTTGTGTTTCCGGCTTCGTCTGAGTGTTGAAATAATAGTGTTTGTCATGTTCTTGTGATTTTGCTTTGAATTCGACCGTATAACTGTAATAAGGTTTAAGTGTGTATTTGTTTTTGGATTCTTTAATAATTGGATTGTGCATATTTATAATATACGAAAATTTGGCATTACAATACATTGTGTGCTTATTGACTTCTGAAGAGTTTAGTTCGGAGTTACACTCTATTAAACGTGTGTAAACCCAATAACACGTGAGTGAAGCGCAGATAGGGATCCTCTCTCCTATACTACTCTGTTTGTATTTGTCAAGTCTTTATCCAATATTATGCTCTTCGCCAAGCTCAGAAAATCAGTATCAGTAGATTAGTATAAAAGTTGTGAGGATGCTGGTATTGACAGTGGCAGGAATCTTAGCAGCCTTGTCAGGCGTCGTTTTGTACTTCAAGTTGAAGTCTATGAGACTTGTCGACCGAGTGAAACTACGTAAGTGTTTTATTAATAATGTAATAGTGCCTTACCTCAAAGCGTCAATCCCGAATTCTAATTATCGCTCAGGTCGCAGATACGATCGGTTTATAAATTTTTTATGATTGGATTGGGTCCAAAGTTGCAGTAATGACTTTTATAATTTCACATTAAATTTTGCTCGTTTTTATAATTGACGGGCTCCTATATTGTATTTAAGAAATGGCAATACATGCAAAGCTGAGGATTCCACAATTATTTCAACTAACCGGACTAGATACACGGATGAAGCCAAAACTAACCCAATTCACGGCTTCGAATGGTTTTAAAATTCTGCTGCCCTCACCGTTTACTGTTGCAGTTAATGAAATTTTAAAATTCAAAGTAAGAGAAGACGATGTTTTCATCGTAGCTTATCCCAAAGCAGGTGAGGAAGAAAAGTAAAATGAAGGAATCGCGTGGTTTGTTAAACAACAAATTACAAAACTGAAAATGCCTATTTGTCTACCGTGTTTTCCCGAAAATAAGACAGTGTATTATTTCAATTTTCTTTCGAAAAATACCATTGGATCTTATTTTGGGGGGATGTATTTTATTTTCATTTAGAGAATTACGAGATTTTCAAATATACAAAATATGAAAACCGATATCCATTTACTTATAAACAACACGTTCTTATTTAAAATAACTACTAAACATAGATTCCTTTTAAACGAGTAGGAAAAATTTCTTGCTATCGAATAGGTCAAAAAAATTTGCGCTGTCGACTAGGTCTTATTTTCATGGTAGGTCCTTTTTTCGGGGAGATCCGGTAGTACCAATGGAGCGGGATTCGATTTTTTGTGTGTGATGAACGTCATCAAAATTAAAAATTGCGCAGCATGTATCGGTTCTGCGTTCGCGATCTAGTGGTCAGGCGACGTCGGGAAGACCTCGTACTAAATCAAGTCAATTGGTACTGTGAAATATTAGATAGAATTATTAGAATACTTATATTGTATTACCTCGTTTTGGCTTTCGTGTCCATATATTTGAGCATTGCTCTCTTGTTGTAATAGTATTCGAACTTATTCCACATAAATTCATAAAGTCTATATGTATTGATGTTTGCTTTGTGTTATTTTTGTATTTTGCAGGAACGACTTGGATGCAAGAAATTGTGTGGTTAATATGCAATGATGGAAATATAAAAGAAGCAAATAAACAATTGCTTACATTGAGAAGTCCGTTTCTGGGGATAGTGGATTGTCATCTTCGCAATGGATTTCAATCTTTAGAAAATTGGTCAAGAAATAAACAAAGGTATATACCGTCACGCTAATACCCAAATTGCGTAAGTCATATTCAGCAATTTTGAGAAAAACGTAATAATGATATTGTTATGCCATTGAGAGTAAATAATTTCCCATGGTTCAATTTTTTAGTCGTCTCCGAATTTGAAATTTATTTGTATGATGTAGGCACGTGACGTCATAATGGCACACTGTGACTTTTGCAAAATGTGCCTATGACTTGGGAACATAGCAATTTTGCAACTTGATTATATCCATCAGTCCTGAAAATCAAACATTCGAAAAACGTATGTAATTTACATTATCCACGATGTCTAAACCCCTAAACAGCCTATCTGTTTTAACTATTATTCTTTTTATGTTTGATATATACAGTGATGAGCTGGAAAGATCGTAACAACCGGAACGCACCAAATTCGTGAAAATTTAATATATATATATTTACAACACGACGCTACCAGTAATTTTGTCTGTCGTAAGATAGAGCCGAAGAACTACAATGAAATATGAAAAAATTATCTGAAATATGACTGTTTAAAATTGAAAGAATCTTCATACTAATTCAATACAAATGTTATTATTAGATAGATATTCACGGGGGTCAAAGGTCGGCGAAACATCCATTACACGTTACTGCTGTGCACCAATTATTTGCCAGCTGTAATGTAAAAAGAATTATGATGCAACAAAACATCAATTAATAACTAAGTTTCCCACAGAAACTAGACTTTTCGAACCATAATTTTATTTTAACAACAGGAACGCAAACGCGATAAAACGTCCAACAACCGGAACGCCGTTCCGGTTCGTTCCGGCTACAGCTCATCACTGGATATATATATATATTTCATCAATATAACGCACTCTGTACACCCACCGAAAATAAGACTTTCCATAAATAATAAATATAAAGAATAAAAAAGAAATGAATGAATCCTTAAATAAAAGCCAACCAATATGAATTGGACTTAGAAAATGGATATCACACGTGCTCACTTCACTTTAACAATTGCAATAATGTGCACGTCACATTAATCTCCATTTTATGCGTTTCGGAATCCTTGGGATAAAATCTGAATTAACTGACATGTGCGCAATTCGGTTATTAGCCTGACGATACACCTTTATTAGTTGATTCTAATGATGAAACTAAAACAAACAAATACAATCAAAATGTGAACATTGTATCACGGTCACATTCTATGCAAATTTCGACAGTGAATAGTTTTATTGAAATAATGATATATTATGATGGTCTCTCTGTATCCCATTTATTTCACTACCGAAGTCGATTCAATTCCAGCAAAACTAAAAATTTGGAATTTTTATTATATCTTTGTTATTTATAAAAAAAAATCCGGTGCTTTTCAGCATTAGGAAATGATAAAAACTCCATATTACTTACTAACAGCTTACCCACAACGTTTTAATGTATCGTTATGTAACGCAATTAATCCTTTAATTTTTCTTCAAGTGGTTGAATTATATTCAGTTAATAAATAGGTCACAAGAACTTTAATTTCAGAGTAATAAAGACTCATCTTCCGTACGAACTGTTACCAGAAGACATTAGGAAAGGAAAAAGATGCAAAATTATTTACGTAGCAAGAAATCCAAAGGACCTATGCGTTTCATACTATCATTTTCATCGCTGCTCTAAAATGTTGAAAGACCCAGGAACGTGGCCAGAATTCTTCGCAAATTTCTGCTCACACAGAGTAGGATTTGGAGATTGGTTTGACCATACGCTAAAATTTTGGGAGGTTGGTTTGTAATTAATTTTTGTGAAAATTATTATTGAATAATACATTTAACTTATGGTTTTCAAACTTTCTGACGGAGCGAAACCGCAATGAAACATTGCGAAGGCTCGAGGAACGTTTGTGCAATACCTGCGAGGTAGTAAGAATGTTTGTATAAACTATATATATATATGAGCAAACTTGCTGACAAAACAAAATAATCTTTAAAATGCAGCAAGTTTAATCAAAAAAAAATTCATAAATCTGATAATATATTATACGTTTCCGGAAAATTCGCCGCAGGAAATTTCGCCGTAGGAAATCTCGCCGCAGGAAATTTTGCAAAGGGTATTCAAAAACCTAACTGTTGTTATCAAAAATACTTGTTTTACAGCAAAATGCTCTTGCAGCGAATTTTCATGCGGCAATTTTTTCTATGCGGCGATTTTTCCTAGAACCATATTAACTCTCGGCTTTAGATGTAAACTTCCGGAACCTCTGGTTGAAAATCAGGATATATGTTGACATGTTTGTATTGTTTATTCGATAATGGTTCACATATATATATATATAGACCACAAAAATAAATTTATTCAAACTAAACACTCACGTTACTGATTCATGTTATAAGAAATATCAAGAAGACAAGGAAAGAATATATTTCGTAACTTACGAAAATTTGAAGAAAGATCTTCGAAAAGAAGTTGAATCAATGTCAAAATTTCTTGAAAAAAAATTGTCGGAACAACAACTGGACGCTATTTCTGAACATTGTACATTTGACAGCATGAGTAAAAACAGAAGCACAAACATGTCAATGTTAGGACAAAATAGTATTTCCACGAAAAAGTCAAAGTTCATGAGAAAGGGACAGGTTGGTGATTGGAGAAATTATTTTACGATAAATCAAAGCTTGGCCTTTGATGAGTTATACCAAGAAAAAATCAAAGGAACGGGATTTGATATTTCTTTTGGAAATTGAATTTTAAGGTAAATATCATTATTCTGCATTATGATTGGGAAAGGAATTTACAAAGATAATTATTACACACCATTGTATCCACGAATAAAAATGATTCAAATATTGAAAAATTCTGTATGTTTCAATCGAAATAGTTGACGGGAAACACTGCATTTTTTAAAGTTCAGACAATTTTCTATTAGGCTACATGAAGCATGGAATAAATCATACTCTTGGGACACGAAATGTACTTATGGATCGTTTTGTTATTATGTTATTGTTCTTGTTCGTTATTCTATTTTCTTGTTGTTGTTACAAAAAAATTACTTTTTCGTGGGTAAAAGTTGTATTTTTACCAATCATTTATTTCAAAAATTTCTGCGGGCCCAATAAGAATCGTCATTTGTGTGCGATGGAGCTATCAAATTGCCCACCTTGTGGCAATTGCGCTTTCACGGTCAAGCGAATTCATGAAGACTGCGGTGCCGGTGGTATAATATGACAGATTGCATGCCCGTATCACTTCGTTTTGGCCTTAATGTTCATATATTTGAGCATGGCTCTCTTTCTTCTTATATATTTGTGACAAAGACACAAAAATTTAAATTCGACATTCTCGATCAATGAGGATGAAGAAGCAGATATTTGTATATATATATATAAATTATTATTCTATTGTTATATATTATAATCACATTTAAAATGAAATAAAATCCATTTATTGTCCTCCAATCATAACATCAAGAACTTTTTTAAAGAACTGCTTCGGTTCTTCCAATTCATAAAACAGCAGGTCGGCGACATCATTATTCGCCAGGTCTTCATTCTGTAGAAAGAAAGCGTGTGCTTTCTGAAACATCGTACCAGAGAAAAGGTGGCCAACTTTTGAATTGGGTATTGGGCATCCTAAGAGGTTGTTTAGTCGCATTGCTTCGCAAATAATGGTTTGCCATTGTGCAGAAAAGTGCAATGCTACCTTGTCATAACTGCTTTTAGGTATTTGACGAAAAGCATCTGGCAAGGAGTCACCACCGATCTCATTGTAAGAACACGAAAACGTCAGTGCTAGTGCTTTACACACTTCGTCTAGTGGTGCCTGTTCTTGACATCTTGCCCAACTGTAAATACTTAAAACGAGAAGCTTGTTTTCCTCGCCAAGAACAGCTGCATCTGAAAAATCCGCATTCTGTATCATAGCTTCCGTAAGATATTTTTCTCGTGCGGCCATGATTACTTCACGAGTGTCGCATGCTCTTAATTCTTCCCGTGTCATTTCAAGATGTAATTCTTCTGTTTGGTCCGCGTTTGGAACTGTCACTGCCATCACGTTTGCTGCATAATTTTGCCCAATTCGATCCATTTCTACAATATGACGTTCAACCACACTATCATTTTCCTCCCTGTTAAAATGGATGATACATCCCAATTCGTAGAGCGATTGGCGAATCGAAAACGATGCTACATGGGAAGTGCTGTTCTCTGGGTTATCCACCATAAGCGGCATGAAACTCGCTGGGTCTTGCATTCCTTCGACGATCTCAAAACAATCTGGCTTTACGTCAGCTGATTCGCCACCGTTAAGCAACGTATCCACATAGGTTTGAATATCAGGAAGCTGTTGATATATACGTAAATATTCTCTGAATCTTTCTTCTGGAAAGTTTGGATTGTTTGCCACGAATAATGGGATAATTTGATCGTTACTTTGATAACGGGCCAGCCACACCAACGCACATTCAATCGCATTTCGGAGATTCCTCGGACCCCTTACTTCCTGTCAACCAAAGTTTGCTGTTATTAACTAAGTAATTAATGGTTCGACTGATGCTCACCCAATATTAAACTATTTTACTTTTTTTTTTCTGTATATATGTATATATATATAGATATATGCATTGTGAATCACTACAAAGTCACGAAAGTTGCTTTAGTGAAAAATACATTGCAAAAAAAATGTTATGCTTATCTCGAGCTCCACAAGAGGGTAGAAAATTCCGACATTGCAAATAGTTTGCATAAATGTACATAGTTTGATTATTATTATATTTTTCAAAAATTCCGGGGTATATTGCTGGTGATTGTACAATCTCCCAGTTACAGATTTAACTATACATGTACTGAAACCATACCCAATGAATTATAGTGATTACTAAATTAAAAGTTTCCCATTTATTAATAAATACTTTCAGTCTTTCTTTCCATATAGGACCTCATCGATTCCATCTAGAACTTAATTTCACCTTATGCCATTCTAAATATGGATATTTTATAGTTATTCACCCCAGGAAAAACTTGCAGGAAATCCTCGAATCTTCCACCGAGGATTCCGTCTTGTGTGCTCATCAATGCCCCGAGAACAGATAACGCATTCCTCGGAGTTCCAAACGTAATTTCCAAGATTGACTGACGAAATATTTTCCCTCGACAAGACCGTTGAGGTCGTGTTACCTAACAATGAATGTGAAATAAAACCCCAAGATCGACTTTGATATAAAATGAAGCATATTTGTGAAAAGAATATAGAAATGAGATTTAACAAATTAAATAAAAGTAATATATATATTCATTATAAAATTATATCTTATTATATTTTTGTGGCCAAGGCTTCCTCCAAGGTGCGCAGTACCAACGACCATTTGCGCAGTAAAATCTATATGGCTCGTGGCCCTCTTTGGAGGCTTTCAGCACTCATGGCCCTCCTGTTTAACAATTCAGTGGTATTTATATACTTTGATTGGTAGATTCCAAATTCCATTATGATCAAACAGTTCATGCCCATCAAAGTGAAAACACCCCATGATATAACTAAGCAATGAAACTTTAGGAAGAACGGGGAGGTATAATATTGTGAATTGAAAAGGAAAATCTGTCGGAAACCGTTGGTCTGACCAGGCCTGTCCGTGGGAATAGAATTCCCATCGGAATCCAATGGTTTGGAATGAGACAGCACACATTTTTATATCCCATGGGACACGAAAACCGTATGATTTTCGGGGAAATGATGGTAAAACACTTCGTTATGGACTTCGTTTCCATATATTTGAGCATATCTCTCTTGTTAGGTATAAAGAGCCAAATATATTCACCATCAACAATATACTTCGTGAAGGGGCTGATGGACACATTTATAATGGTTTCACCACATTTGAACCCACGTACATTTGAACCCACAACAATTGCACCTGTATACTATTTTTTGTTTACGGATATTTGAACCCATACTAACCCTAACACATGGATTTTAGCACCCTCATATATATTGAACCCGCGGATATACGGGTGCAAATGTATGGGTTCAAATGTACGCGGGTTCAAATGTACCGTCACCATGTATAATAGTTATGAATATAAAGTTAACAAAGTCCGTAAACTTTGTTGTTTTGTATGTCTATTCGTACATGTAGTCATGTTTAGTAGACGCTAAACCCAAATTTAACCATTTTTATCAAATTTCATTCCAATGGGATGGGCTGGGACAGGCATAATTGCTATGGGATGGTATTGGAACAAAAAATATGTTCCATGGACAAGCCTGGGTCTAACTCTAAGGCTAACCTAACTAGAAATGCCCATTCCACGTTTCAGTGCAGTATCTTGGTTATCACTGTTCATTGTGATTTTTACACACGTGTATGTTACGGCCTAGTTCTAGTATCTCTATTTATCTATGCAAGCGCGCCGGGAGTCGCATTTCGAAATCTTGAACAAACGATGTGGATTTCTTGCTGCGTCGGGAAAATTTGTCGGTTGCTCGTAGCCGTGTGGTCATGGTCTAAAATGGTCGGAATTTGAATAAGTTTACGGGACTGCTAGCGCCGTCAGCTCTTAGGCCTCGAGTTTCGGCACACGTGGCCATGGGATTTTATACTAAATGATACCAGTGTTATAATATAAAAAAAAATTATGTTTACCAGGAATATGAGTTGAATTTGTACTTTGTTCGTATTCTGATAATATAATATAACATTGTAATATTTTACAAAGTCTGTAAATCATTCATTTATGCTCAGGTTTAAAATATCCATGCCTATTTACAAATATTTGCTGAGTGTAAAGTTCTTATATGGAACATGGGTCGTGACATCATACCATTAATATTGCGTCGCCAGAAAACGTACGCATGGTTACTTCGGCATTGTAAATTAAACATATTCAAAATAATGGTGGACTGTTAGGGACGGATTCATGCTTGACATAAAATGCAGAAATATATAAAAAAAAAAATTAATATTAGCTTTTGTGAACTGTAAACCTAACTACATCGGAGTAACTCTACATCTTGCTTCAAATACAAAAACATTAACATTGTAAAACAATGTCTACTGCACTATAATATTACCTCTTGCCATTTGAAGTCGCTCATAAAAAGAAATCCCTTGTTGACGTCAAATATACAGAAATCTGTGTCCGACGCAAGAACCATCGCGTCAAGTTCGTTGGCAATTGCGGCGATTTGGGCATCCGCATCTCCAGGAACAACAATGAAAGGGACACAAAGTTCAGTTAAAGTTTGCCTCAACACATCCTCTAGAAAATTTTGAAAAAAGATGATAAAATTTAAACTATCATACATACTTGCAATGAAAAACAATTGAACAAATTGCATTAGCAAGCTAGTCACGTGACTGATATGGGAAACGGTTTATATGACGTGTTGCATGCACCATTCCCCGCGGTAAAATGGCAAAACATCTCTCCGCGCACCATCGCTGTTAATGGATGTTTGCTTGCTACGTTATGTCTTAATAACCGTTTATTTCACGAATAAAATTTGGCGCTTCCGACGTATGTGCACCAAGATGGCGCACAACCTGAACCCTAACCTGGTACACATACTATGTTCAGGTTGTGCGCCATACTTCTGGAGCTCCTAAAATTTAAACTGACTTCCAAGTAAAGGCTTTTCTTGTATTCTTGAATTCCCAGAGTTCACCAGTTCTCTTATACCACCCAATCTGGCAGTTTTCTCTTCGAGAAATCTTGTTATGTTGTTTCTCGATTTGAAACTAAAAACAATATCACGATAAAAGCACAACCACTGATTTATTTTTGTCATGTGGAAAAGTAGAAAACATATATTGATTAGTTATGGTTAAGTTATTACCGCGAAATAAGAAGAAAATAAATGACAAAAATCTTTTGAAATAGAGCAGTTTAAAAATATAAAATTTTATCGTTATAGTTCAAATGAGCTAGCCGCAAATAGCGCCGCATCTCAAGTTATATGTGTTAAAGTTATGGAATACTATATTGCTATAGTTCAACAAACTAGTAGAGCCCTTTTCAATAATATTTTGGTAGATTGTAAATTTGTTCTTGTTTACCTGTCAAATACCACGTAAGGTTGAATACGGCAACGGTTCAATACTGCGACAAATTGTTCTATTGTAGATCGAAATGACGTATAATCGCCGCCACGCCTGAAAATATTTTAATTGAAAGGGACTAACAATGAAGTAAATTGTGAGGCTATACATTTTGCGTGGGTAGTATTTTGCAAAGCTTCATTAGTTTTTCGTCGGTAATGAAATAGTATAATTCTATTTATACCTTCAACGTGAAACATGTATGACCCGTACGGTCGTACCCATTTTTCGGAATACACGTTTGTTATGCAATCAGAGTTTTATTTTGAAATATTACCTGCAATCTTATTTACAAAGATATCTGACATAGCTGAATAATCAACCGTACATAATCGAGCTAAATGTTCAATGATTGCTACAATAAATGTATTCAAAATATATACCGGTATATTAAATTGCAATATTCTACCTGGAATCCAAATGGCCACAATCAAAGTAAAGAAAATACAGCAATTCTGATCCATCGATGATAACTTTTGTGTCACTCACATTGATATCTTCTAATAAAGGTTTGGGGTATTTGTGAACGAAACCACTCAACCCTTTGATTCCCATTGCCACACCTCTCTACGTACCCCAATTTGGATAATGACGGTATGATGATCAAACGATATAGATTTAGCCTCCGTACAGGAAGAGTAATCCTTTACTTTCACCCCGTCAGCATACGATAAAACCAGATCTAATAGTGATGCAAGTAGGCCCGCCCAACGTTGGTAAATAAATCATAACTAGAACACACCACACTCTCGTGAGAAGGAATCTCCCTGTGTGGGAACATGGTGCGAACGCGCAGCGCTGGTAGGATGCGATTGAGAGAACATTTATTTGAAAGTCAATACAATTATGGAACGCTGATGGATGAACCGTGTATTACGTCTCAGGTATGATTCACCACATAACCCAAGCAGTGTATTCACCTTCAGTGGTATTTTGCAAATCTTCATCCAATATTATGCTCTTCGCCCAAACTCGGTGTATCATATTAGGATAAAATTTGCGAGGAAGCTGGTATTGGCAGTGACAGGAACCTTAGCAGCCATGTTAGCGCTCATTAGTTACTTCAAGTTGAAGTCTATGAGATTTGTCCACAGAGTAAAATTACGTAAGTGTTTTCTCAATATTGTAAATAGTGCCTGTCAAAGAGTTGATCATTAATTTCAATACTTGCTTTGTACCGTCAATATTTACACAATTTACGTTTTTAATGATATCTAATTTGATAATATGTCTTTTCGCGAATAGTCGAAAACCTTCTTTTTTATTGATTTATGGACAGGCACTATACCTATCGATCGTTTTGAGAAATTGGGTTTGTTCTGATTGAAATGGGCCCAAATATGGAAAATGTTACTATATAAATGACTTTCATGTTTTCAAATTCTTTTAATCCTACGAGGCCACATATTTCACCCTGAATTTTGCTGGTTTTTATAACCCACGGGCTCCTCTCTTGTATTTAAGAAATGGCAATACACGCAAAGCTGAGGATTCCACAATTACTTCAAATAACCTGACTAGATACACGTATGAAGCCCAACTAACCTAATTCAGGGCTTCGAATGGTTTACATCGTTTTGAAATTAAAAGTAAGAGAAGACGATGTTTTCATCGTTACTTATCCCAGGGCAGGTGAAGAAAAAAAGTAAAATACCAGCATCACGTGATTTAATAACAACAAATTACACGACCGGACATGCCTATTTATTAAGTAGCAATAGGACCAAATATTCCACCCAAAACTCTGGTGTTTTTTATGGTTAACGGGTATATGACATTCGATACAATTATTTTATAAATTACCATTGTCATAGTCTTTTGACTTCGCGTCAAATTTTTTGAGCATTTCTTTTTTGTGGAACACGGAGTGGACCTATAGATTATTTTGTTGTCGTTGTTGTTAAAAAAAATTTGTTGTTGTAATGGAAAAATTGCTTTTCTATTTAATTACTTTTAATTTTCAGGGGTCAAAAATTGGTGTTGTCGTTAGAACGCTATTACTTTTATTCATTTCTAACATTTCTGTGGTCTCTGCGGGATTCGATTTTTGTGTGTGATGACGTCATATAAATTAAAAATTGAGCACCTCATATCGGCTCTGCGTTCGCGATCTGGTGGTCAGGCGAAGTCAGGAAGACTCCGTACCAAATCAAGTCAAGCTATACTGTGTAATATTAGATACTACTTCGTTTTGGCCTGCGTGTCCATATATCTGAGCATTGCTCCCTTTTTGTCATAGTAGTCGAACCTATTCCCAATAATTCCAAGTTTATATGTTTTGACGTTTACTTGGTGTAATTTTTGTATTTTGCAGAAACGACTTGGACGCAAGAAATTGTGTGGTTAATATGCAATGATGGAAATATGGAAGAAGCAAATAAACAATTGCTTACACCGAGAAGTCCGTTTTTGGAGATAGTTGATTGTCATCTTCGCAATGGAATTCAATCTTTAGAAAATTGGTCGAAAAGTAATCAAAGGTATGGTGCCTTCATTAGTTGATTCTGTCAATTCTAATGATGAAGAGAAACGAATCTGTATCTCCGACACTTTCTTTGCACATTTCGACGGTGAAGTTTTGGTGAAATAACGATATATTATGATGCATCCCCTATATTCCAGGTATATTCACTACCGAAGTTTGAGATGTGGGTTCGATTCAATTTCTGCCAAACTAACAAGTTGGAATCTTCATTATTTCAAAAAAGGAACAACAGTTCTTTTTTGCATTAGTAGATAATGAACAACTTCTTATTTCTTACTAACGGCTTACCCACGACGTGAAAGGAAAACAGTTTAGTTTTAATGTAACGTTAAATAACGCCATTATGTGTGTCATAAAGATTAGGAGATAATAAACATCTTGTTATTTACTTACTAACGGCTTACCCGCGGCGTGAATAGCACACAGTTTAGTTTTGCAGTTAAATAACGCAATAAATAAATTTTGTTCTTATTAATTGGTTTAATAATACTTTTATTTAGTGATGAAGACTCGTTCTCCGTACGAACTGTTACCAGAAGACATCAAACAAGGAAAGAAATGCAAAATCATTTACGTAGCAAGAAATCCAAAGGATTTATGCGTTTTAAACTATCATTTCCATCGTATGCTTACAGGAACGCCTGACCTAGGAACATGGGAAGAATTCCTCGCAAATTTCTGCTCACACAAAGTAGGATTAGGAGATTGGTTTGACCATACACTAAAATTTCGGGAGGTTGGTTCTAATTAATTTTTGTGGAAATAATTATCGAAAAACAAATTTAGCTTAGTGGTTTCCAACCTCTTTGACGGAACGGAACCCCAATTAAACATTGCGGAGGCTCCAGGAACGCTTGTGCAATACCCGCGAGGTAGTAAGAAAATATATATATATATATATATATAAACAAACTTTATGCTGGCACAACAAAAAATTTTTTAAAATGCAAAAGTTTTTAATGATATATATAAATATTTCATAATTCTAACAATATATTATACGTGTCCGAAAAATTCGCGCATGAAAAATCGCCGCAAGAGCATATAGCAGTAAATCAAGTATTTGTGATGGAAACAGTTAGGATAACAGCGTTAGGGTATGCTCTCAAATAAAGAATCCTTGGTACTCCTAGAGTATGCGCACCAAGATGTCGCACAACCTGAACCCTGACATGGTACACAACCTGAGTTCAGGTTGTGCGCCATCTTGGTGCGCATACTTCAGGAGGTCCCCCTTTTTAAAATATTTAAAAATAAGAGGTATCTTAAAAAAATTTAACTGTTTTTATCACAAATACTTGTTTTACAGCAAAATGCTCTTGCGGCGAAGTTTTATTCGGCGATTTTTCCTATGCGGCGAAATTTTCTGCGGTGAATTTTTCTAGGACCATATTATGAACTCTCGGCTTTAAATGTAAACTCTCGGAACCCCTGGCTGAAAAGCAGGCTATATGTTAACATGTCTGTATTGTATATTCAACAAAAGTTCACATATAGGTCACAGAAATAAGTTTATTTAAAACTAAATACTCACGTTACTGATTCATGTTTTAGAAATATCAAGAAGTCAAGGAAAGAATATATGTCGTAACTTACGAAAATTTGAAGAAAGCTTTTCGAAAAGTAGTTGAATCAAAAAAATGTCGGAACAACAACTGGACGCTATTTCTGAACATTGTACATTTGACAGCATGAGTAAAAACAGAAGCACAAACATGTCAATGTTAAGACAAAATAGTATTTCCACGAAAAAGTCAGAGTTCATGAGAAAGGGACAGGTCGGTGATTGGAGAATTTATTTTACGATGAACCAAAGCTTGGCCATTGATGAGTTATACCAAGAAAAAATCAAAGGAACGGGATTTGATATTTCTTTTAGAAATTGAATTTTAGGTCAATTATCAACATTGTGCATTATGATTGGTAGAGAAATTTAGAAAGGTAAATATTTACACACCATTGTAGCCACGAATAAAAATTATTTAAAGATTGAAGAATTATGTATGTTTCAGTCGAAATAGTCGATGGGAAACACTGCATTTTTTAAAGTTCAGACAATTTTCTATTAGGCTACATGGAGCATGGAATAAATCATACTCTTGAAACACAAAATGTACATATGGATCGTTTTGTTATTATGTTGTTGTTCGTGTTCGTTATTCTATTTTCTTGTTGTGGTTACAAAAAAATTACTTTTCTCACCAACTACGGGACCAATTGCTTCGAAATTTTTCATGGCTAAAAGTTGTATTTTTACCAATCATTTATTTCAAAAATTTCTGCGGGCTCAATAAGATTCGTCATTTGTGTGCGATGACGCTATCAAATTGCACAGCTTGTGGCAATTTCGCTTTCGCGATCAAGCGAATTCATGAAGACTGCTTGCCGGTGGTCTAATATGACAAATTGCATACCCGTATCACTTCGTTTTGGCCTTAATGTTCATATATTTGAGCATGGCTCTCTTTCTTCTTATATATTTGTGATAAAGTCGCAAAAATTTAAATTCGACATTCTCGATCAATGAGAATGAAGAAGCAGATATTTGTATATTTAAATATATAAATTATTATTCTATTGTTATATATTATATTCACATGTAAAATAAAAAATATCCATTTATTGTCCTCCAATCATAACATCAAGAACTTTTTCAAAGAACTGCTTCGATTGTTCCATGTCATGAAACAGCAGGTCGACGACATCATTATTTGTCAGGTCTTCATTCTGTAGAAAGAAAGCGTGTGCTTTCTGAAACAACGTACCAGAGAAAAGGTGGCCGATATTTGAATTTGGTATTGGACATTCTAGAAGGTTATTCAGTCGCATTGCTTCACAGATAATGGCTTGCCATTGCGCAGAAAAGTGCAATGCTACCTTGTCATAACTGCCATTAGATATACGACGAAAAGCATCCGGCAAATATTTATCACTAATATCATGGTAAGAACACGAAAACGTCAGTGCTAGTGCTTTGCACACTTCGTCCTGTGGTGTCTGTTTTTGACATCTTGCCCAACTGTAAATACTTAAAACGAGAAGTTTGTTTTCCTCGCCAAGAACAGCTGCATCTGAAAAATTCTCATTCTGTATCATAGCTTCCGTAAGATATTTTTCTCGTGCGGCCATGATTACTTCACGAGTGTCGCATGCTGTTAATTCTTCCCAAGTCATTTCAAGATGTAATTTTTCTGTTATGTTTGTGATTGGAACTTCCACCGTCACCACTCTTTCTCCATAATTTTGTCCAATTCGATCCCATTCAACAATACGACGTTCCGCCACATTATCATTTTCTTTCCCCTTACAGTCGATGATGCATCCCAATTCGTAAAACGATTGGCGAATAGGAAACGATGCTGCATGGGAAGAGTCGCACTCTGGGTTATCCACCATAAGCGACAGGAAACTCACCGGTTCTTGGATTCCTTCGATGGTCTCAAAACAATATGGTTTTACGTCAGCTAATTCGCCACCTTTACGCAATGTATCCACAAAGCTTCGAACGTCAGGAAGCTCTTGATATATACGTAAACATTCCCTGAACTTTTTTTCTGGAAAGTTTGTAGTTTTTGGCTTGATTAATCGGATAATTTGATCGTTACTTTGATAACGGGCGAGCCACACCAACGCATATTCAATCATAATTTCACCACGAAATACACTGGGAAGATTCCTTGGAAGCACTACTATCTGTAAACCAAAATATGCTGATACTAACTATATATATAATAAATGATCTGACTATGGCAATCAATATTAAATTAATTTACTGTTTGTCTTGATCTATATATATATATATATATATGTATTTTCAACCAGTACAAAGTCACAAATATATTGAAAAATGTTATGCGCATCTCGTACTCAACAAGAAGGGTAGAAAATTCCGACATTGCGAATAAGTCGCAAAAATGTGAATCTATTTTTATTATTTTATCATATTTTTACAATCTCGCAGTTACCAGTTACGCATAATTAACTACACATGCAATGGAACCATACGCAATGACTTATGTCTTATAGTGATTACTAAATTAGAAGTTTCCCTTCTAATATTAAATCCTTTCAACCTCTCTTTCCAAGTAGGACCCTCATCGATTCCATCTATAAAAACTAATGCAACATTCACTTTATGCAACTACAAATCTGAATATTTTATGCTTATTCACCCCCGGTAAAAGTTGCAAGAAATCCTCGAAGCTTTTACCGACGATTCCGTCTTGTCTGCTCAACAATGGCTCGAGAACAGATAACGCCTTCTTCGGAGTTCCAAAGGTAATTTTGAAAATTGACTGACGAAATATCTTTCCTCGGCAAAACCTTTGAGATCTTGTTACCTAAAAGTAGATGCGAAATAAAACCCCAATATCGGCTTTGATATAAAATGCACGATATGCGTATAGAAAAGGATATATAAATGAGATTTAACAAATTTAATCAATAAAAGAAATATGTATACATATAAACTCACATCTTATTATTGTTGTACCCAAGGTACCTTCAAGGTGCGCAGTACCAACAGATCATTTGCGTTGTAAAATCTCATTCTTGCGCACTTGCAACATTACGTTTTACAAATGTGGCTCGTCATATTCTATAAGGTGTCAGCACATTTTCACCCACGTACCTATGCACCCGTAAACTGCACCCAGGACATTTGCACCCAGCGATATTTGCACCTACGTACATTTGTACCCATGCACCCACTTACATATGCTCCCGTAAACTGCACCCAGGACATTTGCACCCGGCGATATTTGCACCTACATACATTTGTACCCGTGCGCATTTGTGTCCATGCACCCGTACATTTGCACATCTGCATCCATCGACGTTTGTCATGTTCGCAAATAATCGTGTTTCAGACAAACTTTAATTACCAACTATAAATATATATTCGAAATGAAGACGGATTAAAAATTTCAAGTAGCTATTATTATTGGAAGGGTAGCTACGTTTTCACCGTCGTTGCGAGTTACAATCCTTTCACTTTTATCGGTCATTTTTCTTTTGATTAAATAACGCAAACGTAGTACGGTGGTTAGTAGACGATGGCGAAAAAAAGTGGTCGAAGAGGTGCTTAGAGAAAAGAAAAACAGACAGAGAAAAACGACCTCGACTTGGTGAAAGCTGGATTTGTATGGAACAAGTTGTTTACAGCACTTTTCTACTTTTTGCATCAACGCGTCATAATGGCGTCTACACCTATGCGGGTTGTTTCCTCGATCTGAGTTAATGGTTGGAAATCCAAATTATTTGCGTTCGAGCCATTACTATTCCTCATTACTATAAATAACATTAGGATGTCCCTATTTCGGCGCAAATGGCAATAGAACCACTTAAATGTACGCGGGTGCAAATGTCCGGGGATGCAAAAGTTTGCGGGTGCGAACGTACATGAGTACAAATGTACGTGGGATCAAATGTCCATGGGTGCAAATGTACGTGGGGGTAAATGTCCATAGCTGCAAATATCCATGGGTGCAATCTGTATGTGGTTGCTAAAATCTGCGGTTGCTAAGTGCAAATGTATGGGTGCAATTGGTCATGGGTGCAAATGTCCGGGGATGCAAAAGTTTGCGGGTGCAAACGTACATGAGTACAAATGTACGTGGGGTCAAATGTCCATGGGTGCAAATGTACGTGGGATATAATGTCCATAGCTGCAAATATCCATGGGTGCAATCTGTATGTGGTTGCTAAAATCTGCGGGTGCAAATATATGGGTGCATTTGGTCATGGGTTCAAATGTCCGTAGATGCAAATGTATGCAGGTGCAATTGTCCTGGGTGCAAATGTACATGGATGCAAAGATAATAAAACCATTTTATATTGCCTAGCCAGAATGTCCGTTCCACGCTTCTGTACAGTATTTAGGTTGCGATTGTTCATGGGACACACGTGTCTGTTACGTCCAAGTACCTCGCTTTCTCTATGCAAGCGTGCGCCGGTGTCGCATTTAAAAAAAATTTATCAAGCGCTCTGAATTTTGTGTCGTCGCACCGGAAAAATTTGTTCGTAGCGTAGTCCAGTGATTTCCAAACTTTTTTTTCGCGACCCCAGTTTTCGTGAAATCAAAGCCTACAGATACTCGCGACTCTACAACTAGAAACGTTCAGCAACTTCAAAATCAATATATATATATCAGTTGCAATTGCCTCAATGGGAACAATTGTACCTGTATATATATCAGGGTCTGGCAAGCTGCGGCCCACGAACTATTTTTTTTTGCGGCCGCCGAACGACCCGACTTTTAAGGTATAAAACAAAAATTGATCCAAAAGTCATTATTTTTTTCACGCGGATTTTTGTGGTAACAAGTGCTGCTGTACGGCGCTTGGCATTCGAACTCAACACTTTGGCTTTGACACAGAAACAACATCATCATTCACATCGATAAGAAGTAAATGAAAACAATGTATTGTCTGATAATATATTAAAAAAGGCCATGAATAAGTTTCATTGTTGCGGGCTCTTAACACAGTAATAGAAGATGCGCCGAAAAAACTTCGGAAGATTTGAAGACACATGGCATCGTATGTAAACCACGATGTAAAAATCTATTAGATCAGAATTATAACGGTTCTTTGGCGAAACATAGACGCACTTGATAAAATGTGGTAGATTGTAAGGAAGCGTACGAATGCTTAGTGTAATCCAACAGTGTCGTTATTATTTTTAGTTTAATATTAACATATTACAGATTGCTCCATTATTGATTCGAAAGTAAAACAGAGCATGAAAGTGAAATAGAAAAAAACGTGTACGTACTCACATCTTTTCAATCAATGCCATACTTGTCAAACACCTAATTAAAAGCCAATCGCCAAATAAAGCAACTTTGCTTTGTATATTTGATAACCAAGCGGCTATACACTGGTACAAAAAAATAACAAACCAACATAATTTCTCGCAGCTTGTCAAAATCCGTTTTGCGTAACAGCGGGTCAACTACTCATTTGGATGTAACATGATTGAAACAACTATAAAAAGAAAAATATTATTGGCGCACGTAACACTGTCACTCAATTACATTTACTCATATTGGTACATGTCGACCAGTTGAAAAGAGGGTATTACATGAAAGTTTTACCGTGCAATTTTGGATCGTTTGGACAATAAATAGTCGAGTTTTAATAATAGGTATTTGAGGTCACAATGATGGTACTCACTGTTTGTTACAGGGAATTTGATGGTTGCTCGTAGCTGTATGGTTAGGCTAGGATAGTTGAGATTTGAAGGAGGGCTGAGCTTACGGGAGTGCCAGCGCCGTCGGTTAATAATCTACTAGCTTCGGGCACAAGTGGCCATGAGTTCATACGAAATGATACCAGTGGTAATTATAATATAATAATACCGTGTTTTCCCGATTTTTTTTTAAACCTAGTCGATAGCGAGAAATTTCTCCTACACGTTTTAAATGATAAATAATCTATGTTTTGCAGTTGTTTTGAATAAAAACGTGTTATTCATAAGTAAATGGATATCGGTTTTCATATTTTGTATGTTTGAATATCTCGTAATTCTCTACTTTGTAATTTTGTTTTTGATAAATAAAAAAAATAAGACATCCCCTAATGTTATTATTTGGAAGAAAATTGAAATTTCAAGGGAAACCTGGTACTTATGTTTACCAAAAATTATTAAAAAGGGTTTTACCCTTTTTCATATTCAGCAGGTCACTAGAACAGGTTGTTTATTAACCAAAACCAATATACCAACGTTTTTATCTGACGTGCAATTAAAATTCAAGAAAGCTTTTGCCATTCCGCGCAGTGGCGCAGCAACCACCGCGGTCGCGGGAGGGCCCACAGCGCAAAGGGGCCCAAGCGGTTAGAATTTAGTAATTTGAGCCTCGAAACCAAAAGCTGCATTGCAAAACCAGTAATGCACATCTTATAACGTTGATGTTAGTTCAGCTCAAATCGTTTTGTTACGTAACAATGCCAGGGAGTCGTCGACTTTCGGCGTCTTGTGGTTTGATCGCACCGACAATATTACGAAAGCTGTCAGAATGATGTCGAAAGCAAAACCGTTCAGTGGCGCACAGAAACGCAAAAAAAAGGCAAAAGTGGATGCACGTATGAAAAAAATTATTTAAGTAACCAAGATAAACTGCAAATTTTAGGTTACCATTGCCTTTCAATAGCGACATGTTATGCTTTTTGACGAAATAAAGAAGCGTTGTTTTAGCTTATGTCCGAGAGTTTCTAGGGCCATTTCCACGGAATATTTTCGCAGGGGGCACGAGAGTCTTGCTACGCCACTGATTCCGCGTCAAGGAATATGATAATCTGCAGACTTGTGGAATCTGACAGTGATTCTGAAAAAGGCGAATCATAGTGAAATCGTGAGCTGACTATCTGAAAAGCACTTTAATTCATAACCCAAAAGCGAACTGAGGAAGCAAGGGCAGGTAGTTGGAACTTTTTCAACACAATGCCAACTGCCGAAGAGAGTGAAGTTTAGAAGTGAAAGACTCATGAACAGAATTAAAACAAAGAACAGATTAGGCTGGAGGCGTATCATCTGGACCAACTTATGATGGTCAAGTCTTTCCTGACTACAGCATTAGGAGCAAATATGATGAAGATAATATTGAATCATTCACATATCAAGATTCAGCAATAGACAAGTGGAAGAGCATGAAAACAAGGAAAAGTTTTTTGAGTTGAATGTGTACTTTGCTCGCATTCTGATAATATATTATACTATTGATACTATTGTAATATGTCATTTAGAACTCTGCTCAGCCTTAAAATATTTATGCTCAGTAAGACGAACATTTGCTCAGTGTAAAATTTTCTTAGAGGGAACACTGGTCGTGACATACTATTAAAAATGAGTCCGTGGAAAACGTACGAATGAGTAACCTTACTTCCGTATTGTACAGTAAACATATTCAATATAAAGGTTGACTGTTAGTTAAATATTCATGCTTGACATAAAATGCAAAAATAAATACTCAACAACTAACTTTTTTAATCTTAGCTTTTTTAAACAGTAAAAATAACAACACCGGGGTAACCACACATCTTGCTTCGATTATAAGAGCATTAAAATTGTAATACAATGTCTACTGCTTTATAATATTACCTCTTGCCATTTGAAGTCGTTCATGAAAAGAAATCCCTTTTGGACTTCAAATATACAGAAATCAGTGTCCGAGGCAAGAACCATCGCGTTAAGTTTGTTGGCAATTGCGGCGGTTTTGGAATCAGCATCTCCGGGAACAACAATGAAGGGGACACCAAGTTCAGTTAAAGTTTGCCTCAACACAACCTCTAAAAGATTTTGAGAAATGTGATATAATTTAAACCTTTATACACACTTGCAATGAAGAATGATTGGAACAAATTGCATTATCATGCTAGTCACGTGACTGATGTGGCAAATGGTATGTATATAGACATTAACTGCTGATATTTTGTTTACCTGTCAAATATCACGTAAGGTCGTATACTGCAACGCTTCAAGACTTCGACAAATTGTTGTATTGTAGATCGAAATGACGTATAATCGCCGCCACATCTGAAAATATTTCAATTGAACGAGTAATTTGTGACGCTATACAATATACAGAATTGAATGGGTGCTATTGCAGAAGTTTTATTAGTTTTCTTTGAGAATGAAATAAAATAATATTTCATACCTTCAATTTGAAACGTTTATGACCCGTTTCTATTCATCGGAATACACGTTCGTAATTAACCAATCGGAATTTTCTTGTGAAATATTGCCTCCAATCATATTTATATAATAGCGGTGGGCAAAGCTGAACAATCAATCATACATCATTCTAAAGCCTAAGTTGCTAATGGTAATAGATTATTCATGCTTGAAAATGGTTACTCGAGCTAGATGTTTAATGTTTTCTCCATTAAAGATATTCAAATTATACTAAATTGCAATATTCTACCTGAAATCCAAATGGCCACAATCAAAGTAAAGAAAATACAGCAGTTCTGATCCATCGATGATAACTTTTGTGTCACTCACATCGATATCTTCTAATAAAGGTTTGGGGTATTTGTGAACGAAACCACTCAACCCTTTGATTCCCATTGCTACACTTTTCTATTCGTACCCCAATCTGAATAATTATAGTATGATAATCAAATGATAAAGATTTAGCCTCCGTGCAGGAAGAGTAACCCCGTACCTTCACCCCGCCAGCAGACGATAAAACTAGACCTAACACTGGTGCGGGTAGGCTCGCTCAATATACACCATACTCTCATAAGAGAGAATTCCCCTCTGCGGGAAACACAGTGCAAACGCTTCCCTCATAAGATTCGGTTGAGAGAAAATTTTTGAAAGTCAATAAGGCCGAACAGAAAGCAGCTAACTATAGTATGAAAAAATCAAAACCGCCAAAGAGTGACTTGCGCAATTCGGTTATTAGCCTGACGACACCTTTATTAGTTGATTCTAATGATGAAACTAAAACAAACAAATACAATCAAAATGTGAACATTGTATCACGGTCACTTTCTATGCAGATTTCGATAGTGAATAGTTTTATTGAAATAATGATATATTATGATGGTCTTTCTCTGTATGCCATTTATTTCACTACCGAAGGTTAAGATGTGCGCTCGATTCAACTCCGGCCAAACTAAAAATTTGGATTCTTCATTACTTCTTCGCCATTTATAAAGAAATGCCGGTGCTTTATTGCATTAGGAAATAATCAACAACTTCTTATTACTTACTAAAGGCTTACCCACGACGTTTTGACCCTCTACTGGACACAAAATCTCTCAAGACCAAGGTTTTTTATTAGAAATTTTCGAAATTTTGTCGCATAAAAAAATATTATTGGAGGAGTGTGTTTTAAAGATATATCGCTGAATAGAACTATAGCACACGCTTATAAAAAGCCATGAGAGAAGCTTTAGGGCATGGTTGACGAAAAAAATTATTTTAAAAATACCCATGCAAAATGGCTTTAGAGAAGCGGTTAATGTACCGTTAGATAACGCAATTAATCAATACTTATCGATCTTGATAGGTATTTGTCTGCTTGTCTGTTAGATATACGCGATATCTCACGAAAGCGAAAGTTGAATTATGTCGTATAATTAGCGAGATATTAATTATTTAGTGATGGGACACGCGGTGTCGCTCTTAAGTCAAGGCGAAGGATACACGCCGCTAGATCGATAAGTCGGCGGTCTCCGATAAATATCTCGTTTTATTTTGATTAAATTATATTCAGCTGATAAATATATCACAGGAACTTTAATTTACAGAGTAATAAAGACTCATCTTCCGTACGAACTGTTACCAGAAGACATTAGGAAAGGAAAGGGATGCAAAATTATTTACGTAGAAAGAAATCCAAAGAACCTATGCGTTTTATACTATCATTTTCGGTGACAGCACATTTGCATTTTGCACTCGTAAACTGCACCCTGCAAATTCGCACCTGCATAATTTTGCACCCAGCGATATTTGCACTTACGTACATTTGAACCCATGAACATTTGCACCCATAGACGTTTGCACCTATGTACATTTGCACCCACGGATGTTTGCACCCGCGTACATTTGGACCCATGTAGATTTGCACCCATGTATATTCCCACTAATGAACATTTGCACCTACGTACATTTGCACCAATGCACCCACGTACATTTGTATACATGCAACCACGTACATTTGTATCCATGCACCCACATACATTTGTACTCGTGACCTTTTCCCCCATGTTCATTCGCGTCATGAACGCACCCACAGTCATGTTTTCAAATACTGTAACCGTATTTCAGACAACCTTTAACTACCAACTATAAATATATATATATTATATATATTTGAAATGGGGGCGGATTACAAATTTTGAGTAGACTGTATTCTTGATGAGCGTCGCTACGTTTTACTATCATTGCGAGTTATAATCCGATCCCCCTAGGCGTTGCAGCGCAAAAGGATTGAAATTACTCGCACGTACCAGATTTAACTAAATTATAAACTCGTTTGGCAGGCGCCCACCATTCAAAACTGGCCCTTCTCCTCGGACCGAACAATTTTTCCTTGTGGGCCGCACTTGGTCCGAGGGACGCAGGTTGCACGCCCCTGTTATAAACTATACATATATTATATATAAGCAAACTTAAACCTGGCAAAACAAAATAATCTTTGAATTGTAGCAAGTTTGATGAAATGTATGCGTATGCATATTTTATAACATCTAATAATACAGACTCACGGCTTTAGATGTAAACTTCCTGGACTTTCCTTGGCTGTAAAGCAGGCTATATGTAAACCTGATTGTATTATATATATATATTCGAAATAGGTTCACATATAGATCACAGAAATAGATTTAATTTTTAGTAAACACTCACGTTACTGATTCATGTCTTTCATGAATACAAGGAAAGAATATTATTTGTAACTTTTGAAGATTAGAAGAACTATCTTCGAAAAGAAATTGAATCATTAACAAAATTTCTTGCAAAAAATTGTCGGAATAACAACTGGACGCTATTTCTGAACATTGTACATTTGACAGCTGAGCAAAAACAAAAGTATAAATATGTCTAGCCATGCAAATTTTATGGATTTGACAAAGTCTAAATTTATGAGAAAGGGACAAATTGATGATTGGAAAAATTATTTTACGATAAATCAAAGCTTGACTTTTGATGAGATGTATCAAGAAAAAAATCAAATGAACGAGATTTAAAATTTCTTTTGGAAATTGAATTAAAGATTACATCATTATTCTTTGTTAATATTTGTAAATAAATTTAAAAGGGTAATTATTTACATTGCAGCTACAAACAGAATAACTGATACAATAAAGGAGTCGATATGTTTCAATCGAACTCATCGGCTTGGAACAGTGTACTTTCACAGTCAATTTTCCATTAGGCTACATGAAGCATGGAAACAAACATACTTTTTGGACACGAATTGTACATATTGATCATTTTGTTGTTTTTCTTTTTAGTCATTCTTTTCTTCTTGTTTTTATATATGTAAAATGGCTTTTCTCATTAACTACGGGGCCAACTGCTTTGAAATTTCTGGTGGTGAAAGATTGTATTTTCCGCTTGAAGGCATTTATTTATTTTTCAAAACTTCCATTTATTTCAAAAATTACTGGGGGCTCCACGAGACTCGTTTTTTGTGTGCGATGACGTCATTAAAATTGCACACCCTGTGGCGGTTCCGCTTTCGCGTTGGTGGTAAGCCTACGTCGTGGAGACGGCTGTGCCGGTAATATGCTGTGACAGATTGCATACCCGTACTACTTCGTTTTGGCCTTCATGTCCATATATTTCGGCATCACTCTCTTTTTTCTCATATATTCGAAATAAGGTCACAAAAATTTTAATTCGATATTGTCGATCACATCAATCAAGAAGAATGAAGAAGTGAATATATGACAGTGTATATATATTAAATAATATTTTATTTATTATAATCACATATGATATGAAAAATATGCATTTATTGTCCTCCAATCATAACATCAAGAACTCTCCCAAAGAATTGCTTCGGTTGTTCCGAATCATGAAACAGCAGGTCGACGACATCATTATTTGTCAGATCTCCATTCCGTAGAAAGAAAGCGTGTGCTTTCTGAAACAACGTACCAGAGAAAAGGTGACCGACTTTTGAATTGGATATTGGACATCCTAAGAGATTATTTAGTCGCATTGCTTCGCAAATAATGGTTTGCCATTGCGCAGAAAAGTGCAATGCTACCTTGTCAGCTTTTAGGTATTTGACGAAAAGTATCTGGAAAGGAGTCTCCACTAATCTCATTGTAAGAACACGAAAACGTCAGTGCTAGTGCTTTGCACACTTCGTCCAGTGGCGCATGCTCTTGGAATCTTGTCCAACTGTAAAGACTTAAGACGAGAAGCTTGTTTTCCTCGCCAAGAACAGCTGCATCTGAAAAATCCGCATTCTGTATCATAGCTTCCGTAAGATATTTTTCTCGTGCGGCCATGATTACTTCACGAGTGTCGCATGCTCTTAATTCTTCCAGAGTCATTTCAAGATGTAATTCTTCAGTTTGGTCCGCGTTTGGAACTGTCACTGCCATCACTTTTGCTGCGTAATTTTGTCCAATTCGATCCCATTCAACAATACGACGTTCCACCACATTATCATTTTCCTCCCCGTTAAAATGGATGATGCATCCCAATTCATAGAGCGATTGGCGAATCGAAAACGATGCTACATGGGAAGAGTTGTTCTCTGGGTTATCCACCATAAGCGGCATGAAACTCACTGGGTCTTGCATTCCTTCGACGATCTCAAAACAATCTGGTTTTACGTCAGCTGATTCGCCACCGTTACGCAACGTATCCACAGAGGTTTGAATATCAGGAAGCTCTTGATATATACGTAAACATTCTCTGAATTTTTGTTCCGGGAAGTTTGGAGTTTTTGCCCCGAATAATCGAATAATTTGATCGTTACTTTGATAACGGGCGAGCCACACCAACGCACATTTGATAGAATTTAGAAGATTCCTTGGATGCCTCACTTCCTGTAGACCAAAGTTTGCTATTATCAATTTAAAATTTAAGGTTCGACTAATGCTCACCCAATGTTAAACTATTTTACTGTTTTTCTGTATATATATATATATGCATTTTGAATCAGTAAAAAGTCACGAAAAGTTGCTTTAGTGAAAAATACATTGGAAAAAAATGATATGCGTATCTCGTGCTTCACAAGAGGGTAAAAAATTCCGACATTGCGAATAGTTCGCATAAATGTACATGTACAGTTATTATTAAATTTTTTCAAAATTCCGGGGTATATCGCTAGTGATTGTACACAATCTCACAGTTACAGATTTAACTATACGTGCACTGAAACTATACCCAATGAATTATAGTGATTACTAAATTAGAAGTTTCCCATATGATAATGAATACTTCCAGTCTCTCTTTCCATATAGGACCTCATCGATTTCATCCAGAACCTAATTTCATCTAATGCCATTCTAGATCTGGATATTTTATAGGTATTCACCCCAGGAAAAACTTGCAAGAAATCCTCGAAGCTTCCACCGAGGATTCCGTCTTGTGTGCTCATCAATGCCCCGAGAACAGATAACGCATTCTTCGGAGTTCCAAACGTAATTTCCAAGATAGACTGACGAAATATCTTCCCTCGACAAGACCGCTGTGGTCGTGTTACCTAACAATGAATGTGAAATAAAACCCCAAGATCGACTTTGATATAAAATGAAGCATATTTGTGAAAAGGATATAGCCTATAATTATAAATGAGATATAACAAATTTA